TCAAAGATGCATTTTTACAAGGCCTCAGGAAAAATTGGTGATGGTGTCGCTTTACAACCAACAATACATCATTAGACGCAATATCCCTGGACAGCGTCTTGGTGCCAAAGCATGGTACTGGCATTTTCGAAAGTACATCATTGACACTTTGGACCGCTCTTGGTGCATGGAACAGCCTTGCTTGGCTCGATGCACAGCTGATGGAATCCAAAACTGCTTCCTGAGTCATGTGGATGATCTTCTCTTTTCTGGCAGTCATGACTTTTGGGTCAACAATTTTTTTCCTGCAGTGACAGGCAAGTTCAATGTGAGTTTCAGTGAACCGAAAGAAGATGGCAGTTCAATCTTCTCCCTCAAGTGTCAGCTGTTGAAACTCAGTGATGGTTTGCCTGGTTTGCTGATTGTGCCAGGGACAACCACTGGCAGGATAGTTGCGTACTTTGAGAAGTTCTTTGATGCGGCCAGAAATCAAAAGATTCCATGCGATGGTTCAATCCAAAATGATGACAAATCACAGTTGCTCAATGATGGTGGCAGCAGAGCATATCGGAGCATGATTGCTCTGCTTCTCTACGTTGCAAGGGATCGTGTTGATGTGATGTATGCAGTGAAGGAGCTCGCAGCATGCATGTCTGCTCCCACCGGTTGCGCTTTACAGAGGTTGAGAAAGCTGATTGGCTATCCCAAGGCCACTGGAGACATGGGCATGAAGCTATGCCTTCCTGAGTTTGGTTCAGGAAAACGGAGGAAAGGTGGTGAACAGTTTTGGAATTTTTGGGACCTTTACAGATGCAGATTGGTCAGCGCACAAAACCCACCGTAAAAGTACAAACTGCGCAGTCCATTTCACCAACGGCAACTTTGCCTATGCTTCAAGTAGAACTCAAAGAGTTGTTTCATGACCCATGCCTTAAGAAATTATTCCAGGGTATCAACTAGGTTATGGAATAATTTCTTTTGGAATAATTTTCAAGGAATAATTTTTGAGGGGGGTAGGTATACGATTATGCATGTTGGAATTTGAAAATCATGATCCAGCCCGTCAAGATACCCCGGAATAATTAGGTTTTGGAATAATTTTTGGTAACTTAAAACATCTTAAAACATCTTCAAACAGCCTATACGTCCTACATGTGGCCTGGCCTTTCCAAAAGCCATTCCTAGCTTGGCGGTGTTTGCCTGAAAACTTTTTGCTGGAAATGCAAATTGCAGTTATTTAAAGCATCATGCAGTTTGGGCAATTGCTGCCAACTTTTTTTGCAGCGTACTTGCACGCACAACTAGTGTCCAACGGACCACCTTTCTCTCACTGTATTTTCTCTCGAGAGTTCTTTTGGGTGGCAATGAATAGGGAATGTTAGGAAAATACCTAGGAAAAGGCCAGGTTGAGTGCCATTGCGTGGGCTTTCCCAAGGGGGGAAACTATTCTAGGGGTATTGGAGATGCCTGGTACCCCTCAAAAACGAAAGTGGACAGCTAATCACCAAATTAGCCCAGAAATTGGCAAGAATTGTCAAAAAACAAATGAAACCCACACATTTCCCACCCATTCCCACTATGGCCAACGGGAGTTTTTTGGAAGGAAATGAAAGGAATATGGAAGAAATAGGGGGGCATACGCAAAGTTGGGAAAACTTGCAGGAGAGAGCCAGGTTGAGTGCCATTTTGTGGGCTCCCAGGGGAGAAATTATTCTAGGGGTATTGGAGATGCCTGGTACCCCTCAAAAACGAAAGTGGACAGCTAATCACCAAATTAGCCCAGAAACTGGCAAGAATTGTCAAAAAACAAATGAAACCCAAACACTCATTCCCATTATGGCCAACGGGAGTTTTTTTGGAAGGAAATGAAGGGAATATGGAAGAAATAGGGGGGCGTACGCAAAGTTAGGAAAACTTGTAGGAGAGAGCCAGGTTGGGTGCCATTTTGTTGGCTTCCCCCAGGGGAGAAATTATTCTAGGGGTATTGGAGATGCCTGGCACCCCTGAAAAACAAAAGGGGGCAGTTGCTACAATCACAAAACAAATCCAGAAATTGGCAAAAAAATAAACCAGTGACAACCAAATATTTTCCTTTTCCCACTCATTCCCACTAAGGTCAGAACCACCAAACTAACCCAGAAACTGGAAAAACATCCAAAACCAATTAAAACCATGTTCAACCAGTGGGTTGCTGAGAGGACATTTGTTTAAAGATACTATGCTGACTCTTCTTGATCCTATCTGATTATGTTGAAAATTGTTTAAATTTGTGCCCCAGCTCTGCAAGAAGGGGAACCGTTTTCGGCCGTTTGCGCGCAGCTGCTTACGATTACTTGTGTTTGGCTAGAAATAGACTATACCGGTATCATTTTGATGGAAATTATTCCATTTTTCCATATGGACTCATTGAGTTCTTAGAATAATTTTTTTTTGAACTCAACGGATGCCGGAATAATATTTTTATTATTCTGAGGTATGTTGACGGGGTATCCCCTTAAGGCATCCCTCATGTTGTTTCATTGAGTTCAGCAGAATCTGAGTTGCACAGCATGGTGCCAGGTTGCTCAGATGCGATTTTCTTGAAGCGATGCATGGAGCTCTTGACAGGTGATCAGGTTGAACAGTGGCAGTTGACAACTCAGCAGTGAGACAGTTGATTGAGCGTCAAGGAGTTGGAAGAGTGCGCCACCTCTGTGGCAAAATCCTGTGAATGCATCCAATTGGGTCAAGTGCCAACCCAATGGAATGCCAGCGACACTGGCACAAAGCCATTAGCATGCCATAGTCTCCTGGTGCTTCTGACTCAGATTGGAGCTTGCAATCCTGATACTTTAAGCATGGTTGGTCAGCAGGAGTTTGATGCTTTTTCAGAGCGAGTGATGGGACAACAATCAATGAAGCGCTTGACAAAGGCAGTCTTGCGTATGGCTGCTATGTGGGGCCTTGAGCCTATTCCCCATGTTGGTGCAGAGGCTGCAGGTACTGAAGAGGTATGTCTTCAAGGTCAGGCTTCTGGAATTGACGATGGGGATTTTTGGCTATGGCTTGCGTTGTTTGCAATTTTCCTACTTTGGATTTGCCTTGCAATGGCTGGATATCTTGCGTGGCGAAAGGTGTCCAAAGATCTTTTCCGTTGGCAGATGAGGGTGGATACATAGCAGTGCAAGAGAAGCGGGCAGATGAGTTGGTACAGCGAGTGGAAAGAATGCAAAATCAAAATGAACAAGATCATGCAGTGCTTTTTGACAGAGTGGAAGAGACGAGCAATGAACTTTCCAGGACACATGATTATGCAAAAGGTCTACACTAGAGTCACTAGAGCATAGTTGAGCACGGAGGTTTCCTGCGTAATGGGTGTGGGCTCAGCCAAGCTCAATGGGTCCACCTTACAACTCTGGAAAGGGCCAATCTCATTAGTTCTCGAGTCTTGGGGTCAGTGGAATACATGAGGCTTGTGCGCCACCAGCTTGCTCCTCAGGGTGTTTCTGATGAGACTGATGGTGTTGGAGAAATGCAGAAAACGAAGATGGCGAACATGATGCAGTGATGGAGATACCAGCGGATTCGCTAAATCCAATTGGTGCACATTCAGTTTCGGACATCGTGAAGTTTTTCAAGTCCGAGCGGAGCATGTGCAGTGTTTGGAACGTGGTGAAATCTGGGATGCCAATGTGGTGCAGCATGCCATCCTCAGTTTTTTGGATGAGATCCGAACTCCAACCGTGGAAAGTGCCATGAGAAAGTGGCCACGATGTTTGATGAGCTGAAGCAGAAAGCAATTGAACAGAACAGATGGGACAGTGCAGATTGATACGAAGCAATAGCAGGAATGTATGGAAACAGATGAGATGCGTTGTTTTTCTTCTGAATGCGTGCCTTTTACAAATACAAAAACTGGAAAAAAACGAACATCAGAGGTGCAGTGTGGAGTGTAGAGCTAAAGGCTTCAACACTGCAAGGAGGAGTGAAAAAATCCTTCCTTCAGATATCTTTTCATGCAGTTTGCAATGATGTCAACAAAGTTGGACTCCAGTGGACTTCAATTGGACTAGCAAGGATGACACAGCACAAATCAATACGAAACTTGTACGAAGTTCATCCATCAGCACATTAAACTATATGTGCATATCGAGGCCTTGTGGCTTAAGAAAAAATGTGACTGCCCGCTTCGCATTTTTTGTTCCTTTTCCCAATGTTTACTTCATTCGAAAAACATTGCTTCAGTAAACCCCTTGATCTGATCCCCGATCTTTGCTTGTTGAAATTTTGCATTCGGCTGAAAAAAAACAACCATTACGCCAACACTAGCATTTTTGCGCAGAATTGCTGTGTGTGGCGTTGATAAAAAAATGCATCGGTCATGTATTGTATATTTTTTGAAATGGCACAACGGCATTTGGGAGACGTTTGCAAATCAGTTGTGTAAATCATTGCGTGATTTAAAAAAGTGGTATGGTGCAAACCGAAAAAAATAATCTATTTCACCGCCAAAATAGTTTTGTTTACAACAATTTGTTGACAACCCTGGGAAATGTACGAGGCAATTCGGCCGTTTTTGGCAACTAGTTTCAAACAACTGTGTTGTGCTGCCGCAGTTGGTCATGCAGATTAATTGTTTATATTTTTTGGGGATGTTTTGATTCCTTTTACCTCCTGTTGATGCAGAAGAATTGAAATGCTAAGTTTTTTTTGGTTACATTACGATGCAACAATCACAAACACATGTTGTGGATGATGATTCTGGCACTGTAACACCACAAAACCAATCGTTCCCTGTCCCCGCATTCACGGGTTCGAATCATGACGGAAAAAACGTGTTTCTGAGATACAAACAAATCCAGCCATGGCGCCCAAAAATACAAGTGCTGTGAATCAAAAACAGATAAGTGGAAACCATCAAGATTCACCACGTTTTTTTTTGTAAAATTATACTTATTCAATTGCCCATCGGATTCAAATAACAAACAAAACCGCACTTAAACGCTCAAACATTTTTCACCGCAATTCTTTACTTCTGGGGAATGTTGCGCAATTCTTGCAGCAACAGCGATGTCGGCAGATGCAAAGAGATTCGGCGAAACTCAGCCGGGATCACATTTGCTTTGGCAAATTGAAGAATGCAACTGTTTGTACACATAGATTTTGGTGTTCCAAGGTACAAGATCAATCGGTGAAAAACACAAATGATTATCCTAAAGAGCCAGCTCCGAACCCAGGCGGTCACCGCGGCATTTTTTGTACGGTTTTCAATTCAAATATACCACAATTGCATGTTGCATCTTTCTGAGGTAACAACTTTTCAGCCGCTTCCACCACGTGTGTACAACTTATTTTGGATCATTGCCCAGAGTTGTTCTAACTGATCTGGCAGATCGCAACCAGGCATTCGGCTAGTTCAACCAAATTTGTGTCTGACTAGGCGCGAACTTTGAGCCCAGAGCAAGCTCGGGCTACTCGGGTTCGAGTCATGTCCTCGGTTTCTTTAGTTTCCTTTGTTCAAAAAAAAATGGGGTGAAATGCATTTTGAGCAGTGTTAGGTGGTTTCCAACTCATGCCTAGCCCCACCGAAATGGTCTGGGGGCATGCAGAGGACTCGGATCTTAGGGTCTTCTGTAAGAAACTGTTCACGGAATCAGGCAGCAACGTGTCAGGAATCCAGTTCAGCGCTACTCCATGGTGATGCCGATTTATTCCAGAGAGGTGCTACCCACCATCCATCACCATCCTGAGATATCTTGAATTTGCAGTTGCAATAAAATTGTTGTGGTGGAATCAATCAGGCCTCTCGTGAGCGTTTGAATGTGGTGCCATGTCTTTCACCCAGCGCAACTGAGAACAGCAAAGTAAAGTCGGCCGATTGTTTTCAAAACCCATATGTTTTGGCCCTGCGGGCCCTGCGGGCTTAGGTTATGGTGGCTGCCCTGTGCCTCCACCTCTACCACCACCACCTCCAAACAATCATCCTGTTAGTCCGGCAAAGGCCTGAAAACATTCGTTGACCCGGCAATGCTGTGGTCATAATATGTTTTGCTGCTTTGCTACCGTCGGTGTGCCATGGTCAACTTAGGTCAGGATGAGACCCACAGAGGCTGTGCATCGACGTACCTCACCGTCAACACATTTGCAGGCCTTGCAGGCAGTGTTTTCGATTACTTGGATGACTCAGTTGCAGTTTGACGAACTCCAGGTGCCTGTACCCTTCCCTAGAAACCACATGGTTCCCACCATCTATGACAAGTCTGTTTCTCAAGACCAGAGAGGCCTCCCCCGAGACGATAGAATCCAGTTTTCCATGATCCAAGGGATGCTTCTGTGGCCCACGTTCATCACGTATTTGCCTTAGATCAGCTGCAAACATCAGCATTTAGCGATCTTTTCACAGGTGCCTGGGTCTTTTCAAGGTCGTACCTCAGACAGGTTCTGCTGCAGTACCAGTAGGGCGATTTAGAGTCTCGTTTGCACTCATTTGCTGCAACTGCTCAATATATCTCCAGAAATCAATGCCGTTGCGTTGTTCTTACTCATTTTACTCATCTTAGTCTGTAATTCATGCAAGGATCCGTCGGCTCCGTCGGAATCCGTCGGATCCGTTTGTCCAAGGAAGTTTTGCTCGTGTTTCAACGAGCACATCTCCGAGGGACTTCAACCATTTGCAGGTTGGCTGTCGGTTCGCTGTGAGTTCGCTGAGGTTTTGACATGACTGGGGCGACTCGGGGCTTGGCGGCTTGGCTTCTCAGGTACATCGGACATTTTCATCTCCGCGATCTCAGACCTACACCAACAGGCTGCAGAAAAACCCTGTTGTTTGGTTAAAAAAAAGCCTTGGTCCAGCAGATTTGTCAGTCCAAAAATGTAAGAATACCATGATATTCGAATTCATGGTCAGATTTATTGGGTAGCTTGATCACAAATCACAAATCAGTTTCATTTTTTTTCGCAAAAACCTCAAAAACCCGACAAAGCCAGGCCATCAGGGCGGGGTCTCTGGCAATCTCCACGAGAGGTCGAGGCCATGCGGTCTGCCGTTAACTGCAGAGTTGCCCAGTTTCCACGGCGGTTGTGGTGAGGTCCGTACCGTGACTGGCACTGCATCACGGAATGCGAGATATCAGGACTGGGCGAGCTGTAGTAACTTGAAGTTTCTTGTCAATTTAGAGTTGTTAAACACACAATCACATGCATTTCGACAAAAAAGCTCAGATCCGAAATAGTAGACGTGTTAAACACACAATCACTGCTCAGGGCCAGCATGTCCAGACCACACTTGGTGCTTGCCTTACAGTGCCTTACAGTGCCTTACAGCTTTAGTATTTCAGACACTGGCCATGATTTTCCCTCGCCACATGGTATCCACGTGGTGCAGCGTGCTCTGATTTGGAGGTCGACTCAGCGGTGGCCGTAGCTCTTATGGCAGTAGTCTTTCGGGCCGAGCGCCTACGGCTTCGGCGTACAGCAGAGATCCGCGGCATGTCATCACAGAGTCACATAGACATTGCACTTTTTGCCCAATATATACATGATAAATGACATTGATAAATGACATTGAGCCGTTGCATAGTAATAGTACAATAAAGTACACAGCTTCGTGCACTGATACATTGCCCATTGACAGAGTACTGATCTCAACGTGCCGAAGTTGAGGTCATCGGCTGTCAAGGACACAACTTGTTTCTCTGCTTGTGGTGTTGTAGATGAATGCTTCCATCTGTCACATCTGTCAGGAGTCCAGATGGTGTGAAAAACGAAGACGCCACTGAGGACTTCACACATCTAGGTCATCTAGAATCTGAGAAACCTTTCCATAGGCAATGATGTCAGACGAGATACGGAATCTTTATGAATCTCTCAGTTCTTGTCTTGTCTTGTCTAGTCTAGGTTTGCTTTTGTGTATCTTTAAGCTCAGAGTGTACTCCTTAAGTGGCTCAGTTTGCTTCAGGACATGCAGAGTCCCGTTGAAAGGCTTGGCAAACCAGTACCTTGGTCGTGACCTGTTTTTATGATGTCCTTTTGATTTGATTATGTTTGATTCTATGTTTTGCTTGTGAAATCCCAAGTGAGCCCTTCATGGATGCGATGTGATAGTTCATGGAAGACAAGATGTTTGAGCGTACAAAAGACAGCAGACTCGTACTGAACAGGACCAGTTGATCTGAACAGTTATCGTTGCAAGTTTGGTATTCGAGATCACTAGATTGGATTAGCTGAGCCAGGCTGAGCCCCTTTGTGTGTTGAGAGAAATACTCAGGTCGTGTCTCAGCGACCACCGGCATCTCTGAGCGATCACTACTTTACGCTGAAGAAGGAACTCGAATCTGTCGATTGTCGATTTGTCGATTTGTCGATTTTGTCGAACTTGAATCTCGCAGCCGTTTTGTGTCGATGTCCTTTTTGCCTTTTTTTGCCTCAGTTCGGGTTTAGGATGGAGGAGCACTCTCCTCCTCAACAATGGAGCCAGATGAGGCATCGAGTCATTGAGCTGAACTGGTGGGCCAGTTCCTCACAAAATCAGCCAAGCATGACATGAACAAAGTGAAACAAAGTGACAACTAGTGCTTGCCAGGCTCAAAGTCCAGAGCAAGTTCAGGTCTTCCGGAGTGAAGCGCCAGAGGCTCTGGCGCTGGCTTTGGATGGTATGGTTGACATTCGTTGACCACTTCGCATCCGCCAGGCATGTTATCTTTGTTCGTTTGGTACTGTCAGGCAGCACGCACTCCGCCACAGAGAGTGATGCCATCTGAAGCGGTCATACCCAGTGAGCCAGTAACTCTTCCCTTCGGCACCGAAAAGGTGAAGCCAGTCCCAAATCAAGGCTGGTCCGCTGACTGGAGGAAATTTATGTTATCCAGTAGTATCCAATATAAGTCTTGGGCCCAAGGAGTCACCTGCCATGTGAGGAAAGTCCTGGACACCACCGGCCATGCGGAACTTGGATCGACCAAGCGAAGTGCTGAACGTGAAAGCCCAGGCATTGATGATTAGATGTTTGAGGGTCAGGTGAAGTTAGTCATCAACGATCGCTTGCTGTGATCGCTTGGAGGCAACCCGGACCGTTGCCCCTGCTGACGTACAGGAGGCACGGACACCGGAAGGTGTTACGACCAAGCATCCACCGCGACGTCCAGTCAAGGCATCGATGGGAGTTGGTGGGTGATGGGTCAGGTGCTGCACTGCTTAGAGGCTTAGATTTGACAGCAACATATTAAGCATTGAGCCCAAAAAAAGCTCGAGGCATGTCCTTCGACCACTTTAAGCCACTTTTGCTGACAGGGCAGACGGCTTTCCAAGAACGAATCTGCGCGGCTGTCGGTCAAAGAGGAGCAAAAGTCTATCCCAAACGAACGGCGGCTGTCTGCCACTACCGAGGATGCCCGCAAGGACCCAGGCAGGCTTCTTTGCGATGAGCGGCGGGTGTCTACCCGTGCTGAGGGGCAGCATCAAGACCCAGGCAGGCTGAGTCGTGGCATTAAGCAGTTCAAGGATGTTGAGTGACTTTGTTTGGGCAGGGTGCTATTGTTTTGGCATGCACATGTGATTTTCTTTCTTGGTTAATGTTGTGATGACATGTGTGGCTGCATCGACTATGCCATATTTTCATATATTTTCTACAGTTTAGGCTCAAGCCTCTGATGCCAAAATGTGTGAATTCCTGGAAGGATAGCTTGTTTGGCCTCTTTCACTTTCGCCTTTACAAACCAAGAGGCACTGACACTGCAGAGCTTGATGAGCGAAGTGATGTGCTGCGAAACGAAGCTGCCAGCTCCAGTTGCAAAGCTTCGCAATGGCTGCTGTCTATGTCTTTGCTGAGTTCAGTGATTTAGAGTTGCCCAGGTTGACCCAGTTGACCCAGTTGATCCAGCCACAGGTCTCACATGCGATACGCGTAGATGCCTAATGATGCCTATGGAAGGAGCAGACGATGGTTTGCTGCCTTAGCTTGTCTTAGGGAATGGAGTGCACAAGGTGAGCGGGTCTCAGTTGTTGCCATAGGTGCGGCTACAAACAGTCTAGCGAAGTGTGCTTTGTGGATGCGTGCGCTACGAATGATTTCTGCCCCAGATGCTTTCCCCAATACGTTTGTTGCCAACGCTGTGGTATCTGCATGTTGTCGCGCTAAACTTCCTGGACGTGCTGCCAAGATAGTGGATATGATGAGTCAAAGGGGGCCTCAGCCAGATGCTGTTACACTCAATACGCTTCTTGGCCTTTATGCTACTGAGCGGCTCGCATCCAAGGCACAAGGTCTCATGTCATCAACCAACGCATTAAGTCTTGAACCAGACCTTTTATCCTTCAACTTGTACTTGAACGCTATGCAGCGATCGGCGAAATGGTCAGAGTCCTTACTATGTTTGGAGAACATCAGGTCAAATTCTCTCAGCGGAGATACTGTCACGTTGAACTCAGTGCTTGCAGCCGACACTCGCTGCATGCAATGGCAGCATGGTCTAGCGATAGCATTCCAAAGGGAAAATTACAACAGTTACAACGTTGTGGCTCTCAGCACAGTGAGCTCAGGCATGATCCAGCAAAGTGTGTGGACATCAGCTTGCCATATTTTGCAATTGGTCAACTCCAGTGGCTTGGAACCAGATGCTGACGCATATGCTGTCCTTGGAAGTTCTTGTATGCTGGCTGCAAGGGATGTAGGTGAGACTGGCGCTGCAGGAAAGCTCTGGCAGGTTGCAAGCAGGCTTCTAGCTGCTTGCAATTTGCAACAGATACGTGCTACCGGCGTGGCAAACGGAGTTCCGATAGGATCTTCTCTTGCAACGTGCAGCAGATCTAGGCAATGGCAGCTGAGCATGAACTTGCTGGCGGATGTGCAGAAAAGATCTTTGGAGGTAAACCACATGGTGGCTTACAATTCGATCTGTCCTGGAAGCTGGCGCCAAAGTCACTTGATATTCAAAGAAATGTTTTGCAGACGATTGGAGCCAGACTTGGCCTCTTGGAATTCTCTGATGGCTTCGACTACCTCTTGGAAGATGTGCTGGAACTACCTGGAAACTCTATGTTTTCAAAGCTTGGAAGTGGATCAGGTTTTGCTCAGCACAAGTTTGGGAGCAATGAACACAGCGCCGTGGCGGGCTTCTATGGAGGCCATAAAGAACGCTGCGCATATGGTTTCTGATACAATTCTGACAAGCGTTGTATTACGTGGGACAGCAAAACTGTCGTTGTGGCAGCGTAGTTTGCAGCTCAGTCAAGGCATTCATAAAACTCTTCTTTCCAGAAATGACACAGATTCGGGACTGCAAAATGCGGTCCTTACTGCGTATCAAGAGGGAAACGCTTGGCCTCAGGGATTGCAGCTGCTGAAGGATTTGGTGCTTTGTCAATGTGAACCGCAAGGGCTGGGAGTCAGTGCAGTCTTTACTGCTTGCGGAGTGTCCAGCAATTGGAACGCCATGCTGACAGCAGCAAACTTCCTGAGGGATGGCCTGGAACTTAGAAGCCGCAGCATTTTGCCAAAGTTAACGACAGCAATCTGCGAGAACTGGGAGAACCAGAAAGTCTCTGGATCTGATTTGAGGTGGGTCTGCAGGCAGCTTGTCCAGCGAAAGCTATGGAGCTTTAGCGCGAAGCTCAGAGCGATTTGACAGATTTCAGTGGAATCTTAAGGACCAAACAAGGCCCAAGAATTATTTCCAGTGTTGGTGATGTTGGTGCATCTACAAACAGTTGCTTGGATTCTTGGAGCAAAGACAGCAGCCAAGGTTATTGCCATAAAACCTTGGCGTTGGACCCTGTGGTGCCTGAACCTGATAGCAGGCTCGAGTCAGAAATGCTTGGAGAACAAATTGGCAATTTGCCAATGCTTCTTTATTCTTCAGTGGCTGTACAACCTGAGTACTTTTTGGACCTTTTTCTGTTTTCATTTGCCCTCAGTGACGCTTTTGCAGCGCTTGCCAGACTGCAACTTGTTTATTCCCTTGCTGGCAATTTGCGCCACTGCAGAAGCATGTGCTTCTCGTGGTCCTTGCCTCAAAGCTTTTTGAAAGCAGCGACTGCAAGAATGCCATGTCCGCCTTGTTTGGGGGTTTTGCCATATGTCTTGAGTCTTGAGGCATCCATGATTTGCCAGAGTTGATAGATCAATCTGGGATGAGAGCGCAGAAGGTCTGCTGACGTTTAGCTGTTTGTTTCCAGGTCTTTTGGCCCAGGAAGCTATGCTTTTTGATGCTGCTGTTTGCAGGTGCTCAAAGCACAAGGGTGTCCTGAGCGTCTTGACGCTGGAAGTCAGCAGATGTGCTCACGAGATGCGGGAAAAAAGTCAATTTGTCAACGAAGTCACGAAGTCTGCAAGATAGGGAGGGCCTTTGCGAGTGCAGACACTCTCCAAGAAAACCATTGTAGGAACAACTCGCTGGCAGTCTGCGACAGGTGGTCCAGCTTTTGCAGGTGCTCCCATCCCAAGAGTGACCCGCGAAGCCACTGGAGAGCCTGAGGTGCGGAGTATCAAAATGATGCGATTGTTGGATTCCGGGATTCTGGTGTCTCATGGTGTCCCATGGTTTTTTAATGGTATCCCGTATCCCACTTTTCGGAAACAGCACATGAACAACCCGTATCAGGCCGCACAGGCACCCGTGGCGCCTGCTCCAGACTTTCCTGAAATTGTTGCCAAGTCAGGTCCTGAGAGGGACTGCATTGGAAGTGGTGTGGACCGTGACAGACTTGCAGCCGAAACACCGAGGATACCTTCAGTTCCAGCGCCAGCACAGGAGACAAAGGAGTTGTCTTTTGTGGTCTTCATCAGCGGCAACATAGACTGGAGGATAACCCCACGTAGTACCTGGTTAGTAAGTGGGATTTTACTCCAGCTTTATATAATGTTATATAAGTTATATATATATGTTCTTCTTCTTCTTCTTCTTCGTCTTATTATTATTATTAATTATTATTATTATTAATATATATATATATATATTTATTCATATGTAATATCTACTTAGCGCCTTAGGGGTGACCAGATGATCCTCCAATTGGCTTGTTGCAGGACTTTGCGAGCTCTGGAAGTTTTCTCCCCTGGGCATTGAAATCTCTGAATGAGGGCCAGGCTGCAAAGATCTGCAGTACAGACTCGCTGGACCAGCTGACTGGTGAGATGCTGAGAGCTGGCTTTGAGATTGGGGGAGCCCCAAGTTATTTCAATTCTCATAGGAAAAATGAAGTTTTAGATTTTAGACTTAGACCTGATCCCAACTCGAGAACTTGCAGACAACTTGCAGTTTTGCCCAAGGATTTGAGCTCCGGGTCTCGTGCCCCACTTGTCTGGGCCTCAGGGTGCTCTTGCCGAGGTCGATTCCTATGAGAAGAAGGGATTCTACTCCTACATGTTTCAATACGAACAAAATCTAAGGTCACTTGCCTAGGGACCAATTTCCTGCCGGTTTGCTACCCTTCAGGATTTTTTGACCAAGGCAAAGGACACTGTCCAGATCATGTTCGATGCAGGCAACGAGCCGAACAGGCACCCAGATGTAATATCTCAGTAGAGACGGGCAAAGAGGATTCCTCCCACTTTCGCAGGATCCAATTTGTTTCCTCAAGCTTTAAGCTGCTTTGAGCTGCTTTCAGAGGTTTGAGTTTGCAAAGCATGCTCGCCGGCATGGCTCAAGATTGGATTTCCGGTCAATCTTCGTGCAATCTGCGATAAGTATTTATGCGAACTACATGGTTGCACTGTGGCCAGAGAAGAGCCTGGCTGCGTTTTGCTTGTCTTATAATTTCCTTTCAATTCCTGCGCTTGGTGACTTTGCATACAGGACATTTCGAGAATGCGGGTCAAACCCTAGTGCCACATGCCAAAGCACATGGCAAAGAGGCATCTCTCATCATGAACGCCACACATCAAGATGCTGTGGGTAATTCCCAGATCGTTGCCTGGAAAGATGGACGAATTGAGTTTGAGCTCTTCGGCTTCGGAACGGCGGAAACGACCGAAAATCTGTTGAATGACTGCAGCAATGCTATGGCTCAGATTGACTCGAGCATCAAGTGCACTGTCCTTGTGGACATGCGAAATGGCATTGGCTGCTCTCCTCTGGCTGTACCTTGTATTGTCCGCTTTGTGCGCAGGAAATCGTATCGTTTGCAGCATGTGGCTGTCTTGGGCCCCAGACCCTTGATGGCTATAGCTCGTATGATTTGTAAGAGAACAAAGCTTGCAGGAGTGGCATTCTTTGCTGACCGAGTTGATGCTGAAAAATGGTGCCAAGAACTTCCTCAAGAACCGGAAAAATGAGGTCCTAGTGGTCCTAGTGGCCGATGTGAGCTCGCCTCATCCCATGTCGGGTAGCCACCAAGATGGACAGATACATCAGATACATGGACGCACATCGAGGCTCCAAGGAGACTGTCAGATCTCCAAGGGTCGAAATATGGAGGTGGCTTGAAGGGTACACACCGTCGAAATATGGAGGTGGCTTGTCACAGCTTGTCGCTGTCTCACACTTGGACTCATCCGAGTCTAGCTCTTGATCGCACCTCCAGCAACAAAAAGGGTGCAGTCGATTCAGAAGCGTTTATCTATTCGAATCTATTCTGTCAAAATGGTCGACCCACGGTATCACTGCTTTGCAACCTGTTGGGCACTGCGATCTTTGGCACTTTGGGATGGGTCTCAGAGTTTCCGCCCAGGCAGCTTTCCGGCGCAGAGCAGAAGGACCAACTCCATGGGAACTGAAAGGCGCCATGCCAGGTGAACTCTGCGTCTTTCGGAGTTTTCATGTGGGTCTGATCTTAAAATCTGGAAAACCCCAGAATTCCATGGTATAAACATGTACAAAACATTATTTTCCCTGTGAGTTCATAGCCATTCTGTGGTTATGTAAAGTTATATTTTAGATATCAGACATTCTTGGACAAAGCCATGTGACTGGTTGCAGGTTGGGAAGATGGTGCGAACCAGCCCAACTTGGGGACATGGATGGTCTGGATGGTGCTCCAAGATGGCAAATGGAGGTTTCCTAAAATGGGGGTACCCCAATAGCTGGATGGTTTATAATGGAAACTCCTATCAAAAAGGATGATTTTGGGGTACCCCTATTTTAGGAAACCCCTAAATGATGGCAAGAAGCTTGTTGCATAGTTCTGTTCAGAGGATTGCCAAACCATTCGGTTCTGCAGCTTTCTGTTTGGCTCAGCTCACATCCAGCACGTAGAACCTTGTGAAGTGTTATTGTTTTAGACTGCTTGGAGAGTATTTAGTCTTTCCTTGCGGCGCTGTCGACAGGCGCCCCTGTTTTTTCATTTCCTTCCAGTGCTTTTCCTTATCCAAGCACGCTTCCAAACAAATCAGTGACGAGCCTTCTGCTGCCGCAGGACATGGCATGTCAAGAGTGCAAGACTTGGACCTCCAATTTTGAGCCATTCCTGCCATTCCTGGGCCCTGTGAGCCCACCTTCTTCCTGCAGGTTGAAGAGGGAAAGCTACAAAATCACAGGTGATCCAAAGAAGCCTGATGGTGCTGTGCCAAGTGCTTTTTTTATTAACTTCCTCTTTCTTGCAACTTGCGAACATATTCTATTAATTTCCAATTTCATGCAATTTCTGCATATTTTTTAAAGGAATAGTCGGAATAGTCAGTTTGTTTTGGTGAATTTTGACCTTCTCAAGGTGCTCCCAATTCCTACGTCAAAATGACATGTGCACGAGCAAACTTCCGAGCAGCTGGCTGGAAGGACGTAGATGAGTTGCGAACTGTGGTTAAACGGATAAGCAATCCTTGCCTCGTATGTTGGCATTTGAGAGGTTTTAAGGACGTTTGTCCAAGCACGGCAGACTGGGTAGACAGGAAGTCCAAAATATGAGGACGCAGATTGCTTTCTTGAAATACAATCAATAAATTGGGATATTTCAGAGACATCAGCCATCCAGCGCTTGGAAACAATCCATGAGTGATGTCCCTGATATGGACTAGTGAGAAGATGTGCTCCAGTGATGATAAATTTTGTCATCGCACCATGTACTTCATTCCGTTTCAGCGCCTAAGGTTCCGCCCGCAGATTAGTCACAACAAGCATTGACCAGTTTGATTTCTCGCAGGATGAAGACTTCAAAAAGCCCATGATCACAATCGCTGCTCCGTGCCCCACTTTCTGCTACTTCAAAAGAGCAAAGACTGCCTTTGTCAATCGATAGAGGTACAGCAATAGCATGCCTTGCAACAATCAGGCGCCGGACATGTGAGCTAGACGAAAGCGAGCTGCCCAGTTTGGGATTTAGGAAAGTTCTGAATGGCTACAGTAGAATAATATCAGGCAGTGCAGACATGCCGGGACATGCTTGACAGTTTCGGGACCTCGCAGATATCCTTGCGGAAGAGGTGCCGGGTCTGCTGTGGAGTCTTGCCACTGGTGTTGGACTGTCCTTCTCGCCCTATAGCCTATAGTTCAATAGTTCGCGGGTCCTGTTATGCTGACAGATTGCAGCTGATCAGATCAAAGCTCCTGAACGCGCCAAGCTAGCTTATTCCCCATCAGGATTGTATGATGGCTTGAGTCAATCATACTGCACCTATGTTTCACTAGCAGCTTCCCTCTTTTGCTCAACGGGCTGTTTCGTTTGCTCAACGCACACAAGGGCAACCGCCATGAACACGCCAAAAGAAGGCGGAAAGACCAACCGAGGAACCCCAAATGGGATTGTTTGAAAAGAGTGCACCCTAAAGCCAATGGTTCATGATCATTGTCCCTATTAAATGGCTATCATTGGGGGTATACACTATTTTCAGACAAACCCAAATCCCTTTCTACAGCGGTGCCACGCCATGCCATGGCCCACCTGGCCGGAGCCATCGCGCCTCCATGGCACGCAAGTCGAAGGAAGAGGCAGCTTGGACAGAGCTGAAGCGAGGCCAGCCGTGAAGCCGTCATTTTTTTGAGGAACAAGCTCTGTGATCTCAATGATATAGATGTCAATGATATATGTTTTATATGGTGCTAATCTCTGGATTTTTATATGGTGTGATCTTTTTGGAGGAAAATCCAGAGATGAACACCATATAAAACACATACGGTAAAACATATCGATGCAATGATTCACCTGCGACAGTGAAGGCAATGCTTCGCCATTTGATTTGTCGCAGGACTTGGTGTGGATGATGATAGCTCTTTGGAGTCTCTGCCGCACAAAAGGTCGAAGATGACAAGAGAGATGAAAACAAACCAAATTACATTATATATATATAAGAACAGTATGGCAAATGAGACAAGTTGGTTTCAGTTTTACTGGACTTGTGGCAGCCTGCATCTTCAAGGGCAAAAACGGCAAGCCCTTAAACCACTCCATGATGACTGTGCCAAGGAAGATGTGCCAGCTTCAGTCCTGATAGGATTCGAACGCTGGCGAAGAGCTGCTGAAGGAGAGCATCATGGAATCCGACACAGGATCAAAAGCATGCTTTTCACCAGGTGGGACAGTGGCAGCAAAAGATTCCATAGCCACTTTTGGAGACATTTTGCAAGTTCGAAAATACGTTTGTCATCGTTTGTCAGCAGTGCCTGCCAGAGTTTCAGTGACAATTTTGCGACAAATCTGTGTGGAACGCCAGGCAATCAGTGCAAGATCGCCCTTCAGCTGCAATCTGTTGGTGTTTTGGGTCTTTGGGTCGTCCAAAGATGTCCAGCCGCCACAGCAAGGACTGACATCCGCAGTGCGGAGCGGCATTCCGCCCAACCTCAGGGGAACTATGTGGCCACTTGCCTTGGTACCTTGCAGCTTCTGCCGAGATTTTGTGCAGAGATTTTGATGGGCTGCATTTGTTCCTTCGTTTTGAAGTAAGGTTCCTTTGCAGTGGTGGCTTGAGCAAACGGCGGTCGAGCAAAGAATCATATGCTTCGCTAGTAACTCGGTTTGGGAGAGTGACCCTGGGCCCCGTTTGCTGATTCGAATATCCTTTCTGTGGGGAGTCAATGAAGTAGCATCCAGGAAGAGCGAAAACTCCAAGAGTTGTGGATGTGAGTCTAAATTCCTGTCTGACACAAGACTAGACTTCCTGTGGTCCAGTTAGTATTTCTGACTTGTGGAATGGACAGGCCTTGTGTGCATTAAAACAGTTTCTATCACTGATGACACGCTGGGCCAACTGATCTCCTGTGGTGACGCAAGGTGCAAGAAGGCCACAGATGCAAAGATTCCACGGCTGGCAGGACAATAGCCAATGACTTGCCACGGACTGGCTGTGATGAATCGCTCCTGCCATCGCTGGAAAACGTCCTCCTGGCCTATGCGGCAGCTTGTCTTGATCCGGACATCGGTCGATTTTTGGGCCATGGGAACCACAGACTTTGGGTATTTTTAGTAGATGTGAGTACGATATTATTCTATATTATTCTATGGTAGTACATCATGTCGTACTTGGGTACCCAGCACTATCCTTGTTGTGCGACCCTAAGGTCCGCAACAAGGAGATTGGCTACTGTCAGTCCATGAACTTTGTTGTCGCCACCATGCTGATGTACTGCAGCGAAGAGCAGAGCTTCTGGATCTTGTGCAGTTTGGTGGAAGATGTCCTCCCAGAAGGATACTATACGGAGACCCTTAGCGGGCTTCGTGCAGTTACTTGGTGTTCATGAGAGGCTTAGTTTGTGCTCAAAAGGCGATGAAACCTCCAGTAAGTATTTATTCGAGCCGAATCATCTTGTCTTGTTCACTCACTTGATTGAATAGCTCAGTCACGCAACCCTCTTGTACACAATGGTACACCTTACTCTCAAGGACTTGCATCTCTTCAATTGGTGTGTCCAACAATTTGTACCACAGCTGGGCCAGCATTTCGATCAGAGACTTTGGCAGCAAGAGTTTTTCCACAATGCCGGACGATTGGTGCGCGAAAGAAATCCTGGGCTTCGATGCCTCGATGCCTTCCTGCAGGAATTGCATTGATGTTGCTCCGATCTTGATGAATTGGTTTATGTGTCTATTTGCTGGGGCCTCAGATTCTGGATTTACCCGGGTAAATCCAATGATCAACCAACATCAACCATCATCAACCATCATCAACCATCCATAATCCATGACATGGATGTCATCAACGATGGTTTCCTGTTGGGGAAAACCGTAGGTCAATACCCTGCCGACGGAACACGCGCATCGCGTCTTGGACTGCGTGCTCCACGAGGGCCACAAAGCCCTGTTCCGAACAGGACTTTGCGCTGCGGCAGCGCGATGAGAAAAGACGTCGAAGATGCGAAACATGGGGATATCATGGGGATATCATGGGGATATCATGGGATAGTGGTCTAGAACCAACAATGTTGAATATGGGAGTGTCTGAAAATGAGGTTTTTCCCGCCCGCACTATAAAAATCGCACATGTTTTTTTTTGGAACGATCATCCCATGGATTTTGGGTAATTAGCCTATTTTGGGACAAACCCAAGGACCAAAAGTTCCTTGACAAAGCACATAGCCTCTGGTAATTTAACATAACTATGGAAAATCACCATTTTTAATGGGAAAACTCACTATAAATGGCCATTTTCAATAGCTATGTCTGACATTACCAGAGGGTAGTATTCTGTAAGCCAATCATATGCCAATAGGATGCCGTGTGGAGTGCGGAGGACTTGCGATCCTTTCGCTGAGAAGTCAAGAGTTGCTCCAGTCCAGCAGCGTGGTGGAGGCAGCTCTTGACTAAACATGGCAAGAGGTTTTTGAAAGGGTAAAAACATGGGGGTTTCTTAAAATGGGGAATCCCCAAGTCACATAAGTCACCATAAGGGTCTCATTACTAAAATGGTCATCCATGACTTGGATGACTTGGGGCCACCCCAGGACTTAGGAAAGCTCCACATTTGTTTTTGCAGCATGGACCTACCATGGACGGCAGGCATATACTTTCCTTCGTCAGCCCTTTGGGTTGGATGATCGCGCTGTCAGTGATTGTTTGAACGCAGTGAACATCTCGCCAAAGCAACTCTTGGAGACGGCCTTCAGCGGCACTTGGCTGAAGGGCTTCAGGCACGATCTTGTCATGTTGCTCTGCGATCTCTCATGGCAGCTATGAAGTGAGGGCACCTATCGAGTTCTTGCGTTGGGCACGGTAGGTTGGAACAACTCGAAAAAGAACGAGAACGGTGCCTAGCCCAAGTCCGAGCTGATGATGCTAAGGCAGCACAACGATGCAGAATTTGGCATTGCAACTGGTGTGTGTCTTTTCCATTGCAGATGCATCCAAGATAAGTTTTGTTAGACACAATGTGATGAGCTTGATGAGCAGGTGGCAGCCAGAAAACAAGCTTGGGCCGAGAAGAATGCAGATAAAGCAGTGAATGTCAAGGCGCGAACACAGATACTGGGAAGAGTCAAACTTGGGTGCCGGAGAAAGGAAACGCCTTGCAGAATTAACATTTGTGGGACACTTGTCGGCTGAAGGTCTTGCTTTCGACTTTTGGTCTCTACTCATTTGAGACATGGAATCCTGACTGATGGAAAGATGTACATCATTGATCTATGTCTTTGTTTGGCCTTCAGATAGGTTGCAAGGGCTGCCAACAGCAAAACCATACCGCAGCATGGCAGCTTTGTGTGTCAGGCTTGGCTCAAAATACATGATTTTCGTATATGTTCAGATAGATTGAAACCAATGCCTCCATGAAAAGCTTGAAAAGAAAGCAACCCGAAGTGAAACCGCCAGATCGGCATCTCTCGGGAAGTGATCTCCGGAGGCAGTCAGCTGAGGATGCACTGCGAAATGAGCCAGGGACGCTGCATGTGGGCTTTGGCAAGTACAGAGACTTGACACTTCAGCAGCTGGTGAACAGGGACAAAGAGTACTGCCGATGGGTTCTTGCCCAGTCTGCTGATCACTTCAAAATTCGGAGATTGCAAGACTACCTGAAGCAAACTTTTCCGACAAACGCCGAGAGCACCTTGAACCCCACGCCAGAAACTGCAGAGGAGACCGCTGAATCCGAAGCCAAGCGAGTGTCGCTTGGAGGACCAGCTCCGTCTTGGGTACAGGACTTGTTGCGTTTGTCTCGAGATTATGATGAGATCAGTGATGACTTGGAAGATTGTGCTTTGAGTGGCTTGCCGGGTGAGACCAGAAAATCTCTGCACCGATTCCAACGCCATGGAATTGCTTTTGGAGTCCAGCGAGGTGGCCGAGTGCTGTTGGCCGATGAAATGGGCTTTGGAAAAACGGTCCAAGCGCTGGGCATTGCGTCCTTCTATCGACGCGAGTGGCCAGCCCTGATTGTGGTTCCTTCATCTTTGCGCTTGGCTTGGAAGTCTGAAATTTCCAGGTGGCTCAATGTGCAGGCCATCCAAGTGATCCGTTCTGGTGCTGACAGGTTTTATGCAGACAAGGATTTCTACATCATATCGTACGACCTGCTGCAAAAACACCCAAAGTTTCAAGATCGGGCTGGAAAATCCTTTGACATTGTTATTTGCGATGAGTCGCATTTGTTGAAGAGTTGGCACGCTCAACGCACCTGCCAAATCCTCCCTTTGCTTCAGAATGCTCGAAGAGCTGTACTCATTTCTGGTAGTCCTGCCTTGAACAATGCCTTTGAGTTGTACCCACAACTGACAGCTTTGCTTCCGAGTTTCGTCCCAGGTCCTTCTGACTTTGGCGAACGCTACTGCTGTGTGGATTCCTTCCAGGGTCAGGAGAGATTCACGGGCTCCGTGCGGCCCTCCGAGCTGCGGCAGCTCCTGTCCACGGTGATGCTGCGCCGCGGCAAGGCGGAGGTCCTGAGCCAACTGCCGCCCAAACGGCGACGGAGCGTCCCCTTGGAACTGCCCGTTGCTCCTGAAGACCTGCAGTGGCACGGTGATGCTCAAGGAATCCAAGAGGCAGATGAAGAAAAGGAATCCAAAGGATACCAATCGTACCAATCAGTTTATGCTCGTGTTGGGCTGGCCAAAGCAGAAGTTGCAGCAGACTATGTTGAAATGCTTCTGGATTCTATGAATGACAGCAAGGTCTTGGTCTTTTTCCACCATGAGGTGGTCGGAAACATCATTGAGAACAAACTCAAGCATTCAAAGGTTGCCTATGTGCGAATTGATGGCAAAACGCCACAAGTGAGACGGGAGGCCGAAGTCTTGCGATTTCAGGAGCAACCCTCTGTGCGAATCGCTGTGCTGTCGATTACAGCATGTGGCCTAGGTCTCACTTTGACGGCGGCGTCAGTGATTGTCTTTGCAGAGCTCTACTCGGTCCCCAAGATCATGGAGCAGGCAGAAGACCGAGCACATCGAATTGGGCAAACAAAGTCGATTGATATACATTACTTGGTTGCCCATGGAACTGTTGATGACAGCATCTTGGCTTGCCTGGCTAGAAAAGAACATGAACTGCAGCACCTTTTACAGTCCAATGGCGGTGAAGCGTCTACAGAGGAGATGCAAAACAAGATAGTTCCGGCTGTGCGTGCGAGCGCCAGACCCTTGGCGCAGAACGCAGCAATTCGAAAAGCCTTTGCAACTAGCAAGGAAAACAAAGAAAAGAAGGAAAAGAAGGAAATCCCTGTACCTCCCGTAAGGACTGTGAAGAGCCCTGGGTTGAAAATGCTGGGTGACCAGGATATGTCAATTTCTCATCGTTTAACTTCCATGGGCTTTACCAAAGCTGAAGTTGATGAGGCGATTCGAAGAGTTGGAAACTTCGAGGATGCGCTTGAGATTCTGCTAGAGCAGAATGGCGCTGCTGGAAACACTTCCAAGAAGCAGCCGCTTGTTCTTAGTGATTCGGAGGAAGAAATTCCTACAAGGAAAAAATGCGAAATTGCTCCAACAATGGAGGATCCAGACAGTGATGTACAGGTTACCATGGAGGATTCAGATAGCGATGTACAGATTGAATATGACTAAGATTGGCCATTGTGAAGTGCCACATGAAATTAAGCTCTGCTAGCGGCTTGTCTTTCTGTACAGATTAGGGGTTCATCAGGCTTTCGCCTGACAGGTTTAGGTCCATTTTGCGTGGACATGTGAGCTGTGGGTGGCTGGAAGAAGAGACGAAGGGCTGTCAGATGCTGTCAGTATTTCCAAGTGAAGCTTGTTGCATTGGATACTTTTGGCAGGATTGGAATTAGTCATGCATCTAGCTCTTTGTAATTCTGAGCCCCTGGGTACCTTACAGTCTCTCTCATAATCTCACTTTTTACAGCAATCCTCTCTCGCTCTTCTCTTTGCCCTGTGTTTCACAACATGTTGAACCCACAGTCAAGACTTCCACTGTGCAGGAGCCTACTCCCGATGCGCACCTGCCGAACCTACTTAGTGCTGGACCGGAGGCCAGATTCCCAGATTGCCTGCCATTTTTTTTTTGCTTTTCCGGATCCAAGGTTTGTCCATGTTTGTCCAAAACTGGAGGATACTTCAACATGGCGAATACGATCATCAAGCATGCTAGTTTGGGGGTACACTGCAGACACACCCGAGTAAGTGAGAGTAAGTGATGCTGTTGGGAAGAGGGAGTTGCCAGAGTTGACATCGGAGGAGTTGCGAAGCGCGGCTGAAGAGTTCATGGAACCTCGAACCCCAGGGCTTACGCCTTTACAATCCTTGGAGCAGGCCTTTTGGGCGCCCAGTGTATCAGCAACTCATGGAGGTAATGGCATCCATCACCCATATCATCCCATATCCCCAAGTGGTTCCCCATTGCCGCCATCAACTATCCATAAACCATATGGTATAATCTATAAATAATCCATGGTAACCATGGCATTAACTGTTCACAAGATCCATTTGGCAGGTGAACTCATGGTTGACTTTTGTCCGCACCGGAAGTGCCGAAGAGCTGAAGCGGCCGATTGTCGAAGCTTCGCCTTCCTCGGACCACACGGAGAGAAGCCCGGCGAGTAGCGCGCCACGGATCGTCATCCGACACCTGGGGCGAAAGTGGACGGCTCCGCCAGAGGTTGGTAAACCTGTGTCTCGGCTTCAGGTTCTGTGATTCTGTGATATGAATATTACATGAATTAATATATTGTTGGTTTCAAAAAGTAAGTTGAAGATGTTGAGTATGAAAGGAGCGGGCTTGCAAGTTCTCATGCTGTTGGGCAAATTTTGGACCGCAGGAGATGGTGATGTCTCCCATGGCAGTGGGGGCCCATGGTGGCCCTGTTCGACGCCTTGTCCAAGTGCACACACCGGTGGCTCGGGGTTTCCAAGCCATGGGTCATCCGGTCATCGCACAGCCAGTGCCCGTCTTTCGAGTTCCCGGCCAAACCCTAGCGATGAGTAGTGCCCTCCTCAGTGACATGGGGCTGTAGGGCAAGTCTTGTGGCAAACCATTCCGCTTTTGGGGTATCACATGTTTGACCAATACCTGCATGCAAAGAGAGTTTGAGATTTGCAGAGTTACGAACGGCCTTGTAAGTTGCAAACAGCATAGTGTCACAGAAACTGGCACCACTTCAATTCATCAGTCTGAAGCTTTGGATTCGTGATTAGTACAATTCATCCCAAATCTGAGGTGGTGGTACCTCTGGGGTGCCAAACCTGATGCAATACAACATGTTTCCCAGTCGGACCCTACTTCCTGCAAACGCATACTACTCGACCCTTGGCAAAAAATGCATTACGTTTCTCCCAGAAGGTTGGCTTTGCTGCTTGATTGCTGCGAAGTAAGGACTCCCATCCGCCACGCACACATTACGCCCCAGGGTCTCACGCCTCAGGGTGTTCCAAATTGGACACCTGCATTTAGTGTATCACAAACTGAAGCACCGCTGATGCCACCTTCGGTTCAGAAAAAGTGGCCGTGGATTCGGGAGTCGGAACTTTCATTTCACATGCCATGTGCGTGGCAGCTCTGGAATTTCAATAGGTGGAGAAGCTGGGTGGCAAGGCTCACTTTTGCTTCACGTCGATTCCCAAGATGATCATACCAAGACGTGACGTGCTTGGTGCTGGTGTTGAAATCATCAAGAATAATTAATAGTCATAGATAATCATTAATAATCATTAATAATCATAGATAATCCATAGATAATCCATATTTTGTCACTTGTAGCACCATTAAATCCCCAGATATGACCCATGTATCGCATCGAGCACATCGAGGCCAGTGATCAGCGATGGAGAATCCCAAGGTTGCAAAGCCATGAGATACTCGCTGGTGAGCCGTGAGGTGTGCCGTGAGGAATCAGCCGATGGGTTTACCCGGCCTGGTCAACTGACATAACGAACTGGAAAGATATGGAAAGATCCACCATCTTGCTGGGTAAATCCACTATTTCGACTGGGCCATGTTCAATAGCTATGTTAAATTACCAGAGGGTAAATGGTCAACCAGCTAAATCATGTTAAATCATGTTTGGAAGCCTGTTAAAGCCGATGGATGATTCAAGCTGAACTGGTGAATCCAAAAATTTGTTGATTTAACATGATTAACTATCAAGCACTGTGATGGCACCACCAAAAATGGCGATCTAGCCCATCAGCAGGTGTGATTTTACCACCGGGAACCAAAGATGGGGGGATGCGGCCACCACGAATGGGGAAAGAGCCTGACAGGTCATCACAGACTGCATAGAGGTGATGCATGAGGGCTACCATTCTGATGCCATCATCACACTTGGTGGCTGCGACAAGTCCCGTCCTTACATGCGAACAACTCTTAGAGTCGATTCTTTGATTTTGTGGCGAAGTTCTTTTGAACCGCGTTGAGCGGAACTTCCCCAGGAGTGTGCCTGCTGCCGTCATGCCTTTGGCTAGGAAGGAGCCACGTCTGGCGTCAAACCTTCCCAAAGCTTGACTTTTTTCAGTTCCTTTCGGCCTTTCCCTCTCAAACTTTTCAGGACCTGCTGGGCTTATCCCTGTTTGGTGGACCAGCTCTTCCGGGTATACATCCTGGATGTCGCAAGCGCGGAGCGGATGGACAGCTGGTGGATCAGGGCAAAGCCTTGGATCCTGGCAAGGCGCGAACACGAGTCAGCCCATGCGTCTTCCGTGGGTCTTCTGCAAATTTTCCATGCATTTTCACCATTGTTTTTATTTTTCCAGAGGACATCTCCCATGTTTTTTTCAGGATTTTTCCATGCTTCATACCCTTTGATAAGCAACGATGGCAATGGAACTTTCCCATGAAAAGCTCCATTGACTTTGGGGATTTCCCACCTTTGACCGTTTCGATTCTCTCATTGGCAGGTTATGGAGGCCATCGGTGCCTATGGCCAGGGCTTGATCGACCTGGAAGAGCTGCATCGAGCGGAATGCCATGGACTTCCAGGGAGTCGGAGACTCACCTTTCGCACCAAGATTGAGAAATTGGAACGGTGGAAGATTTCCGTTTGCTTTGTTCAATTCCTTTTTAAAACTGGGGAGGTTATAGACATAGACATAGAGTTATAGTCATAGTTACCTGAGATTCTGGTTTTGCTTGGTATTTTCTAATGATTTCAGATGAGAGAATTTTGTAGTCTGATCTGCGGATTGATCTTGGATGACTTCTCCATCATGGTTTCAGGTGGGTCATGCAGTGCAATGTTCACTGCATGTACAATGTCCGGGCCTTAGCACCCTTTGCGCGGAGAAACGTTCTTTTTAAATCGTCAGTCTTCAGTATGTTCTCTTCAACTGAGGGCATCCGTGGTTGAAGTTGGAGGCCCAGTCAACAAGTGAACAAGGGAAAGAGGACCCCAAAGCTTTGCCTAAGTGAAATGCTGCAGCAACACTTTAGAGCACTTCTTCACGTATGGTGATCCCCACAGGCTTTGGGTATGGCGCTCCCTGGCACTGCCAGCAAGCCAGCTGCAACTCGTGACGATCCGCGAACGGTCACGGAGCAAAAACGCCAGGACCTTTGATTTCCAATGCATTTTTCCACGTTTTCTCCCTCTACTCCCAATGGATGTTCACCGCTCCAGGACTGTGTAGCTGTGGTGGCCGCACTCTTCTCCTTGGCTGAGAAGGGATTGCCCGACTCTCGGTTTGTTCATCGCGGCAGTCTTTTTCCCGATCAAATGCGGTTGCAAGTTGGAGAAATTTGGTATGTAGTACTGTATGCATCGCTTGCGGATTTGCCACCTGAGTGAGCTGCCTTTCTTGTGCCATTTGGGCTCAAGGGGCCGCGGAACTGTAGTGAACACTTTGGCTGAGAGGCTTCGGCGAAGATGGGCCTCTTGTCTGAGACATGGGAAGATTGGGAAGCCCTGGAAGCCACAAATGCTTAGCACTTGACATATCTTGACATCATATTTTGCACTTTACCTACCCATACCGTACCCATACTGGAGCCATGGACATTTCAAAATCTGACCTCCTCATTCTCTAAGGCAAGTTCATCAAAGCAGGACGTGTGGTCGTCATGCTCCAGGCAGTGAATTCAGAATGCACTGCATGCTGACAGCTGGGATATGACCTCAAGTAACACTGGCTGCCAGGGACGGTATGCTGGCAAGAAGGCCCATGGGCCCATTGCATTTCATGTGTGAAAGTTGTCAAAACCTTCTGGTGCTTTTTGCATAGGGCATCATAGGCCCAAAAATGATCAATGCAAATTGGATGGTTCCAAGACTGACAACAAGCTTCCATACATTTCTGCAGATGTCCATCCTTTGATGCCTCATAGTGCCATCTAACTATAGTTAAGATTAAAATATGTCACAATGTTATAGTGTGTTATAACCTCTGAAGGCCTAACTTAACAGCTTAACGCTGGGTACCTGGTACGACTTATAACGGACGTAACGCTAGGCCATCGTGGTGAAGACCTACGACGATGGCTCCAAAGCCCGGCCCTTCGGGCACTGCATGGTGGCCGGCATCGACCGAGCTCCCCTGAAGGTCACCAGGTGGGCCGGGCTGGGCCAGACGCGTTGCTGAAAAATGTGTTGTGAGCAGTAAAACATAGTAAAACGATGAAAAAAAACAGGGGTTTCATATGGTTTCATACAGATAATATCGGATAATATTCATATGGTACCAAGTGGTTTTATGAATTTTCATCACTTCGAAGGTAAGACTCTAAACCCCCATGTTTTTGGGCAGTGCTGCAGGAAAATGTCCAAGAAGAAGATCACCAAGCGCACCAAGGTCAAGTGTGGCACTTGGTTTTCGGAGCTTCGAACATAGAATTGGATCAGGGGGAAATTGATGGCTTTTCTTCCTCCATTTTTTGATAAAAACTGAGATTTTTTTTTGTAACAATCCATTGGTTTCCTGTAAATTTTGAATTCCACTGAGATTTGCAAGATGAGGCGCTGTTGAGGGACTCAACAGCCTTCAAACCAGAGTGACAGAGTGACCTGTGGCCTGTGACGTATCAAAGGCCCTTTGTGAAGTACGTGAACTACAATCACATGATGCCGACCCGCTACCAGGCACCGCATTTTGCTTTTGCACTGGACTTCAGCAGTGGTGCATAGCCTCGCACTTCTTTTGCATACATTCTTGGTTTTGAATCCCCACTCTTGTTCGTTCTTGTTGGTCACATCTACACCATTCCATACACCCATGGTACCCTCTGGTAATTTAACGTAGCTATTGAAAATGGCTATGTATAGTGGATTTACCCATTAATAATGGCAATTTTCAATAGCTATGTTAAATTACCAGAGGGTAATTCCCTTCTTTCTCTTTGGTTTGCCAAACATTTCCGTCGTTAGATGCCAGGTACCTGCTGAGATGTCCCCGGGCAGCATCTGCACGGATCAGCAGATGGACACTCCAGACGGCCGAAAGGAAGCCAGGAAGTTTGCCAAGAGTTCCCTGGCGAAAAATGGCCCTGCTGGGTTGGTGAAGGATGGGAGAAATCACCGAGCTTATCAGATGAACATGTCATAAGACATACTAGTAGGATCCGGTAGGATATACACATGTGACCTTTTGAACCTATTTGTTCATTGCACAAGATATGCATATCATCTATTTTGCAACAGAGTGCAAAGATAAATTATGGACTGAATGGACAAAGATCCTTTTATCCCAGAATTGGCCTGTAGGAGGAACTGCAGGACCAGCCAATATTTGTAGAGTCAAAGCGCACGCTTCCAGCCGATGGTTGAACACCTAGCCGATGGTTAGTATCCCAAATGATGATTCGAAATTCGGATTCTGGCAACTGAAATGGCCTGACTTTTCAGCTTTGAAACATCTATGACCATCTTTGACCATCTATGACGCCTTTGACCGTTGACCGAAACCAGCTGGGACCGGATTCTGACCAATCCCCAGCGCCATCGAGGCCTCTTCCAGGAGAAGTTCCAGAATCCTCCCCACGACAAGTCTGGCCGTCCCTCCAAGGAGACTCACCGGCCGTTGGTCACCGTCACCCTTGGCTCACCGTTGGGTCATGACGTTCATGCCAATGGGATTTCATGGTGCTGCATGCTTAATGGATGGTTAAGATATGGGATTTAACCATGGTGAACGGAATTTTATGGATGTCAATAAGCTCATTATTACAATACATGGGATTTAATGGATGTTAATAGGGCTTTAACCATAGTTAAATGGAATTTACTGCATGTTGATGTATTGTTCATCACTAATGTGGGATTCACCCTGGCTGCCATAATGGTTTGTGACATTGGGTGGATCCCACATTAAGGTTTCTATGAACATGGGCCATCAACTGATGGATCTTTAGTGTGCTGACGGCAGGATGTCCTTTACATGCGCAAGAAGTTGCGCTTCTGAGTGCCCTGCGAGACACAAAGCACCAGTCGAAGTGTTGCTGCATCGAGAAAATGCGTGGCCGGTAAACCGACAAGCCAGCGACAACAGTCATAGGGATAGTTCACCATGTTCACCCATGATATTGTTGCCGCATTAAAAAAGCACACTTTTCCGACTTTTCCTATCAAATCCCCGTGGTTGGTTGATGATTTTTGATGGGATCGGTCAAGGTCAGCGCGAAAGATCATTACCAGCAAGGCTGTGGAATCTGTGGAAACATTCGGAGAAAGTGCAATCTGATCCCGTTTGCAATTTGATTTCTTCAGCCTCCAAGCTGAACATGTGCCAAGTGCCCATGTTCTCAGGCTCTCGAAAATGCCGTCGCAGTGGTTTATGTGTTGCCCTCAGGATCTCAGCACCCAGGAGGGCCAAATTGGATGGGTCACTGCAGATCTTTTTTATATGAAAACCTGTTTGCAGATTTGCAAAGATATCAACAATTCGGATAACATATGTCTTAAGTCACGAAACAGCCCTTGAGACCCCTTGAGAACACTATTTCTCAACTTAAAACTGTTTATATCATCCAAAGTTATGAACCATCGGGTTTTCATACCAGGTATGAAAATGCATGAAACACTTTAGAAAGCCATATTGAGAACACTAGTCACTTTAAGTTCAGCTTATGTTTCCCCGATTTTTCGCCACTCCAGGCACTGGGAGGCAGCACCAATGCTGTGCTGCATACCTTGGCGATTGCGCATGAAGCGCCTTGGGCGACCACCATGGTATGCTTGGAGTGGATGAAGCCGGGGTTGGTCCCCATTGATAGTGCTTATTGATTATCAGTGCTGATTATCAATAATAATGATGATTAATATTCTTCCTTGGATCATTGGATGATTATTGGATGATGATTGATGATTATTGGTGATTATTGATTATTATTGATTATCTTCCAAATATCAGGAGTTCGCTCATCATGAGAAGATCATGTCCACATACACCCTGTGTCCATAGTCGATAACGAGTTTTTGTCCTCGGACATCTGAAATAACCAACGGTGGCCTTGAGGTTTTGACCGACACCCCTGTCACATCATGTTGTGTCCTGTTCTTCAGGCTGGCATACCAGAGACCGAATTCAATATCGAGGACACTGTATAGCAGGCCATTTTTTGAGCATTTGTTTCATTGTTCGCATGATGTTTTTCAGCATCCAGTGGCAATCTGGAAGGATTTCCATCGAGTCGGCCAAAGGGTGCCGCTGATCGGAAACGTCTCTCCGCATGGAAGGCCAGGACCAGAAGCGTTGATGATACTTGAATATCTTATAATACTATCAATTATATTACTATTAATATAATGATGGATGTATAGGTATAATCCATTCTGAAATTCATCCAATGTTGCATGATGCAATACCTCCTTTTCAGCCTTTCGGTCGATTAAACATTTCCAAGTTAGCAATAGAATGTCCAGCATGTTCAGCTGATTTTCTGGGTGAGATTAGATATGAGATATCAAGATTTTCGACCTTGCCAGATATCACATGAGCGACCTTGACAAGATCGGCGGCGTTCCAGTGGTGATGCGGGAGAGCATCGGGTTTTTTTCTCGGTTTGTATTAAGACTTGAGCCTGGAATGCTGCGGACCCTGAAAGAAGGGTGGCACAAATTGCAATCTTAGAAGATTGGGAAGTCAGATTCTTCTTATGAGGAGTTGTTGGATGCGGGTCTTCTGCACGGAGACTGCATGACGGTGACTGGCAGGAGATTCGCATGCATTCAGAACCTCCAAAATCCAACTTCTACTTCCATGTGGCCAGGACAGTAGCAGAGAATCTCGCAGGTACTCCTTCTGTGATGGGCTAAGGCTAAGACATTGCCAACAGCCTCCGCTGAAACTGGCAAATATTTTCAGATGATGCGACCATCCAAGGTTGCAGCCCTGGGACATCAGGATGTCCTATATCCTGTCTCCAAACCTCTGGTGTCCAGCTGAGTACGTCCGCGTAGCACAAGAGTGAGGGACTTTTGAAACATTTCGTCGTTTCCCGGTGTCGATAGACAGGCACCAGCTGGAAACCACATCCTGGTCTGTGCCCAAGAGAGATCTTTGAAGCATTGCCGTTGCATGCTCCACACAGCGTTGCGTGTGGTGCAAAGGCTTGTTGTATCTTGAGCATATTGAGGTCTTGAAAGGAAATCTGGCCCCTGAGTCTGCTGTGTAGCACCCAGATGCCCAGATGCAGATCCACCAAGGAACCAAAGTCTCAAATGTTTCACAATTCTTCATGGTTTGATATGTCTGATATGGTTTGATTTGGACTGATATGATCTGATCTTCAACTGAGGTTTGTAAGCTCTCGGGCAAGACGGACATTGAGCTGACAGGTGCCATCCTTCGTTCTGCTTTGGCGGATGTGCGCGCTGGTGCTGGCTGTTTGTCAGGCCCGGCTCGATGCTTCGATGATGAGGACCGAAACGAAGCTGGCTTTGGAGGTCCACGATGATGATGATGATGATGATGGTTAATCCACGGATTGACCATTTGTTTCGTCAGCTATGTCAGGATGCAGCGTTTGGCGCCATTATGGCGGGAAAGATCCAGAAAGGTGCAACAACCTCAGGATCCGAGGCTGAACTGAGAGCACGGTGAATCGCAACACTGACATCACTGGTGAGACTTTCCCAAATCCAAGGATGTCCTGGTGATCCGCTATGAAGGTCCAAAGGGATCTCCTGGCATGCCAGAGGCTGGGGACATTTTTGGACGATCTAAACGATCCCAAACAACCAAACATCATAAATGATTTTAAATGATGGTGAATCTTGTGGAACCATCAATTCATTGGCCTCCTCAAGTGCGTGGAATGATAGATATTTATCGTGCCACATTCCACATTTTTGGTTGAGTGGATCAAGATCATCCCCAGTTCTTTGTGTTGGATAGATTTCCCTAGTTTTGTTCCTTAAATCGACATTTGCACCGGGCAAAAATCCACTCCAAAGTTTTCCTCACCAATTTTTGTGGTCGAAATCTCAACTTTCACAGGGTCAATCCCCTCAGGTCCGCCCACATTTTGCCGATTTTTCCCGGTGATGTGCCCCTGTTCAACAAGAAAAAATGCCCGGAAATCCTCCAGTCAATGGATTGGTTACCGGTTTAAGGGAAAATCGAAACCGGAAACCATAGATGTTCCCATTCAACAGGAGGTTTCCTGTAAATTTTCCCAACAAAACCAATTCATTGATCCAGCGCAGATGTTGAGCCCCGGCTCCGCCCTGGTGGGCGCCGGCCTGGGAAAGTACGTGGCGCTGGTGACGGACGGTCGCTTCAGCGGCGCCTCCCACGGCATCATGGTGGGCCACGTGACGCCTGAGGCCATGGCTGGCACCCCCATGGTGGGGGTTGAAGCATTTTATGGGGATCTAACTATTTAAAATGGGGATATGATGGGGATATATATAATATATATAGTTAACAATGATGATCTGGTTGGTGGTTTCACATATTTCTTATTTTAGATCATAGAAATGGGATGATAATCCCCAATGACTCGGCCAGGATTACATGATGGATTTGAAACAGCCTTTGAAAAAATAGAACAATTGAAAATCCACTTCTAAAATAGTGATGAATTGATCCGAACCTTTTCATTTTTTTTGGGTTTACTTGCTATCTATGGATGTATTGGTGGATCCACGATAAAAACCACCATTTAGGGATGATATAGACACCCACCAAGAAGTTATTTTTTGTTGGTGGATTCGCCAATGAGGTGGATGGGTCAATAAATTGGGATTCAACTAACGAAAAAAACAGATTAGCAAACATGGGCATAGTTGAAACATTCAATCACAGGGGTATTTTAACCACCAAAGGGAGTTAAGCCAGCAAACTCAGCAAACATGGGAATTTTAGCCATCAGAATATGGGCATCAGGGTTTTGGAACTGCATGCATTTAGCGTCATCAATCCCAAATGTGACATACTTTAAGTATGAGCGAGTAGCAGTATTGTTTCCCTAGGCCTTGGGGTAAGTTTCTTTGCTGTTTGCTTCTTGTGGCGAGGTCTCACGCCTGGCGGGGGGGTGTGCAGGTTCCTTTTCCCACGTCAAGTGATTCCTTACCCCTTGGGTAATGTTTGTCAAGGTTTGCTCCCCAAGGGCGAATGTCATCACCTGCTGTCAGCCCGCTCAGCTCAATGTCCGGCTGGCAGAGCTGAATTTGACGTATGAGCGATTTCATACTTTGGGAAGTTGAATTTTGACCCAAACCCATATCTTCTGCATCATTTGCATCCCACTCTGTGATCTTTCTTGAATCTTTTCAGAGTGTTGAGGGTTTGTTTGAACATATGGTACCCCAAAACCTTCTATTTGATGATCATTTTCCCATCAAGTTGGCATGCCCCCATTGGTTTTCCCATTCAGAAGCCATGACAGGCTGCAGTGGGTGGCCCCATTGGGCTTCTGGTGGATGGTGACATGGTCACGGTACGACCTGGCAGTCGCGAACTGTCAGTGGCGCTCTCCGAGGAGGTTGGAAGTCAAAAGGTGAATCCAAATCAGGGGCTGGAACCATGATTTTGGATGATTTTAAGATGATTGATACATTCCAATACATTCCAATACAATTTTAGACCTCTATATACATCTTAGTACATCTGAATATGGTTGCTGCATATAAATACCAAAACATGGCCATCATTTGTGGCTATACCAAAAATACTCAGGCTCTGTGGGTTGACATCATAGATTTTGATCCAGACTCAAATCTTTAAAGGACATGGACTGGGTATCTCCTTGCTGCGCAAGGAGCTTGCTGCGCGCCGAAAAGAATGGAAACCACCGGCTCCAAAGCCAGTCTCCCAGACATGAGACAAGACGCAAGGAAAACGAAACTATTCTGATCGCTTTGCGACAACGGCCCGTAGAGTGTTAGCTCCGGAGATCCAATAAATACCCGATGTTCTATGCTGGGCCTGTGGATACATGGGCCCATGTTGGGCCATGTTGAGCCCAAATTTGGCGACTTAGTCGATGTAAAAAAATAACATGTGGAAAAACTAACGATTCTATATAGAGTAAAAATCTTACCCCAGCAAGCTAGAGCTTAATATCTAATTGCAATTGCTTCTGAATCATGCGTGCCCACAAAAAACGTCTCGGCACCTTCAGCGCGGGCAGATTCTTTTGGTTCACCCGCTTTATATCCTTGAAATTTTGCCTTCTATGCCTCCTAAGGCCTGGATCGTTTGGCACATTAGGCAAATACGCATCGCAGGCGAGTCAGCCGTGCCACTGTTCTTTCCATTACACCCTGTTGCTTGATATGTTCGCTGCTTCGGTGCCTGATTGATACAGGTGAGGTCTGCTCACGTGGGAGCTACGACGTCATGAGTAGTGGACTGATTATCGTTTGAAGTTGCGACTCCACATGTCGCAGTTAAATGAGAGGGTCAAAGGCAGATACCCTTGAGTGAAAAAAATATGGTCCGGCACAGTGCTTTGAGAAGTCAGGCCTGTTCCAAGATGCAATCCATAAAGGCAGTTTTAGCGTGTGGACAAAGTGATTTCAGTGACAGCAGTTTGGCCCCTGAAGTGCAGGTACACAGAGTTTACCTCAACGACCCCAGCCTTGAGTCTCTCGACTTTGGATGCTTTCATGTTCCCAGAGGACCGAACATTTTTCACTAAGGCTGTCAACTTTGTATGGAGGAAAATTTCTTGATATCCAACCAACACGGTCTGCACCTGGCTCCCAAGTGTTGGCTGCCCAGGAGATCAGGAGCCGAGGTACTTCTGCCTTTGCACTGTCCATTTTGCAGAGCTTCTTTTTGTACCAAGTGATGCTCACGTGCTGCACATCTTCAGCATTTTGCAGCCCCGGTCACTTAAGGAGACATTGAAACACAAGCACTTGCAGAAGTGAGCAGAAATCAAACACCAGAAATTGTGAGTCTTCAGAGATTAAGGTCTGAGACTGCCATGAGATGTATTGCACACCTGTCTGTTTTGGTCTTCTCTTTGCAGTGGATCATGCTAACACCCATCTCGCTTGCCCGCGCCAAAGTGGTAACACCACGACGAGTTCGACGGAAGGCAAGGCAAGTCAGTCAGAGTCAGAGTCAAGTTTATCATTATCCGAAAGAGTTTAAAATAATGCCCATTGTTGGCCAATCACAAATGGGTTTGTTTGGGAAATTCGATACCAGTAAATCCATTGGTTAATCATTCTTTTATTTCCATATTAAGATAAGATTGTCATTCTGGAGGTATACCACCATTTTGAGACACACCCACACAGTTCTGGTCATATTAAATCATATTAAATCCCCATGTTGACTGACTGGTTGTCCAGATTTTCAGATGTTCAGGCGCCAGAACAGCCGCTCGGGAGCTGCAATGGTGTCAGTTCCGAAAAGGCTTGTACCGCGCTTGCTGATGCCTTTGGATGTTTTTTGAGACCAATTTTAACCACTTTGGGTCAAATGATGTTGATATTATGAGCGTTTGATGAAATGGTTGAATCTGCAAAATCCAGCATGTCTTGCAGGAAGAGAATGCGTTTGGCAGCCGCGCGTCATCCCGCACTCTTTCACCAGAGGACAAAATTTGCTCCAGTGCAAGATGTAGATTAATATACGATCAAAGAATATGCTGTAGGTCAGTGGAAATCAGAAATAGTCAGAATAGGGAGGTGGTGTCACTTTGGCCTAGGCCAAAAAGCTCACAGGACCCACTGAGGGAATCCGAGAAAGTTGGCGAGGTTTTAATGGCCTCGAAAGCTTCACAGACCACTTCGAGGCAGGAGCAGGACCCGTTTTGATTCTGGATGTGCCCCTATGAACACGGATGGATCAAAAGCCACAAGACGTATTTTCTTCGCAAGCCGAACCAGCCACATCAGTGTCCCAGGTCTTCTTTTTTGGACCCATATCCAAACAGATTTGCGCCGTCCTGGAATGGGCCTCTTATCACAGGCTGAAAGCTGACGATCGCGACGAGTCGGAGGAGCAGCTGTCCTCACCTATGACATTTGGGAGATGCAGTGGGTCATGTGACAACGCTTGGAAGCTGTAACTGGTAGCCCCAAAAAAGACATTTTGATTTTCTATCTCTTTTTGGGTCACCATAATTGGATACTGTATATATGAACAAGTTGCTTCTTACGTAAAAGTTCAAGACTGGTTTTGCTTCGTTGAACCACTGTATTATATATTGTACATCATAACAGATCAGCTCACACTTTTGTCTTGTTTGACACGTTCACACAGCGAAGAAATGCTGACTGTGGCTGAGACTGCAATGCTCTCGATTGCGATTGCGAGTACACAGATGTCATATCTATCATCCTTATGAAGTTTACCTTTTCTTTTGCAGATTCAAAAGAGAATCTCTTCATACATCGTTTGCTATTGTTTTTGTGAACCTCAGGAGCCTCTGGCAGCGCGCTTGCGACAGCTTGAGAGAAGAGTTCAGGTCAGGAAAACACAGCGACAGCACAGATTTCGGCTCTGATCCCATGCGTCAACCATTGCCATGCGAAGACTCTTGATCTTGGTCACATTTACTCAGGTGCTTGAACGTGACGTGCACCGAGAGGTGCGAAAGAGCTGTGATGATGAAATCCAGCATAGTGACCTCCAACTAGATCGAACAGTTTGGGGTGTTTTATCCTTGCTTTTTACCTCTTAATCTTCTAGGTCTTCAACTTCTCCTATTTTGAAGTTTGCTACATGATCAAAGATGATGAGCGGCCAATGCCAGGTGCCGGCGAGTGATGATTTATCCAGGCAGCGAAGCGATTGTGACGTGGTGGTTGTTACTGGTGGATACCTCAAAGTTGCCTAAACAAAATCCCATCACCCATATGAAACAGCCCAGACAAATGGTCCCGATGTGGAAATTCCCTACCTTCAAGGGATTTTTCTGGAAGTGATGATCAACTGATAAACCCAGCGCCAGAGGCCCCTTTTTTAAGAGGACTCACCAGGCTTGCGGCACTAGGCCATCGTTGAAAGCAAAGCTTGAGGCGCAGGAGGACGGCTGTGATCACAAAAATAGAGCGCTGAAAGTGGTGAGAAGTGCTGCTGTGGAGAGTTCCAGTTCCAGGATGTTTGGAAAGATCTTTTTGAAAAGCTGCGTGCGGAGGCCTCCCTCGGGGCCGTTAAATTGGAGTAGGTCTTCCTTAGTGAATTGAAAGTCAGCCAGAAACAATTGGTTGTGTTGAGACCTTCATTTGTCCAACGATTTTTGAAAAGCCGGGTAGATATTGGTGACACCAGATTGATCTGCCCCAAAGGTATCTTGCAGGTCTAGTGGTCTCCCAATGATCTCATGGGTAGGCGACAAAGCAAACCTCGTTGATAGCTTCCAAAACGGAAGAGCTGCTCGCAGCTGCAGACAAGCAGTCCGGAAGCCTATTTGGCAAGAGCTGAAAAATCCAGAATGTAGAACGTAGGGGGTTCGACAAAAAACCCTCAGCACCGCAGAAGACATTCATTTGGAGTGGGGGGAACCTTTGCCGGCAGTTAATTGGTGATATTGGTGTAAGCAAAGGAACGCAGAGGAGAAAAGGTATGCCTGTATGCCTTGATTCTTATTTTTCATGGCAGCTCTGTCCAGGTTGGCTGAACTGCTGAGTAAAGCAGAAAGCCTCATTCAGAAGAGCGCAGTGCAAGTGGAGGAGAGGCGAGGATTGGCATTCCAGTGATCAGAGTTTTTGGATGCTTTTGGCAAAGTATTTTGCTTGCTAGCAACTATCAGTTAGGTGCTTCCCAAATGGCAACTTTAATTAAAAAAATAGTGATGAACCAGTGGATTCAGGGGGTTTTCCCTAGATCTTTCGATAAACCCCATTTGTTTGGGTCACATTTGGACCTCAACCTCAAAGAATCTCCGAAGATATACCAGATATATAGAATGTCAGAAAAGAATTGTTGAACATTTATATCAAAATAAAATGCGAATACCAAATAGTACATCAAAAACTATGGCAAAAAACAGCCGTGTATGCGTAGTCACTGATCAAAGAAGCTCCGAAGCCTGGAGGCTGGCCAAGCGCAGCGGGCACCTGCTTCGTGAGATGAAGACTCGCTTGAGGGGTGCAATGCTTAGCGGCTGAGACCCATACATGGGGATATTTTATGGGACAATCAGCTATAAATAGGGACATAAGGGAACATCATATTGAAGGGGGATTATTCTATGGGATATAACATATATATATAACTTGTAACTTATCAACTTAATGTGGTTGTTGGGTTTGTCTTTGTTTATAGGGTATACCTTAGACAGAGCCTTCGGCCACTTTGCCGGTCCAGAACTATCATCTCTTCTTGATTAGTGTTTCCGTTCTCAACCTCAACATTGCTGTGGGTGGAGGCTATGTCCAAGGTTTAGTCCATGGCTGAACAATACGTTACAACTTGTATGAAATTGTCAACAATATATGCAACTAGCAACCCCAAACAGATAGAACAACAAATCATCATCAGATTAGTATGGATGTACTTTTCTACCTTTTTATGGGATGATTTCATTCCGGTGAGCACATGAGTAGAACTGGAATTGCAGTTAGAAAAAGGGCATGGCCCGGGCCCAGTGTTAAAGCTCAATGGCTCAATGGTCTCCACTGTGAAGGCAGCGGCCATATGGAATCTCCAAAGCCTGGAGAACTGCAGGTACGGTGGAGACAGTGCAGAGATTGTTGGAGCTTGTCATGAATTTTAGGCACCGTCGTATGTGGTCTCCCTGTTCGCCTCAAAAATAGCGACAGCACTGCGATGCTAGACATTGCTAGATTGGTCATTCCACACAGATCCACACGTGGGGTCTTCTGCAAACAGTTCTCTTGTTGTCACCGGCTTCGGTATTCGAGGCCAGTCCATCAGCGCCATTGAACATCGAAGATCGAGGTACCCTCAGCTGTGTCCATCCAGTCGAGCAGTGGCCATCAGTGATCAGTTCACTTGATCCTGACCCTGGCATTTCTTGAGGTTGCAGAGCACCGCAGCAGATTTTTCAGCATAGGCGTGGTTTTATGGGTGATCTGTTGGAAGCTTTGACCCGTGAAATGCTGCATGACACGGTGATTCGAAACGCAGGTCTGGAAAAGCTGCTGAGGCGGGACTTGGCACTGGGAGTCTTATCATGTCCCGAAATGAAGTCTACTGAGTATACTGTGATCTTGAGATGTTTCGTCAAGTTGTGCTGCAGGTCCCTTCACCTTTCGATGCTTCCGTGCCAATCAGGCAAGGTGAAACCACTCAAGCTCTTTCTGCCAGTGGGGCAGAGCTACCAGTGGGAACCCCCAAAAATGGCATGATTTATTGCGAACAATTGACAGTTGATCAGTGGTTGGGACATGATTTCTGATTGCGGAAAAGTCACCAGGCAACCCATGGACCTGAACCATGAGCTGACTGTAGAGCCACTGACAGCAATCAGTTTGCTTCTCAACCGGATTGAAGCATTGTGGTTGTCACTGGCAGATAGGCTTCAGTTAGGCTTCTATTCAAACCGTTTCACAGGTGTAGATGGCAGTTTGGAATTTGTGGAAGATGTGGGGTCTGCTGACGCTCAGCGACCTTTCAATCGCACCAAGGTGAAGCAGACGGGAGCCCAATGCAGACGTTGACCAGCGTGGCTGAGTTGATGGCAAAGCTTAACCGCACCGGAAGTTGAAGCCGAAAAAGCGAGCGAAGTCTTGATGCGTTTTTTTTTTTTTTTTCCGGAGATCTTGCGGTTTCTACATTGAAGGTCAACTTCTTGAAATCTTCTTGAACGGCTTTCTACTTATGATTAGGACTTATGATCTTTGGAATCCTCATCCTCGCGCAGGATTTTGCCAAAGCTTTTCAAAGCATTGGCAAGCAACACCCATTTGAAACACCTGCCTTGCCGGCCTGTTTTCCAGCATGCCAAAGAATATGTTTTCAACTGCAACAAAAAACATCAGTCAGGGTTTCCCACCACAAGATTGCCAGTACTTTCAAATTTCCAGTTCAAAGGGAAATATTCGCACATGACCTTTGGTTTGGTTTGCTTGGAAGCCTTCAATTGAGCCAGGATGTTGGGAAACACAGCCCTCGAATCTGACAAAGTGCCTGGCTTACAATTTGAGATGGACTTTTTAGATGGCCCATGTTGGCCCTTTGGGCAGCTGCATGGTTCTTGTAAATGGCTGCACTCAAACTCACACGTGCAATGCTTTGCTGTGTTCCATCCTACCCTGTTTCTCAAGCGGGAAGAACAGCACAAGAAAAAAATGTTTGACGCATGCGGCTAAAGACAATTTTGTTAAAAGTGGTAACGACAGGTATCTAGAATCTTGCCGCCAATTGGTGGAAACATCCCACACGTCACAAAGATTCCAACGAAAAAAGTACCATCCGCTTTGTGAAAAAACTTCCGTCCACCGGTGCTCAGAGACTTGGCAGAGGCCGGCTGTTCTGCAGCGTGACTTGATTTGATCCACTCAGCTGTCCAAGCCCTGCAGGCCAAAGATGGGACGATCAAGAAGCACAGACCTAAGGGATCAGGGTTGCAGGCTGCTGATCTGATCTGTGCAGCTGAAAGATCTGAAAGCCTTATTCAAACGGAAATGGCCATGAAGGTCGTAGCAGCCGATCCTTAAGTACGCCCAGAAAACCTCAGGACGGCTGCAGAATTTTCTGCGAAAACTGACCAAGTTGAGTGACTTTTTCTTCGCAATTTTGAGGAGACAGGAACCGTGAATAGTTGGAATGTCCAGCGCCAGTTTGGCTTTGCTTCCTGCGATAGTAGCCGTTGCGAGCTCAGGGGCCACATTCGGCATCCGTTGTGGCATCCCGTGCTGCAAGTCTCGGTCACGTCGGTGTCGCAGATTGCTGAGGCCAAGATGTTTTCGTTCACGCTGAAGCTTTTAAGGACATGGAGGCGAATGGTTGGGTTTCGGCTGGATTTATACATTTGGAGGTTTCCAATCCAGGGGGGTACCCCCAAACAGACCATTTTAAAATTGAATTTTCCATGAAATAAACCATCCAGCTATTGGGGTACCACCATGACTATGGAAACCCCATTTATTCAGAGCCAAGTCATCGAAAACCTTGCAGAGCGCCTCGAGTCTTCAGGTTCGAGACAGGGTGAAGAAAAGCGGGCTCCAACGTCAAGGCCTCAGGAAGCAAAGTTGGAAGGGTCCAGGCATTTTTTTGAGTCAACTTATACAGTGGCAGCATCCTTTGCAAAGTTGAATTCCTTATAAATTGGTATGACTATTAATTATTGCAGTCTATGTTTTATCATGATGCATATATATATATAATGTGATTCAATGTGATTTCATGACACACCATGTCTTGACATTAGCACTTCCAAGGAGGTGACCATGTACGTTTCGATGTGAAGGACACTGGTCGTGGCAAAAAACCCGAGGAGCGGAACCGAGCGATGATTTTTGTAATGCAGTCATGAAGCACACCGGATTCACGAAGTCACATCTCGTGGGGAAAGGTTCTCAATCCGGAAGGTTTCTGTACAGTTTCCATTCTAGCTTTTCGTCAGTCAGATCCGGAAAAACCGGATTGATTTGTGTCGACATTCTGCCGAGGCCAAGAACGTGGAATTAGATGAACAAGGGCGATCACGTGAACGCCAGGGAGGCGCGTTGGCTTTTCAGAAAAACACCCAATTACTTTCAAGCTTACTTTTTACATCTTTTTAACATTTTTTAAACAAACATAACTTAACATAATCTCATGGAGCTTATCCTCAACTTCTTGACCTTGACTTTAGTTTCCTTGGATTTCTTGCCTTGAGGCTCCCGACGTTCCAGATCCAGAGGGAGAAGCGATTCGCGCCGCTCCAGGATGGGCTCTTGTCCTTGTCCAAGCTGAGTGTATGTCATGACAGTCGCTAGTGGCTTATTGCAACGTCATAAGTAGCTTATTATAAGAATTCTGCGAAAAAGGCTTGCACCAATTTCTTGCCAGGAAAAACAAAACAGGCAAAAACGACAAACATACGCACAATTCAAGAACAGAGCGAACAACAAAAGGAAACAATTGATCAAACATGCAAAGAAAAACAAGAGACAGAACGCCAAGGGACCAAAGAAAGGGCAGAGAAAGAAGCAACTTATTCCAGTTCGGCCATGCTTCGGTCTTGAGATTTGCTTGATCACCAGTTACTTCGATTTTCCTAGTTCAAAACATATTATACATATATACGTATCTCTCTCTCTCTATATACATATATACATATAAAAATATAATATAATTATACACATTCATTCTTTACAATGACACAAAAAAGAGAGACATCAGTAATGAACCGCGGTGCATGTCTGTCTCCTCTGAGTGTTTCCAATGCCAGGCGAAGGAGGTCTGACAGCAGGCGCAGGCGTTGAAGATATGGAGGAATGCGGAGGGTAAAATTTGCGTGGCATTGCTTGGACCTGGTTGGAGCTGATGATCCCCAGTCATCTAGTATCATCCAATATCATCTAGTGGGATCAGGTGCATTGCATTCAACATCAGATTTTCCTGACAGCTGTTTCAAGGGCGCAGTCGAAGACTGAGGTGTGCATCAGTCAGCTGGGTGGTGCTTTGAGAGCCAACTCAACGCTAGAGAAGCTGGACCTCCAGGCGCTGTGCAAGTCTATCCATACCATGGCCAGGGATTGGGCCAATCCGGTTGTTGGTTTAAGGGGAATTGGGGGTAACAACTGGGGTTTCCTGTAGATTTTCCTTGAAATCAATCTATTGAAATTTGCTCGAGGCAAACTTTTTGGAGATGTGCGATCTTGCGGCTGGTATCTTACAAAGTAGATTGCTGCCCTCCAGCGCTTTGTTGCAGATTGGTATGATGAGTGTTGTGCAAGAAACTTGTGGCTGCAATTCCTTGCACTTCAGGTGATTTTCGAAGCTCTTGCCGAGAACACCGGGTTGAAGGCCAGAAAATCAGCCAGTCACCAGCGCACTTTTTTTTTCTCGTGGCTCCAAGCTGCGCCAGGACTTGAAGGTGAACTTTCAAGCCTGTGCCAAGCAGAGCTTCAGGGACCTGATGCTGGAGCAGGTTGGGGCTCGGGGATTGTGCAGCACCTGCTGTTTGAAGTGCCTGCCTGCACAGGGGAATGATGTCTACAAGGCAGCGGCTGCAGCCTTCCGCAGCAATCGAAGTCTTGTCAAGCTTGATTTGCTCCTGCCTCAGCGACTTCTTGCATTCTTGCTGCGCTTCAATGCCTTTACCTCCAGCGGTTTTTTCTTTTTGCATTGACCTTCATTTTGCAACAGACCTTTCCCAAGCCTGTAGCAGTGATGAGCAGAATGTGGATGTTGATGTGTCAATGGGCAGGATTCTGTTACAGCGTCACTGGCAAGATCAGATTTGTAGGGGCCTGATGCAGAACAGACAGGCTCCAAGCTCAGCGCGTCCAGCCGTCCGTTTGTCGTCATCGGGATGAGCCATGATGAGCCCATGTCCATTCTCCGGAGGAGCTTCGCAAGTCAGTTGTACCGAAGGCTGGAGGCTGGAAACATGAAATAGATATAAATATGATAAAAATAAATAAATAAATAAATAAATAAATAAATAAATAAATAATATATATATATAAATAGACCAAATGCGCAAGTGCTGATGTTTACACACGTCAAGGATTCTGAATATCTTGAACTTTTAAGCCATTCTGTATTTTCCATCCATCTGCAGGATGACGAACAACATCTGCGGTCTCCTGATGGAGTGTGCTTCCGACTCGCTGAATGGGATGGGCTCAGCGAGAATTCGCAATTGTGCAAGATGTCTCGAAATGTCTGTGATGATCAGATCCGCAGATTTTAGTTTGTTTCACCTTCGCATCAGGGAGAGTCGTCAAAAAAAGACCTGACTTGAGTGGATTTGTGCGAAGATATGCAGACTTCACACTGGCTCAGTGCTAGATTTAAGTATCCGTGCTTTTGTGATTTTCAGAGATTTCTGTACCAAGTGCTTTGCTGAGCAGCTTTGGATCAGCAAGTCATCCTAGCTGATGTTGCCTCCCCACCTTGTGGACTTGAGGCTGCCACTTCTCACCATGCATTTTTTCCTTTTTTTTTTTTCGTTTTCCCGTTGCTTGATGCCGTTGTTCTTGTCTGGGTCCACATGTTCATGCAGAACCTCAATGGTTAGACTGAAACACACTGTCCAAAGACCTTTTCAACTCACCCAGAACCACTGAGCTGTCTCGGTTCTCTGTTTGGACAGGGGGCTGGCCGTTTAACGACATGCTCTGGATGTCACGATGGCTTTGCCTTCTGGTGGTAGCTAAGCTTCACTTGAGGAGACATACTTTGAGATGATGCAACAAGAAGCTGCTCCACAGCTACTCCTGCGCCTAGCATTGTTCACATTTGTCTCACCGTAAGAATTGGAGCAATGCCTGAGGCAAGCACACAGCTGGAGGCACTTTGATTTGCACAGAAGGGCGCTAGTTTGAACTCAGTTGAGTGGTTACTGAGTAGCTTCTCCGACCAGGAAACAAATGGACAGAACGTGCCGGTGCTCCCGGCCCTCGGCTTGCGACTTGCAGATGAGGATCTGCAAAAGGCACAGTTTTCACGGCTGTGGGGGGGAAGTTCCATTGAAAAATATCCAACTTCCCATGAACATTTTTTGAAACCCATGTTCGTTGATGATTATTATGGGGTTGTAATTACTATCCAATCGATTGGGGATTATCATAGTCCATGATCATGGTGGATCCTGTTTGGCCACCCCCTAACGAGCTTGGGTGTTGCAACGCTCTTCTGCAGGGCTGGATTGCTGGCAGAATGTCCATTCGCGGTCCCCAAGAAGTTGGGAATACCGCGGCGATTGATTTTTACACTGCTCCTTGGCACGGCTATCAATTTTCATCATCTTAAGCAATGGTTAATCAATGATTCATATTGAGAAATGCGACCATTTCCTTTCCAAAGCTGAGAATTCAGCTGGGGAGTTGCCTTCTTTGGCCAATTTTAGGCTACCAGAGCTGAGGTGTACTGGGGCTCTGACACTATCACGAAGCTCTCGCAATCACCACTGGCAACTCGCCCAGTGCTCTTAGTTTCCTTATTTTGGGCAGGAATCAAAATTGGATGCCCATGGGATGGATTCGTATCATTTGCGAAGTTGCAGTTGCGGCATCCTTGAACGATGACGTGTGTTACAGTGCTTAGCTGCAACTGACCAAGGCAACAATCACCCCCATTGGAAATAGCACTCCATCTTGCAGCGGTGGATCCTGTGATTCGAGCCTTTACCGCGGTCAAGCAGCGGTTCGCTACTAGGATCATCCCGCTGGTTGATAACCCCGCCAACTGGGTTATGATACCATTTATATTCATTTATGACATGGTTTTAACATGTTTTACCCCACTTACTAGCCAGTCACTAAGTGGGATGATCCTCCAAGTACTGTCGATTTACTGCATCTGGTGAGTTCTGCATCTGCCGAGGATTGTCATTTCCCAGGATCCAGTGTCTACAAGCCTCTTCCATATTAGCAGGGGTCAGATGGGCTACAGCGACAATGAGTACGCCAGCATTCTCTTACCAAGCCGCCAGCCAGCAACCTTAAAAACAAACCGCTAGAGACTAGAGACGTGAACATGTTTTGGGCTCCAGAGATTGCGATGTGGAACTAAGGTCCGGGGACTGTGACTGTGCTGCTTGGAGAGCAAGACTGGGGACTGTTCTACTGCTGCCCAAAATTTGCCAATGATCTACTTGTTTTTTGGGTACCTGCAAGCTTTCTTGTGCTTTTCCCCAAAAAACTCTGGTCTGGAAGTCTGGAACTAATACAGCTGCTGACAGCTTCTTGGATGGTGCCCTGCACTTTTTGCTCCGCAAACTAAGGCTCCAGCTCAGTACTGAAAGCGGCTATGACTTTCTACACATTGGTGCGCAAAGCTATTCTGGGCCTCTCTGCTTAAGCTGGTTTGATGATGTGGAGATGTGGCTTTTCGTACGGTGCCGAGACATCTCAAGGATCTGTCGTTGGATTCCCCTCAGGAGCCAGTCAGGAATGGTGGTTCAGGTCGCTGCAGGGTTCCTTGGCCTGGTTGATGCTGGTTGATGCTGGTTGATGCTGGTTGATGCTGGTTGATGCTGGTTGATGCTGGTTGATGCTGGTTGGTTGTTTTGAAGCATTAGTGTGTTTTTCCCCCTCTGATTGAGATGATGATCCGCCAGCATTCCAATATTCTTGTTGCTTGAAACCCGCAACAATCAGATGCCGAAGGTCTACCATTGTTTGGGACTCTGACTTCAGCGTCACTCGGGATGGCTGGTCCGTCACCTACCAGGTTGAAATGGACTCTTGGACTTTCATAAGTTTTATGTTTGATCTTGTACCTCCCATCTATAAAAATCTATCGAAAAATTGAAATGGTGTTTTTCCGCTCAAGCCGCATAAGCCGCGATTCATCATCTCAACTCATAGAATCGACACCTGGATTTCTTTAGCTCATGCTATGCATTTTGAAGGCCGCCACTAGCCCAGGAACAAATGCTTGGAGCAAACATTAGTGCAGTGGCCATTCCGGATGGGGCTTCCCACTTCTTGGTCTACTCAGCGAATTCCTTTGGTGAGATGATCGTACCGTTCTCCGCGCCAATCCAGGATATGTATGTTTGGAACTTACTCTTCTGGTTAAGTGTTGAAAGCAAAAGCAATTTGATACCAATTTGGAAGTGTATATGGAAAATAGGGCTGTACCCCGTGGCTACTTGATTGAATAGGGATACGGATGATAAATCAGTGGATTCAGGTGTACCAGAGCCATTTCTCCGAAATTGTTCAAATGTCAGTTTGTCCAGATAAACATGACATTAGCATATATATTAGCTACGGTCAACTTCCACTTTTTGGTCAGATGCACTACGGTTAGACTTTGAGGTCTTGCCACCTCCATCCTCATTGAGCTTCACTGATGCTTCGGCAACTGCAAGCTATATCTCCGGCACCCTTGAATTGTTTGCCCCCAGCGATGTCAGTGATGTGCAGCGTGTCTTGACATGGAAGGTCGATGTTGCTGAGATGTGGTCATGTCAGTGGTCATAGCTGGTCCATGCTGGTCCATATGAAGCAAAGGCTACGATGTCTACTGGGGCAGTGGCAACCGCCGCTTGGGGGTTTGCTCCTCCTCTGCGGGTTACAGATTCGAACCAGGACGGCGGTGCTGTTGAAGTCGACGTGACTTGCACTTCAGTGATTGAACAGGACCCACGCTGACAAGGGATTGCTGGAGCCCAAGATTTTCTTGTCCCCAAAATGGGACATGAATTCCAATCAATTTGTTCATTCCGTTCAGATGGAATCCCACGTGTTTCTTTCAGGGGAATGCTGAGGTTCCGGCCATGCTTGGGACTTGCTGGAAATCGCCGCTGAAAGCGTTGCAGGGCCACTTCAGCTGGGTGGCTATGGACTTCGCTTCGACGGTCACTTCGGCTGATTTCAGCTGGGCTTCCACCCAGCCGCACCCATTGTGGCTGCCTGTGGCTTCCCAGGTTCGTTCTCCGCCATGACCAGTCCATATTTCAATTTGTGCGGCGATGCCTGGTGGGGTTCTTGCTATGGATCTGCTGCTCGTATGCAAAACAAAATGGGATCATGAACTCAGGCCCTGACATGGGAAGACGAAGCATTCCTCTGAGGTAGATTGGACAGTGGCTGCCTGGATCAATCCTTCGGTGCATCCAACGAAAACCGCCACCATTCTTCGAAAAGATGGAAGTATGCCTGAGGATCCTTGGCAGCTTATTCATCCCACCACCGTAAGATTAAAGACCCCCAAGAAACCATGAGTTTAGTCGGGGATTTACACATCTTGAATATTCTTGGGACCCGTTTAGGATGTATTTGATCTTAGGCGGATGGAATTAGACTATAACAGATCTTTGTGTTGGATTCTATAAATGTTTGCTTAGCGGGATGGCAATGTGACCTCACGGTCCTCACGGCTATGCCTGGGACCGACTGTGCCCAGGAAGACGAGTTTGGATTGTATTTGACTAGCAGCTCTTTGATCAGCTGTAAGACCAGCATTGCTGGATGGGGCCACAAGCTCAGTCCGTTGCAGTGGAAATGGGGCAAAATGTGAGACACTGGGATCACTGGGAAGTACAGTTTTGGGTCATTTGTTGCAGTAAGTTTGTGTACCAGAGTTCCCATGCCTCCGAAATGACCCCAAATGGCACAGTTTTCCAATCATTTTCCACAACTGGTGTAGTCTTCTCCAGTCCTTTTGGAAAGATAAGCCACGACTTAGGCCCGTTCTCATGTGAGACGACTACCAGCTTGGTACGCAACGCTTGGACACATGTTCTGTGTACTCGGCAGAGAGTTGGGTCGACCACAGAATTGAGGCGTGAAATCTTGGTGGTTGCATTGGTTTATGAGTCCACAGATGCCACTATATATGCCACTGCCACTACGCTAAGATTGAGAAGATGATTTAGCAGCATGTCATTCCTTCTCGAACAGAAATACGGCTTTAGCCTTTGCCTAGAGCTTAGAAACATCAGAAGAGACTCTAAAAGGTTCGAAGAGAACAGACAGCAAAATGACGGTTCACGGAGCAAGAGGATCGCATCATACAGTATTTCCTTCAATGTTCTGTTGATGATGCCATCTACCTATTCCTTTTGCACATGAAAGGAGCATCCTTGGCATATCAACTAGCCTGCTCTGATGTGGACAGACTCGCGGTCAGGATCTATGTCAATGAGCTGATGGTGCAGAGTTGTGCAAGCACCCAGACGAGTACCATGCTCTACAGGCGACTTTGCTTTCACGAGCAGCTCTTTTATATGCGGGATGCAACCAGAACACCCTTTTGCTGGCTATTCTGATCGAGTGTCTAAGCAAGTTGGAGACGAAGAGGAGTGCCTGCACTTTTCTGCAGGTATACTGGGTCTTTGATGATTGGCGGGAATCCTGCAGGGTCCCCAGAATTTCTCCCGGTGCCTTGAGTTTTTTGCTCGGTGCAGCCTGCATTGTCACGTCACTTGGCATGTGCCAAGGCCGCCATTGCCTTGGGCATGGAGTCGTATTTCGACGGTGTCCTGGACGAAGTTGCCATCTTCGACTACAGCTTCACCGCTGCCGATGTCCATCTCTTGTACAACGCGTCTCGTACCTTGGACGTTGATTGGTCACACCCTGCGCCAATCTTCTTTGGGCCGAAACCAGGAAATTCCAGGATTTTGACGCATATCTTTTGTTCCCGCTAAATTTATCGTTAAGATCGCAATTTTTGCTGCTCAACCTCAAAATTCTGAGGTTTCAATGCCAACTTTTTTGATATATACAGTATACTATACTGTATATATATATATATACACTGTATATATATATATTATATATATATAATATTTCATTTTGACGTCATGTCGCGTTCTTTTGAAACCCGGGTTGACATGTAAATGCCGTTGCCGTTTGGATCTTAGGGCGCTTCAGTCGTTCCGCTATTTGCAAAATTGGTGGGCTGTTGACGATCCCGTACCAAATTCACATCATGGTCACCTACCTCGAGAGTGATTGGCCATGAAGGGCCGAAGAACTTGTGGTTGTTGCGTGGCAATGTTCCAGTGTTGTTGGTTGCGTCGCATGTGGATGATTTGCTGTTGCAGAGCAGCGTGAAGAACGCAACCATCGCAACTTTGACAGATGCGAACCGATATGTCGCATTGGCCCACCAGAATTCAGATGAAGTGAAATTGCGATTTCCCATGACTCATTTGAAGTGTGAAGAGATTGCGCTTCTCACAGTGACAGATGCCAGCTTCTCGAATGAAGCCAAGTACAGATCGCAGCAAGGAAGGTTTCATTTTGTGACCGATATCCATGAAGCAAAGGATCCGAAGAACACCGTGTATCGGGTTCTACCACTTTCATTTGGCTCTACAACAATTCGTCGAGTGTGCAGATCTACACTGCAAGCGGAGACTTATTCGTCGCAGCATGGTCTTGAAGCTGGTGATAAACTTGGAGAGGTGAACGCCGAGTTGAAGGGCCAGATTTGGAGCCGACAGAAGTGGGAAGAGGATTCGAGGATGTGCATACCACACCTTGCTTTCACAGACTATCGAAGCCTTCCAGATCACCTCGTGGCCGAGATTCCGGCTCGTGTGCAGGACAAGCCGCTTGGCATTGAGCTGACTGCCATGATCTGCAAAACCAAGGCACACAAGCAAGGTTCATCGTCTCACCTTGCAGGGTTCCTTCAATTTCTTAGAAAGATTGCCCCCAAGCGTGAGCAGCCCTTTACAAAGGTGGCAGCTAAACTTGTTGCCCTGCAGATGAGGCATTGTGTGGGTGTGGTGCAAAGCTGTGTGCAGTTGGCTGCCCAGACATGAGGGGGCACACTTGGGAATACATTCCCTCATCGCCTTCTCTTGCATACACGCCAAGGAGTCATAATATTTAAGAACCAAGCCGCACGACGTGCAGCGTAAATTTCTCTGGGAGCTTTGCCAAACATGACCAGTGCGAACAACGTGAGAGGTAAGCTGTTGAAACAAAGAGGCTTTAGTGAGCTTACAAGCATTGGGTTCCTCAGATGCAGGCCACTTGACCTTGAGCCAGAAAAGGACCCTAGGAATTACCCAGTGGATGAGCTTACAAGCTCTGAGTTCCACCCAGTCGACAACGCTCTTATGGGCATGATTTGCAGCATTAGCCCGAGCAGTAGCCTCTTTATCAGCAGACCTGTTTGCCTCCCACGCCCATTCCAGGGCAGAACCATTATGAGCCAAAAAAGATTCTTTTAAGGAATGCGACTCAACCTTGACCAGTTCCACACCACGAGTTTTGGGTTTCAACAACTGAGCCCAAAGATCACCATTGGTTTTTGAAGCAGCACGACGTTTCAAGAGCCGAGCCCAGCCTTTGACGACATAGGAAGCATCCAAACAAACAAGGATGCGCTCATGATCCACTCTCTCAAGAAGGACCAAAAAGGCAGTCAATTCTGCCCTAGGGACAGTTGCTGGGCGGTCTGCGTCCACCACTAGACGAGAGATTTTACCAACTTGGACCCAAGCACCATCAACATGTTGGAGGACTAAGCTACAACAGCCCAGGCACAATCACGCAAACGCGGATCAGCAGAGAAAGGTCCGCCAGCCCCATCGGTACCAAACACTAAGGCAGAGGTGTCAAAGCCTTCAGGGTTAAGAAAAAACGCTTCTGCCACCACACAGGCAGGGGTCAGTGCAAAGCTGTTGCTTTGCAGTCCGTAGAGCACTGACCAACCCTTTGGTCCAAAAATGCTCTTGATCACGCTGGGCAACGCACGGCTTCCAAGCCTCCGGCGTTGCCCCATGGGCTTCAGCAACTTTGGGGCATGGATGCATCATGTGGAGCAAGGACAATTCAACAGAAGGACAAAAAGGGCATAATTTGTGAACGGAGTTATCCTTATTAAGTGCACCCTGCCATAAGACCAACGCCAACGGAAAATCCTCCCTGCTCGCGTCAACACCGTCCCTAAGGAACTCATTGCCAGGTTGAGTTCGAATAACATGATTTGAGTAGCTTTTGAGAGACAGCTCAAAAACGGTTTGCACTTCAACCTCCAAAGCCGGGTCATGAAAATCAAGGGACCACTTGGTGCCTTTGGGATCAGTCCACTGATCGTACTCAGCACAGGACCACCCCAACTCCATTAACACGGCTTGTGTGGCGCTCATCGGGCCTTTGGCATGCTGCCAGGGAAACTGAACAGATTTCAGATGGGACCATTCCATTGCCCAAGCGCGGCGCAGCAGAGTTTCGTCCAAGGGCACGGACCAATGCAATCCATTGCATTAACTGATCCTGCTTTACTTTGAAAAAAGGGACCCATTAGTTTTGGCCACCTGGGTTCGCCACTGGGCGAACCGCTGTGGTGGCATGCCCATTGCTGCCTGGCCCCACAAGCCGCAAGCATTTGCACTCATGTTGACAAATTTCTTGCGGGCAGCAGTGGCCAGCAATTTGATGCGCCCCAGGCGACGTGTCCCTTTGGCAACACGCTTAAATGGGTCCCAACTCGTCTTTTACGCCCCAGCGCGCAGTCCATGCCTAAATCTTTAATGTAATCCCGAACCTGGGGATATTCAGGAAAATGCTTAAGCAAGCTTTTCAAAACTTTGGCCGTCTGGGCATCAGAAACCACAAAGCCTGATTTTCTCATTGACGCAACCAAACCTTTGGCCTGCAGGCCCTTGAGAACTTCAGTGATAACATGAACCCCTTTTTCAGCTGCAGCCAGGGGGGTGAAGGCATTCACATCAATGCCTATATCATGAATCCAAGTGGTGATGTTTTGGGGTCGCAACACCTGATTTACATGGGCCATGAGGGTCCACAACACAAGCTTTGCAAAGACACAGCCAAACGGGCACCCTGCAATAATACCACGTTTGGGTTGGATTGGCTCGGCAAAAAGAGCATCAGCTTGCAGGAGCCGCGGGCCTTTGTGCACCAATATGCACAAATACAACACTAAGGGTGGAAAACCAAGCTCCAGCGCCCCCCTTTGCAAGAAGATCATGATCTACAAGATCATAGAAGTTGCTTAGGTCAAGCAGCACACTAACTTGACACAGGCGCAGCCGCTTTGCAACTTCAGATTTAGCCATGCGCAACAACGCAACTTGGAGGCTGCTGCTGCCTTTGACCGCTTTGTCCCAATGGGCTACGGCCCTATCATCTGAAAGCCAAGCAGTAACTAGGTGCCCTCGCAACCGACACCAGAGCCGGTATAGCACATGCGTCAAAGAAATTGACTGCCATGCATGACAGTTTGTGGCTTGACGGTCAACAGACTTGGACTAGCATGAAGAACGGAAGAGATTGTCTGGAGTGGATGTTGACGGCCACCATGATTTCCGATTGTCTCACCAAGTCTATGAAGCCCGATTTCATGCTGCGAGTATTGAAGGAGAACTTGTACAGAGCGCAGAAACAAGCACAGACTAGGAAATAGGACCCTAAGCTGATCAGTTCAGCAGCCCAATTTGAAAACAGCATCTTTTTCCTTGTATAGCCACATGTCACCCGTAGAACAGGTTGAGTGTCAATTTGACATCACGTCGCATTCTTTTGAAACCCGGGTTGACATGTAAATGCTGTTGCCGTTTGGATCTTAGGACCCTTGAGTCGTGCCGCTACGTGCAAAATTGGTGGGCTGTTGACGATTCCTTGCCCAACTCACAAATAAAATCATACATGTATAAATATATATATATATAACATATATATATATATAACATATATATATAACATATATATATAACATATATATATATAAAATATAATATAATATATATTTAAAATATAATATAATATATATATATAACATATATATATATAACATATATATATAACATATATATATATAAAATATAATATAATATATATTTAAAATATAATATAATATATATATAACATATAATATATATATATATATATAAAATAAATATGTATATATATATATATGTCCTAAGATGTACATCCCATATGTTTTACGCTCAAGTCCGAAAAAAATGATATGTCTGGTAGTTCTAGTTGTCCTTTGGCACGAAGGTATCGCCTCTTGGCCCGTGGGAGCGACCACCAGCATGCCCCTGAGCACTGTGCCGCCGCCGGGTGCGACAACGTTCCATGCGGTCACGGTGGTTTGCTCAGATGTTGGCACCACGTGCTTGGCCAATTTGGGGTGACTCCATTCGTGGCGTCTGTGAAATCAACCTGACCAAGGTTGGGGAGTTTGTGGAAAGTGAGCCCCTGGTGATTCCTCTGGTGGATCTTCGGCTCAATTGTGCCTTTTGTGTTGTCAGTTGCCGTTAGATTCTTCCAGCTCCAAAACTCCAGCTCCCAGGACCTTGCAACACCGGTGAATCTTCCACTGGCCGTGAGCTTCACCGATACAGATCCAACAGCTGGCAGCTATGGTGGGGTTGTGACCTGGGCTGCAAGGAGTGTTGCACCCGAACTGTCTCGCTGATCCGACTATGGTAACCCTTTTTTAACCATCAAAAAAATTGTTCAATGCTATTCATACGTCAAACCCCAAATACATCCGCAAATTCAAGCAACTATTCGCAGTAAGTGCTTTGTTGCTTCTAAACGGATGTTCATCCCTATAGTTTTGACCTATCCCCATGTGTAGTTCCATCTTTTGCCAAAGGCATAGAGGCCCTAGTGGGATCTTTGCTAGGTGGTGGTGACTCGGGCCAGTAACGAGTCAGACATTTCGCAGTACGTGGCATACTGGGGTCCGGCCCCTAGTGTTGTGCCAACTTTTTGGATCTGAAAATGTGGGATACCTCAAACATGCCATGTCAATGGAGATTTTGTGATCACATGCAGCATGACTAACTATCAAATATTTGGGGTACTTGATTTTCAGACAAACCCAGTTCAAAGAAAGACAGCGAAAAGATATAAAAGTATCATGTGAACTGCGGAAGAAGGACCAGTAGACTCAGTAGACCCACGTATCGTTGCAGCATGATTGCGAAGAAGCCTTCACAACATTGTCTGCTTATATCAAAATGCTTTTCTATCCTTGAAGGAACGCAGGTGTTGTGCTTGCAGTAGTTATTGTCATGCCAGTTGCAGTGATGTGGAGGTGTCACCTTGTGCCCGCAGCATGGCTGGTGTTTGCTCGGTCTATTCATTTTGGTGGTTTCTTTCATTTCAAGTTTTGCCGACTTTTCCTGAACAAACCTCGAATCAGAAACTTCCCGCGAATCAGCAACAAAGAATCAGAAACTAAAACCCGCGAATCAGAAACTAAATCCGCGAATCAGAAACCAAAATCCCACGAATCAGAAACCAAAAACCGCGCGAATCAGAAACTAAAATACAGGAATCAGATACAAAACCCCGCGAATCAAAAACTAAAAATTGCGAATCAGACGCCAAGATCCGCGAATCAGAAACCAAACAAACCCACGAATCAGAAACCAAAAAGGGAAGCTGAAACCAAATCTGCCACCCCCTCTGAACATTTTGTTGAATGAGATATTACCGCCAACTTATCCTCATATCTAACCCGCCACCCCCTCTGAACACAATGTTGAAAAGGATATTGCATTTATTTATTTTTTCCTCGTGAGGGATAAAATCCGCCACCCACACGCCGCCACCCCTTCTGGCCATTATGTTGAATGATATATTGCCGTCAATTTATCCTCATAAGCGATCAAATCCTCCACCCCCTCTGGCCATTATGTTGAATGAGATATTGCCTTCAACATATCCCCACACCCGACCAAATCCGCCACCCCCTCTGATCACTATGTTGAATGGGATATCACCTTCAACATCCTTCAACTTATCTTCATATGGCATCAAATCCGCCACCCCCTCTGACCATTATGTTGAATGAGATATTACCTTCAAAGTATCTTCATAAGGGACCAAATCTGGCACCGCCTCTGACCATTATGTTGAATGAGATATTACCTTCAACTTCTTTTTGTAAGGTATCAAAAATCCCCGCTCCCTCTGAGCACTTTGTTGAATGGGTTATTGCCTTCAACTTGTCTTCATAAGAAATCAAATCCGCCACCTCCTCTGGCCACTACGTTGAACAGATTTGAATAGGATATTACCTTCAACTTCTCCTTCTGAGGTATCAAAATCCGCCACCCCCTTTGATCACTATGTTGAATGGGATATTACTTCAACTTATCTTCATAAGACATCAAATCCGCCACCACCTCTGGCCATTATGTTGCATGAGATCCTTCAACTTATCCACATATGGGATCAAATCCGGCACCCCCTCTGGCCATTATGTTGAATGATATATTACCGTCAATTTATCCTCATAAGCGATCAAATGGGTCAATCCACCACCCCCTCTGGCCATTATGTTGAATGAGATATTGCCTTCAACATATCCCCACACCCGACCAAATCCGCCACCCCCTCTGATCACTATGTTGAATGGGATATCACCTTCAACATCCTTCAACTTATCTTCATATGACATCAAATCCGCCACCCCCTCTGACCATTATGTTGAATGAGATATTACCTTCAAAGTATCTTCATAAGGGACCAAATCCGCCACCACCTCTGGCCATTATGTTGCATGAGATCCTTCAACTTATCCACATATGGGATCAAATCCGGCACCCCCTCTGACCATGATGTTGAATAAGATATTACCGTCAATTTATCCTCATAAGCGATCAATTCCTCCACCCCCGCCACCCCCTCTGGCCGTTATTTTGAACAGGATATTACCTCCAACTTCTCTTTCCGATTGAAAGAGACAAGTTGCCCATTCTGATTGATTCAGCTGGTTTAGTTTCCGATTCTCCGGTGTTAGTTTCCGATTCACCTGCTTTAGTTTCCGATTCACCTGCTTTAGTTTACGATTCAGCTGTGGTTGCCGATTCCGGGGTTTTGGTTTACGATTCAAGGTTCTTAGTTTTCGATTCACGGGTTTTAGTTTCCGATTCTTTTGGTTTCCGATTAACAGGTTTTAGTTTCCGATTAACGGGTTTTGGTTTCCAATTCACGGGTTTTCGTTTCCGATTATCTGGCTTTAGTTTCCGGTTAATAGCTTGACCGACTTTTCCTATTTTGCGAGTCGGCCACTTGCGTAGTTTCTCCATTTCTCCTGTGCTGCTGTCGTGGTTGTGGTGGTGGCGGTGGTAGGGACGGTATTGTGGCAGCAGTTTGCTTTTCTTTCTGTCTATTGGCTTGTTCGGTCTGTCAGTTGCTTGCATTTTTGCTTGCTTACTTTGTTGCGCTGTTCCCCCAGATAGCGCCGTAAGGGTGTATTGTAATTGAGAAAAGTTCAGATGGGTAGTGTTGAGATTGCCTTGCATTGAACTCATACTTTGGTACGGAGGGCTATTTTTTTTTTTCGCGGCAGGTTTTTTTTTTTTTGGGGGTTCCTGGTTCTATGCTTTCCTCTGATTTTCTGCTTTTCTGCTTCTCTGCTTTCCTGCTTCTCTGCTTTCCTGCTTCTCTGCTTTTCTGCTTCCCTGCTTTTCTTTTTTTGCTTTTCCTGCTTCTCTGCTTCTCTGCTTTTCTGCTTTTCCTGCTTCTCTGCTTTTCTGCTTTTTGCTTTCCCTGCTTCTCTGCTTTTCCTGCTTCTCTGCTTTTCTGCTTTTTGCTTTTCCTGCTTCTTTGCTTTTCTGCTTCTCTGTTTTCCCTGCTTCTCTGCTTTTGTACTTCTGTGCCTTTCCACTTCTGCTATTCTACTTTTTCTTTTCTTCAGTCATGTGTTTTTGCTGCTCTACTTCCTGCTCCTTTGCTTCTTTGCTTCCTGTCTTTACTGTTCCTTTGTTTTTCATTTTCTTTTGCTTTATTCTGTTCTGTTTGTATCCTAAATGAAACCCTAAATTGAAAATTGAAACCCTAAATGAAACCCCGAAGAAACCCGAGATGAAACCCTAAACGAAACCCTAAAGAAACCCTAAAGGACACCCTAAATGAAAGCCTAAAGGAACCCTAAAGGAACCCACTTGAACGTTTAGACATCGTGAAAAGAAATCCTGATAAGAAACCCTGGAATGAAACCCTAAAGAAAGCTTAAATGAACTCCTAAATGAAACCTGAAATTGAACCCCTAAAGAAACCATAAATGAAACCCCAAAGAAACCCTAAATGAAACCTTAAAGAAACCCTAAATGAAACCCTAGAGAAGCCCTAAAGAAACTCCAAATGAAACCCTAAAGAAACCCTAAATGAAACCCTAAAGAAACCCTAAATGACACCCTAAATGAAACCCTAAAAGGAACCCTAAAGGAACCCACTTGAACGTTTAGAAATCGTGAAAAGAGATCCTGATAAGAAACCCTGGAATGAAACCCTAAAGAAAGCTTAAATGAACTCCTGAATGAAACCTTAAATTGAAACCCTAAATTGAAACCCTAAAGAAACCATAAATGAAATGAAACGCTAAAGAAACCCTAAATGAAACCCTAAAGAAACTCTAAATGAAACCCTAAAGAAACCTTAAAAGAGACCCTAAATGAAACCCAAACTGAAACCTTAAAGAAACCCTAAATGAAACCCTAAATGAATCCTAAACGAAACCCTAAACGAAACCCTAAAGAAACCCTAAAGAAACCCTAAAGAAACCCTAAAGAAACCCTAAACGAAACCCTAAAGAAACCCATTTGAACGTTTAGAACTCCTGATAAGAAATCCCGATAAGAGACCCTACATGAAACCGGAAAGAACACCCTAAATGAAACTCTAATCCTAAAGAAACCTTAAATGAAACCGTAAAGAAACCCTAAATGAAACCCTAAAGAAACCCTAAATGAAACCCCAAATGAAGCCGTAAATAAAACCCTAAATGAAACCTTAAAAATGAAACCCGTAATGCAAGTGAGAGGTTGAAATGCCAAAATGTGACAAATGCCATGCAAAATGGAAGGCAAACATGGCCAAATGTAGCAAATACCATGCAAAATGCAAAGTGACCATGCCAAAATGTAGCAAATACCAGGCTAAATGACAGGTTCTAGTTCCAAACTGTTGCAAATACAAGGCAAATGGTACCGGGAAAGAAAGCAAAAAACAATTCCAAAATCTGAGGCCAAAAAAATTCCAAAAACTATTCTACACCCCTTTGGTACAGTGACTGCGTTGCTTCGAGCTGGACTAAACCACTATGTGCCCAAAGTGCGAATACCTGGTCTTGCTTGCAGTTCTAGTTTGAATTGCCCGCGGTCGATTGTGTCTAGTTGCACTTGGGTTGCCACGCTTGGCAGTCATTTCTGCGTCTTGTTGGCCGATGCTGTTAAGTCGCAGCTATATACATACCAATAGCACTCTGCATTTTGCACAGTGACATACAGAGTGTAGCAGCAATGTCTCTCGCGGCAAAGTCTGCAGCAACTGAGGTTCGAGCTCGACTCAGAAGTTGTCCGGTTCTGCTCCACTTGGGAGTGCCAATGCGACAAATCAGACTTCCGCTGAAGTCTACATCATCCTGTGCTCCAGCCGAATTCCAGACAGAATTGGGCACAAAAAATGCCCTACAGCCTCACCTGGCAATTCACAATCCATGAGAATCCCCGAGTTTGATACTGCCATTTTTGGGAGAGCAACCACTGGCATCTTCCAGGCCCTTTGGATTGGTTCCTCCATCCGGAGCCAGCCACATCGTTGTGATGAGTTCCATCAACATTCCTCCCGCGCTGGGTGAGACTTTTCTGCAGAAATTGTCACCACAAACAGCTGTTGAATGCTAGCAACGGTAGCTGAGTAACCCGAAAAAAAAATACAAACCCAGACAAGCTCATCAAATATGGCGGAAAACTCACCATGGTTATATCATGCTATGTCAGTTTTGAGATGCGATTCCCGGGTCATCGTAGAAGCTCAGGAGAGCTCCACAGGTGTTGGAAGTGTCTTTGCAGACTATGCTCCTCCAGCCGTGCCCTGGCTGTCCTGTGAGTTGTGTTGGCACCGCCATGGCCATGGCCATCGCTGAGGCGCCAGCGCAGGGGATCAGCTTTGCAGATACGAATCCTACAATTGGAGTGGTGTCCGGAGAGGTGGTGGTCACTCGAGTGCCAGGCTTAGTGCTGTTCGACGTGCGAGTTATCAACTTATGAGCGATGATCTCTTTGGATATTTTGCTGAAGCTCTTTCAAGTTCCTTAGCTCGTTGGCATCGGGCTTGATTCTCACTGACTTGAATGCTTCCAGCATGCTGCTTTGTGAAAGCCATCGTTGACGGACTGCAACATCATGATGTTTGCCGAATGCCTTTTGGGTCATGTCTTGGCTCGACTTTGTGATCTGATAGCATGGATTAGGCAGCCGCGAAACTCCTGTTTTGGCCCGTCCAAGGCGGCTGATGAGACCGGGCTTGCATGCTCCTCAGATTCAGATTGAGTCAAAGAGGATTGCAGCAGGCTGAAAGACACTGCAAATACCATCGAAGGTCTCCTACAACCTTTACTTCGCAGATTTCATCTTGAAGCCGGTTGAACTGATCGCAAAATTGCCGGTCACCTCGACTACACTTGCATCTTGTCCACTTTCCTAGTGTGCTTTGTGTGGCGTGTGTGACGTTTTGATCTTGCTATTCAGAACTTTGGCTGCTTGAGTCCATTGAGATTGTCAAAATTATCCTGGGCATTCCTGGGCCTTATCCTCATCTAAGTCCTACACTTTGACCGACGTGGCTATTCCTGCCAATGCGACCAACATTCTCGTCCTGCTCGAGGGAACGGGAGGAGAGGCGACAATCGGCGTTAGATCCTCAGGGTCAAGGGCTTGAGCCCCAGAAACTCACCTCATTTTGGTCCGTTTGGATCATGATCATTTGAGTCGAGTAGTTTTTCGTGCAAGCAAAATTAAGTATGAAAAACCCTCTAATTTTGGAGGTACAGTATCCCAACTTTGACCACCCAACAGTTTTCTCCTGGCATCGCAAGGTGTCAACAACAGGGCTCGATGCGCTTGATGCCCCAAGCAACATTACTTTCGAAGATCTGGACCCACTTGCGGGCACAGTGCAAGGCGACCTGCGCTGAAAAATGTTGGTGGATGATAAGCAATAGTCGGAGATGGGCATCGATTGGGAAGAATTTTTCAAGCGATCCATTGGGTAATGGATCGCATTCGGTATAGCGACCCCCTGTTTACGATAGACATGCAGTTTGCTCTTCTATCTTTTTGGGAGTTGCTGTAGTACTTGTGAACACAGTACACAGTCGTCATGGGATGACGTGAAAAAAGCTGGCTCCAAAGCCTGCAGGCACCATAACCATCCAGCGAGCCATCTCCGAGGCTGGGATGTTTTGAGATGGTATGCTGGCAAGTCCCAGATTGAAACAAGAGTGAAAGCCTCACAAAGATGTAGCAGAGTAACAATACTGAGCCCCAGCCAAGGCAACCGTGCGAAACACTCACTCTGGCATTTATAGCTGAACTTCGTAGCAAGAGTGTGACCTAAGTCCAACAGATTGTGGAAACTACTTAGTGGCACATAGTGGCTGGGACATGCATTTGTTTCATGTTGTTTCCAGGAGTAGGACAGCCAATAAACAGGATTCCCAGCCGTGTCCAGTTTCCAGTTTCTCTGAGCCTGGAGGCCAACGTGGAAGCCTACGAAATCCACTGGGCAACCGGAGATGGCGCCACAGCTCCTAGTGCCTCTGAATTGTTGGAGTCCATCCCAGTGACTTCGCTGTCCTCCACGGTGAACTTGGTGATGCGGATGTACGACTCCTGGGGCGATGGATGGAACAGCGCCTTGTACTACATCAAGTCCAGTGATGGCATGGAACTTGCGAGTGGCACACTGCAGACAGGTACATATGGTGAACATGTAATCTATAACATCTCGGGGGCAGGAACTCTGCTGATTACGGTGACTCGAGGCTTTTGGCCAGCGGAGATTTATTGGGAATTGAAATTGGACACTGCCCCTGAGGGTGAGTACATCCTGACTGCCAATGGTGAGTACGGCACATTCCCTGTCGATATGCCTTTCAGTGTGGCCAGTGGTTCTGGTGGCAGCGGTTTGCTGGAAACCACTGTTCCTTCGACATCCATTCCCAGTGGTGCCAATCATCTCTTGACCTTCAGCAGACTGACTTCAGGAGCAACGTCTTCAGCAGCTTGGACGCCGATTGTAGACTTTGTGCCACCTGGGTCTTCCCCTACCTCCATCCAATTTGCTGACGCAGATGGAGGGGTTGGAATTATCGCTGGGCAGATCACAGTTGGCCGGGCCACAGATGAGACTGGAATTTCGGAGTACAAGATCTATTTTGGTACAAGTTCTTCCAGCAGAGTGCCATCTGCCCAAGCCATCGCAAGCATCAGCACCTCAGTTGATCCCTTGGTTGCAACCTTGCCTGCCACCACAGTGGCCACGGGTGCCAGCTACCTCTTGGTATTCAGCTCTTCGTCAAGTGGAGAGAATTCGCAACCAGCCTCGGTGATGTTCTCGGACCTCCAGCAGCCGACTAGTCCTCCCGGCAACGTCAGCTTCACAGATGTGGACCCCCACGAAGGCTACTATGCAGGCAGGGAGGAACTTCTACAAGACATGGTGATTCCACAGATAATTGGGTATGGATCAATGAACATCCATTGTTAGGGGAATGAACATCCATTTACCAGCTATTTTGATGTGAACTACAGGGGTACCAGGGTTTTGACACACTGCCAATTCTTAATTTATCTTAGTTTCATTTTTGAGGCCTTAAACTTTATTAAACTTGTACCATTTATTTGATGGCTAAAGCGGGGATTCAAGCCGTAAAGGGCATATGCACAAAGATGCACACAGGTTGATATGATATGATCCCACTAATGACTGGGTCATGGGGACATTTCCACATTTCCACTGGCAGGTGATGTCTCTTTCATTCGAGCCGCAGACGAGTCAGCAATCACTCATTATCAGTGCTACTGGGGCAGTAGTGCCTCAGATCCTGATTTCAGCCTGGGGATGCTGGAAAATGTGTCAGTGTGGAGTACGCCATCACTCTACCTTACAATCTACATCAACAGCACCCAAGCACCTTCTGGGATGACACACCTGGTGGTCGTCAGTGCAAATGAAGGCTACTCCATGACCACTGGCAGTGGGGTCTTGCTGGTGGATTACTCGACAGTTACCGTGTCACCCTCAAGTGTTGAATTTCTGGACACCGACACTTCGCTGGCAAACATCGGCGGAGCAGTGACCATTGGTGCAGCTTCAGATGAATCTGAAGTGGTTGACTATGCGGTCTACTGGGGTGTGACCTCCAGTGTCAAGTTGCCAGGTGGTTCTCATGGATTGAATGCAGAGTTCTTTTTGATGTCTTCATGTCCATCTGCTACCTCCTTTGTGGATTTCTCCACCCTGGGTGCTCCTTTCTTGACAAGAATTGACACAGTTTCCTCTTATGGACCAGCCAGACCTGGTGGAAGTCTTTCTATTTGGCCCGGCCTGAACCGAAGTGAACTCTTTGCAGCCAGATGGACAGGTTGGTTCCAAGTCATTATAGCAGGAAACTACTGGGTGGGTGGTTCGGTTGATGATGCGAGCCGAATCTTTGTGGATGGTGTGGAAGTATTCGGTTTTGTGTATCTCACATCTGGCTTCCATGATGTAGAGCTGCAGTACTTCCAGTGCTTTGGAAGCTCCTTTGTGGCTGCAACAGCTTCAGGTCCTGATACTGGCTACATGTCCGTGAGCCTCTGGGATTTTGCCAGAAACGGAGTCAAGGAGCAGACACCCATCGTCACTGCAACAAAGACAGGCTCTACTGTGGTTGCAACCATCCCTGCTGGCACCAGTATTCCATTTGGCGCAAGTCATTTGCTTGTGTTTGCCCGGGCAGCAGGTGGTCTCGATTCAGTGTCTTCAGTTGGCGTTGAGATCGTTGATGTGGTGACACCGAGTGATACAGCGCAGTATATGAACTTTAGTGATACAGATCCATCTCCAAACATGATACAAGGTATCCTCACAATTGGTCGTGCTGTTGATGAATCCAACATCAATTTCTACAAGATCTATTGGGGATCAAGTGCCACAGAAATTCTGAATGGCACCAGTGGCACCAGGAGGCTACAGATAAGTGCATCCAGCTCAGGACCCACATGTTCAGGTGCCTCTTGCTCTGAGATCATCATCACAGCTGGAGCAAATTCCAACCAATGGGTGGTGTCACGTGGGGCATATGGAAACAATGAACGAGCCTTCATCACTCTCACTGGTCCTGCAGAAGTTGAATTTACCATGCTTTCCACAGAGACATGCTGTGACAAGCTCACCTTCCCAAGTCTTTCATCGCCCATCAGTGGCTACACACTTCCAGGCATCATCAGTTTGCCGGATGGGGTTCATTCCATTGAGTGGTACTCGGATTTCAGCGTTTCGACTTTTGGATGGAGCTTCACCTACAGGTACTCAGGTTCCACCACGGGCACGGTTCCAAGCCTCATTGCGATGATTCCGAAACCTTCTGGATCTCAAGACTTGGTGGTTTTCATCGAGAACCAAGCGCTCATCGGGACACACTTCATCGTCAAAACGGCCTTTAACTCCACAGAGAGTGATAGTTCCCTGGCACTTGAAATTGTGGATTTGTCGCCCCCAGCGGTGACGGTTGGCGAGGTCACTTTCGTTGACACCAACACTGCAATTGGCATCATCGGTGGCGGTGTTACCATTGCGGCTGGAGCGTCAGAAATCTTGGGCTACAACATCTACTGGGGGAGGGACAGCGACAACACAATTGCTATGGGCAATCCTGGTCTTTTGGGCGAGTACTTCTATTTGTCCAGTACTCCCAACAGCATGCCGGCCCTGACCTCTTCACCAGATGTGGTTCAGATTGAATCACAACTGAACCAGCCAGAAACTACGAACGTTTGGCCCGGCTTGTCTGTCTCTGAGAACTTTGCTGCTCGCTGGACAGGCTACATCAACATAACGACAGGGGGAACCTACTTCTTCACGCTTTCGTCAAACGATGGCAGCCAGCTCTACATCAACAATGCGCTGGTGGCTGACAATGATGGCTTGCATGAGCTTCAGTCTGTTACAAGCCAAGGATTGTATCTTTTACCTGGTCTCCAAAGCTTGCAAGTCCTGTTCTTCAACGGCCAGGGTGGCTATAGCATAGTTCTAGAATACAATGGCCCCGACACCTCCAACTTGCGAAACGCGGTGCCTTCCAATGTGTTGCGCCATGGCTCACTCACCAACGCATTTATTGGTAGTGTTGCAGCAGCAGCTTCTGGAGAATCGGTGTTCCAGATTCAAAATCTGGCCATCTTGCCGGAAGCAAGTCACATTTTGGTGCGCGGATTTACAGCAGAAGGTGAAGGGGTGAACAGCTCTTCTGTAGAGATCCGTGATGCGTTTTCGCCAACCGAAACGGCCACTGCTGTGTTCTTCGCAGATGAGGACCCCACAGCAGGGCAGATTGCTGGCACCATCGTGATACAGGGGGCAGCCAACCAGAGCAGCATCTCGCATTATGTGATCTATTGGGGAAGTTCAGCCACTGTTAAACTGAGTTCGAGCCCCATTGCTCAACTTGAGAGTTCTGGTGGAAGTGGTTCAAGTCTCAACTGTGGCCTCAAAGGGTCAGATTCCACACCTCTGCGCTTCTCAAGAAATGGCTTCCATGGGCCCAAAATCGTCAATGGACAAGCTGCCACAGAGTGTGAATGGAGATGGCAAGCCAGCCTTCGCTTTCCAACTGGAGGGGCTTTCTGTGGTGGAGCTTTGATTTCGTCCAAGTGGGTCATGACTGCAGCCCACTGTGTTGATGGTGCTACTAGCTTTGTGGTGGTCCTTGGAGATTTTAACAAAGACTCCAACCAAGACCAGCATGCGAGAACGTATGAGGTTCAACGCGTCATTTCGCATGAGACCTACAACTCCCACACCTTCACACATGATTTTGCTCTCATAGAACTTCAAGAGGAAGTGGAAATGGGTGACTGCGTGGCAACTGCTTGCCTTCCAGAGACTGATGTCGCTGTCGGGCAAGAATGCTTCATCACCGGCTGGGGTACACTGAGTAGCGGTGGATCCACACCATCTGAGTCCTGGATTTGTTGAGTAAGTAGTTTTCGAATGTTTTTGATTGCAATATTGGTTCATCCACGGTTCATTGCGGGCGCCCACGAGGAACACTAATTGAAATCCGCCACCCGCCCCACTCGCCCCACTCGCCCTACTTGCCCTGGGCTAGCAAATTAATTGAAATCCGCCACTCGCCCCACTCGCCCCACTTGCCTTGGTAGGGAAATTAATTGACTTTGGCCACTCGCCCCACTCGCCCTACTCGACCCCACTCGCCCTACTCGCCCCACTCGCCCTACTCGCCCGACTCGCCCCACTCGCCCGACTCGCCCCACTCCGCCCCACTTGACGGGGGCAAGCGGGGCAAGCGGGGCAAGCGGGGCAAGCGGGGCAAGCGGGGCAAGCGGGGCAAGCGGGGCAAGCGGGGCAAGCGGGGCAAGCGGGGCAAGCGGGGCAAGCGGGGCAAGTGGGGCAAGCGGGGCAAGCGTGGCAAGCGGGGCAAGGGGGCAAGCGGGGCACGCGATATACACTGACAGGCCCCATTTTGCGCAAATTGGAGCTCCCACCTGATAAACGATAATATCATTTTGATTGCTTAGCGGCGGAAACCAAAGTGGCAGCAAAGGAGTTCTTAAATTCTCTGATTTCCCCACAAAATTCCAGAAACTTTCCGGCATTCACATGTTTTCCATGTCTGATATGTTGTAAAACAGGTGCATGCCGTGACGTGGCCGTTTCCTTTCACATTAGGTTAGGCTACGGCACTGAGACGAGGATGCAGTATGTTTTTGAAATTGGTTTGAGACATACTCATCTCTTCAACATGTGCGGAAAGGATACCATGTTTTGATTTGGAGCACCTCGACCTCGCTGCAAAGAATCACGTAGAGCCAATTGATGTACTTTGTTGTAAAGCAATTCCGAAAAACAAACACGCACCAACAATCAACTTCATTAGCAACTTGCTCCGACTCGTCGACTCTCGGGCCATGGAAGGGTTCCCTCTGCCAGACTGGATTGGCAAGATCCATGGGCATCTAGTCTGGATTCAATGCAGTGCCCGGCCGTACTACTGTCAACCAAAAACGACGCATATATTATAGATTACTTCACATTGTTGGTTTATTTGATCTTGGGAATCTTGGGATATATGTTGACATATATATATAAGGGAAACTCGCCAAGCCCCACATACACTTTACAGCCTCAGTAACAACAGCTGCTCATCAACTAATTTCAAGTCTGTAAGTGCCAAGACTGCTTGAAATGACCAATGGTTCCAAAGATATCAATGAAAAACCCGTGAAAAGATTACAACATACTCCAAAAAATGAGTAAATTTCAGGCGTGTGTTTGGTGGCTTTTCACGGTTTTTCTCGGCCGTTTCACGGTCCAGATTTTCTAGGAAATTTTAGGCAGGTACTTTCACCAGATCATATTCTGTTTTGCATTTGGTGACCTCATGATCTAAGATGGAGACGTTTGCGCAGAGCCCGTGCTCAGCCCAGGCGCTTTTAGACAAGTGAATTCTGAGAAATCGAGGCGATTGGATTTGATCGCAGTTTTTTATCATTGAGTCCATTTTAAGTTGATTTTGACGTCTTTGTTCTGGTTAATTAGTTAATGTTGTATTCTCTATATTATATATACGCTTGCTGGTTGGTGCATGGCAGATCTGAGGGAATACGAGTTTGTTGGTCACGCAAGTAGATCAACAAGGCGGTCACGATCCCTTCCAAAGCATTAGACGAGGTCATACATCACGCACTCGTTGCAGCAATCTGGCCCACACCACGGGCCACGCGTAGCCAAGCGAAGCCACGCGCCGCCACGTGCTGCTACACCGCTGCAGGGTGCATTGTGGGTGCTGATGCCAATGCAGGGTGCTGCTGCAGGATGTCTATGGTGTGTGCTTTGGGGCCTGGTTGCTGGTGTCCCTGCTTCTGAGATTCTTTATTTGCGCGCGCGGTTTGTGGAGCCTGCATGCTTGCGCGGTTCGTGGAGCCTGTCAAGCCTCAATTGAGGAATAAACTGAGTTGAGGCCATTTTGAGGGACTTGCGAAAACCCTCACGTTTATTGATTATTGACGCTCATTTTCTGCCCCCATAGTGGAATCCTATCAAAATTACCCATAGTGACAAACACCTAACAAGAGCTTACTAAGGGGTTGTGAGTGTTGTGAGCCCATCAACGACAGAGCTGTCATTGTATTATGAAAGGATTATGGGCAAATAACCTTTGAACTTTCTTTCAATGCTAGCTTTCCACTAATTAATTAGGTCCCACCATCATTCCATTTTCTTCACGACAGTGTCAGTTTCCTTCATTTGTTATCAAGAGTTTTGAGCAATGAATCTGGCTTATTTATTTACGATCCACAGTTTTTTCTCATATTTGAGGGTGATTGTCTGCCTTAGCCGCCAAGAATTATTGAAAATGATTAAGTGTACCCAGGGCATGTAACCAATGCATCAAGTTTCCCCGCAAACAGGACATGACGTTCCCGGGGAGGTTCCACGGTTCGATTGCAAATGCCTCCGGTTTTGGGTCCCCAAATTCTTTCACATTCCCAGTGAATGGGCGGTATATTTCTTTTATTTAAATACAAGTTTCGAAACCACAGGGGAAAAGCACAACCCGGAAACCAAAGCGAATACTGTAGGATATAAACTGAAAAATATAACTAAGCTAATAATATGAAATATTTACGGCCCACAAAAAACGTAAATAAGTTTTACCTACAGATTACTGTCTTACCAATTTAATGGCCTTTTTAATCTTGTTTATCCAAGTATCTATGCACCATCATTTTTCAACATGACATGCGAGATTCCTGGACAAACTCTATGTTGGCCATAAAAGTAGCCATATAAAGCATCATCTTCGAACAGCCAGGCTAAACCGGGCCGGTAGTAAAGACCAGGTTAAACTAGGTCGAGGAAGCACTGGGAAAGGACATGGGAGTGAAAGAAGTTCGCATGCTGAGTCACGACAGTGTTGCGCCACGCGAGCCATATGGATGATGATGCATGATGATGCTGATGACATCTCTTCTCTATCTCTCTCTTTCTCTCTATCTCTCTCTCTCGCTGTCTTTTCTCTCTTTTCTCTCTCATCTCTCTTTTCTCTCTCTTCTCTCTTTTCTTTCTTTTCTCTCTTTTCTCTCTCTTCTCTCTTTTCTTTCTTTTCTCTCTTTTCTCTCTTTTCTCTCTTTTCTCTCTTTTCTCTCTTTTCTCTCTTTTCTATCTTTTCTCTTTTTTCTCTTTTCTCTCTTTTCTTACTTTCTTTTCTCTCTTTTCTTACTTTCTTTTCTCTCTTGTCTCTCTTCTCTGTCCTCGCTCTCTCCCTATGTCTCTGTCTCTGTCTCTCCCTCTCTCTCTCTCTCTCCCTCTCTCTCTCTCTCTCTCTCTCTCTCCCCTCTGTCCTCCTTGCTGGTAAGCAGAAGACTGAGGCCACCGATTTTGCCTGAGATTGTGACTTTGGCACTACCTTGCGGCGGTCTTTCTGGAGTATCGCAATTTCTGGCAGAGAGCACCCTGCGGACAGAGGTTCGCTACTACTACTACGACATCGATGCATCATTGCGAGGTGCGTTAGAGGCTCTGCATGGCAACGATGCACTTGGCTTCCATTTGGGTTCAAGTGTAGGCAAGGTTTTCAAAGCATGACTTTCCAACATCTTTTTGTGGTGCAATTTCTGATTTCATTTTCAGTGATCGTGTTTTTAGATGTTTTTCCATTGTTTGTCGAACAAGGAGCCTTTCTTCACTCTTGGCACACACGGGACATTTCAACGCGACTGGAAAATTCTTTTGCTGGCAAGATTCCTTTTATCACACGAGGAAAAATCGTATTATGAAACATATACGTGTTTGGATAGAACCAGAGATTTCTTGATCGTGGCACTTGATGGCGGGAACAAACATTGCAGAGTCGTTCCTGTTCAGTTCCGCAGGAAACCTTCTGCAAGCAGATTTCCAGAGTTGGGAGTGCGTGGCTGGGACCATCAGCGGGCCGGCATGTCCACCATTCAGTGCAATCGGAGCTCGACGACGGGAAGATGACATTCGGTGGCAGGTTTTCCGAAGGGTTTCTGATATTTGGTGGATCAAGGGAGGAAGGCCTGGGCAGAGCCCATGTGGGAATGGCCATCCGTTTCTTGAATCTCCAAAACGAAGTAACCACTTGAAGCAAATATGTTCAGGTGTTTATTTTTCAGGACGAGGAATTCGAAAAGGATCTGTGGGACATGGATTCATATAAATTTGTCTTGATGGTTGGCATTGCTTCCCAAGTTTATGTGTTTTCAGTCCGTGTCGGCTGGGAGTCCATTTCATTGTAGGTTTCAGAACCAAGACGCTCTGGATGCTACGTTGTAACATCTACTTGAAGCCACTTCCAAGACGCTTTGTAAGCGATTGCATTTTTTGACATTCCAGGATATTTCCAGAACTTTTCAGGTCGGTTGCACCACCACATTGGACATCGCCACATTAGCACTCAATTGGGATAATCCTCCAGCTGCTTATTGATCCCGGCATGCAGGGATCCTTTTTCTTCATCATCGAGATTGTGCCGGCACACGATGAGAGATCCCCAGGCAACACCAAAACCTGTTACTCTAAATGGATCGAAGCACTGGTTTCAGCAGCACCGATGTGGCGTCTACAATCTTGGCATCTTGTGCTGTGGGCCAGTACATCTGGGTCAAGTTAGGAAGTGCAATCGTTTTGCGGTTTCTGCCCTACATCATATTATGTTTTTTTGGGGGAAACTAGGTTGGAGAAGAGACTTACCGACATTCGTAAGAGCCGACACAAATTCAGTGGAAGCAGATTTGGGATCTTACATTGTCATAGCACGTATTTTTTTGTCATAAAGTTTGCATCAGGGTACACCAGGAGAAATGATTTTTTTTGGCATAGGAAAACACTTTGGTCAAAGGCAGGGTATCTACCACAATGCGACTGCCTGGTGACTAGTTGGCAATTTCAGATGGGCCCGTCTGGAACCCAACAGGAAAAACGTTTGCGCATGGGTGTGTCTGTGTGTGGAAATTCTGAACAGAAGTAAAACCTCTATTGTTGCTTCTTTTTCAGCTTTCCGATTTCAGCAGGGGGCTCATGGGCACTTGGATGGCATGGGCCAACGAAGGCCCATCCAAGTTGCTCTGCAAACGTGCATGCAATCTTTTCATAGTGATGGGATGTGGCCAACCGAAGAACTACCATGCCGTTTTTCAACGAGAATCTCTTTTTATAGACGTTTTTACTTTTCAGATTTGAATTAGGCACATGAACGGATGAAGCTATTCTTCAAGGTGGCGACGAAGGATTTATCCTTTCACTATATACAAAGAAAACCGTCGTGTCAGGTGTTACTGAAGTGCTTTTGCACGACAGATGCATTCCACAACAGAATTCGCAATGACAGTTCCGAGCACATGTGTTAACCACGTCGATTCGACAAGATGCCGTGAGCTCCTCGGGGAATACCTGTCTAGTGGTAGGATGTTTTGTCCTTTGACTTGACCTCTGAATTTACACTCTTTGGTAATTCATCTCAGTAAAGTGGAACAGCAAGACATTTTTCGCTTCTCACCCTGTCGAATGTCGACGTGTTGAACAACTGGCCACACAACCGTCGCCTTCGTTCGCCTTTTACCTTGTTATTGATCGCTGGTTGAACAACTGGCCGCAGTACCGGGCTTCATTTCCTGTTGTCAGCCGTGGAAATTTCTTTTTTCAACTTGGTCCGGAGACTGACCAGCTTACGGCAATGCAACAAGACAAGGTTCAGGCTTCAGGACATGCCTTTCAAATGTGGTCACTTTCTTTCTGGTTGATCTGGTGACATCAAAGTTGGGCACGATTTCGAAGGTTGACTACTTCAGCGGTCCCACCATCATTCCATTTTCTTCACGACAGTGTCAGTTTCCTTCATTTGTTATCAAGAGTTTTGAGCAATGAATCTGGCTTATTTATTTACGATCCACAGTTTTTTCTCATATTTGAGGGTGATTGTCTGCCTTAGCCGCCAAGAATTATTGAAAATGATTAAGTGTACCCAGGGCATGTAACCAATGCATCAAGTTTCCCCGCAAACAGGACATGACGTTCCCGGGGAGGTTCCACGGTTCGATTGCAAATGCCTCCGGTTTTGGGTCCCCAAATTCTTTCACATTCCCAGTGAATGGGCGGTATTTCTTTTATTTAAATACAAGTTTCGAAACCACAGGGGAAAAGCACAACCCGGAAACCAAAGCGAATGGGATATAAACTGAAAAAATATAACTAAGCTAATAATATGAAATATTTACGGCCCACAAAAAACGTAAATAAGTTTTACCTACAGATTGCTGTCTTACCAATTTAATGGCCTTTTTAATCTTGTTTATCCAAGTATCTATGCACCATCATTTTTCAACATGACATGCGGGATTCCTGGACAAACTCTATGTTGGCTACAAAAGTAGCCATATAAAGCATCATCTTCGAACAGCCAGGCTAAACCGGGCCGGTAGTAAAGACCAGGTTAAACTAGGTCGAGGAAGCACTGGGAAAGGACATGGGAGTGAAAGAAGTTCGCATGCTGAGTCACGACAGTGTTGCGCCACGCGAGCCATATGGATGATGATGCATGATGATGCTGATGACATCTCTTCTCTATCTCTCTCTTTCTCTCTCTCTCTCTCGCTGTCTTTTCTCTCTTTTCTCTCTCATCTCTCTTTTCTCTCTCTTCTCTCTTTTCTTTCTTTTCTCTCTTTTCTCTCTCTTCTCTCTTTTCTTTCTTTCTTTTCTCTCTTTTCTTACTTTCTTTTCTCTCTTGTCTCTCTTCTCTGTCCTCGCTCTCTCCCTATGTCTCTGTCTCTGTCTCTGTCTCTCCCTCTCTCTCTCTCTCTCCCTCTCTCTCTCTCTCGCTCTCTCTCCCCTCTGTCCTCCTCGCTGGTAAGCAGAAGACTGAGGCCACCGATTTTGCCTGAGATTGTGACTTTGGCACTACCTTGCGGCGGTCTTTCTGGAGTATCGCAATTTCTGGCAGAGAGCACCAAAGCACCCTGCGGACAGAGGTTCGCTACTACTACGACATCGATGCATCATTGCAAGGTGCGTTAGAGGCTCTGCATGGCAACGATGCACTTGGCTTCCATTTGGGTTCAAGTGTAGGCAAGGTTTTCAAAACATGACTTTCCAACATCTTTTTGTGGTGCAATTTCTGATTTCATTTTCAGTGATCGTGTTTTTAGATGTTTTTCCATTGTTTGTCGAACAAGGAGCCTTTCTTCACTCTTGGCACAGACACTGACTGGAAAATTCTTTTGCTGGCAAGATTCCTTTTATCACACGAGGAAAAATCGTATTATGAAACATATACGTGTTTGGATAGAACCAGAGATTTCTTGATCGTGGCAATTGATGGCGGGAACAAACATTGCAGAGTCGTTCCTGTTCAGTTCCGCAGGAAACCTTCTGCAAGCAGATTTCCAGAGTTGGGAGTGCGTGACTGGGGCCATCAGCGGGCCGCCATGTCCACCATTCAGTGCAATCGGAGCTCGACGACGGGAAGATGACATTCGGTGGCAGGTTTTCTGAAGGGTTTCTGATATTTTGGTGGATCAAGGGAGGAAGGCCTGGGCAGAGCCCATGTGGGAATGGCCATCCGTTTCTTGAATCTCCAAAACGAAGTAACCACTTGAAGCAAATATGTTCAGGTGTTTATTTTTCAGGACGAGGAATTCGAAAAGGATCTGTGGGACATGGATTCATATAAATTTGTCTTGATGGTTGGCATTGCTTCCCAAGTTTATGTGTTTTCAGTCCGTGTCGGCTGGGAGTCCATTTCATTGTAGGTTTCAGAACCAAGACGCTCTGGATGCTACGTTGTAACATCTACTTGAAGCCACTTCCAAGACGCTTTGTAAGCGATTGCATTTTTTGACATTCCAGGATATTTCCAGAACTTTTCAGGTCGGTTGCACCACCACATTGGACATCGCCACATTAGCACTCAATTGGGATAATCCCCCAGCTGTTTATTGATCCCAGCATGCAGGGATCCTTTTTCTTCATCATCGAGATGGTGCCGGCACACGATGAGAGATCCTCAGGCAGCACCAAAACCTGTTACTCTAAATGGATCGAAGCACTGGTTTCAGCAGCACCGATGTGGCGTCTACAATCTTGGCATCTTGTGCTGTGGGCCAACATCTGGGTCAAGTTAGGAAGTGCAATCGTTTTGCGGTTTCTGCCCTACATCATATTATGTTTTTTTGGGGGGAAACTAGGTTGGAGAAGAGACTTACCGACATTCGTAAGAGCCGACACAAATTGAGTGGAAGCAGATTTGGGATCTTACATTGTCATAGCACGTATTTTTTGGCATAAAGGTTGCATCAGGGTACACCAGGAGAAATGACTTTTTTTGGCATAGGAAAACACTTTGGTCAAAGGCAGGGTATCTACCACAATGCGACTGCCTGGTGACTAGTTGGCAATTTCAGATTGGCCCGTCTGGAACCCAACAGGAAAAAACGTTTGCGCATGGGTGTGTCTGTGTGCGGAAATTCTGAACAGAAGTAAAACCTCTATTGCTGCTTCTTTTTCAGCTTTCGGATTTCAGCAGGGGGCTCATGGGCACTTGGATGGCATGGGCCAACGAAGGCCCATCCAAGTTGCTTTGCAAACGTGCATGCAATCTTTTCATAGTGATGGGATGTGGCCAACCGAAGAACTACCATGCCGTTTTTCAACGAGAATCACTTTTTATAGACGTTTTTACTTTTCAGATTTGAATTAGGCACATGAACGGATGAAGCTATTCTTCAAGGTGGCGACGAAGGATTTATCCTTTCACTATATACAAAGAAAACCGTCGTGTCAGGTGTTACTGAATTGAAGTGCTTTTGCACGACAGATGCATTCCACAACAGAATTCGCAATGACAGTTCCGAGCACATGTGTTACTCACGTTGATTCGACAAGATGCCGTGAGCTCCTCGGGGAATACCTGTCTAGTGGTAGGATGTTTTGTCCTTCGACTTGACCTCTGAATTTACACTTACTTTCGTAATTCGTCTAAGTAAAGTGGAACAGCAAGACATTTTTCGCTTCTCACCCTGTCGAATGTCGACGTGTTGAACAACTGGCCACACAACCGTCGCCTTCGTTCGCCTTTTACCTTGTTATTGATCGCTGGTTGAACAACTGGCCGCAGTACCGGGCTTCATTTCCTGTTGTCAGCCGTGGAAATTTCTTTTTTCAACTTGGTCCGGAGACTGACCAGCTTACGGCAATGCAACAAGACAAGGTTCAGGCTTCAGGACATGCCTTTCAAATGTGGTCACTTTCTTTCTGGTTGATCTGGTGACATCAAAGTTGGGCACGATTTCGAAGGTTGACTACTTCAGCGGTCTATGGGGTTGATCTGAATTTTCGGTCATTGAGCTTGATCAGGGGATTCTGCATTGGATTGTTGCTCATCAACTTGTTATTGAATAAAACGTGCTGGATAATTTGGCGCTGGTTCTCCCTGCTTCCTCCATCATTCTCCTTCACCCACATAGGGCATCAGGACAACCGGCTGTGGTCTTCCAAAAAAAAAACTTGTTGCAGCAGGGTCTGTGTGTGAGTGGAATTTCTGAACAGAAGTAAAACCTCTACTGTTGCTTCTTTTTCAGCTTTCCGATTTCAGCAGTGGCCCGTGGGCACTTGGATGGCATGGACCAACGAAGGCCCATCCAAATTGCTGTGCAAACGTACATGCAACCTTTAAACCGTGGCTAACCCAAGAATCACCATGTTGTGTTTTGATGAGAACCACTTCAGAATTTGAATTAAGCATGTGAACGGATGAAACTATTCTTCAAGGTGGCGACGAAGGAATTTTACTTTCACGCAACACCAAACCATCGTGTCAGGTGTTACTGAAGTGCTTTTGCACGACAGATGCATTCCATAACAGAATTCGCAATGACAGCTTTGAGCCAGTGCACAGTGTGCGTGCAAGTTGTTCCATGCACTGCTTTTTCCTTTGGTTCGATTGGATTTCATGTGCTACTCCTATCAACTTCTTGAAGCACCACCTTTGCAGTTCCCCAAGACGAATTGCTTGCCTTACCTTCCGTGCGTACTTTAAGAACTAGACATTCGTTTATCCAGGTGTGGATATCCATCACAATACCTCAATTCAAATCTCTTTATATAAGGGAATCTTGCACTCATGTGGATGGCACATCATGCATGGACACCTGAGGCATTTGGATTCCTCGCAGTTTCTGTGCCCCCAGCATCGAACAAGGCTGTACACAGTGGGGGTCAATGCCATGCACACCCGGGAACTTCCTCGGGAGCCACGCTTGCTTTCTGCTGGCCCTGCTCGGACTTTTCTCGATGTTTTGCATCCAGGCATTGAGCCCTTTCAGGAGGACACGTTGAGCACCCATCTCAAAGTGAACTTGCTCATGTACAAGCACATTCTGCAAGAGCATCGAGTGTCCCTGGCATGCTTGAGTTTGGACCGGGATCCAAGGGCCGACTTCGGGCCTTACTTTCGTACTGATGGCCTCATTCCCACTCTCCGCACGGCAAACCATCCGTGTCTCGGCATCATCAGTGACCAATACCTCAGCTCTCAGGGTTTTCGTGAACAGGGGCTTCATGTATGCTCATTCATTTGTCCATCGTCATGTCGCAGAAATCCATTTGAACTGCCTTCCACATTTCTTGTTCCTAAGCGTGGTGGCCTCCAACAACAAAGTTTGTAGCTTCTGTGATTGCAGAAATGGAACACAGAATCACCAAGACAGATAGATCAACATTCTGTTCCAGTTGTGCCGCACAAGGCAGTGGTGGAAGTTTCAAAAATAGGAAACCTATAGGAGAGGATGGTTGTTGTGAATCAGGGATGGCAGAGCGAAGCCATTGATGGACCGAAAGGTGCTTGAGGTCTCCTCTATTTCTCTCTCTTTCTCTTTTTTCTCTGACTATCTACCTACATAATCTATCAATCAATGTATCTATCTATTTCTCTCTCTCTTTTTCATCCAATTACCTACTCTATCTATTTATCTATCTATCCATCCTTCTATCTATCTATCTATCTATCTATCTATCTAATCTATGTCTCCCTCTCTCTCTCTCTTTCTTTCATCTGTCTATCTGTCTAGTTGTCTACCTGTCTATCCGTCTGTCTATCTATCTATCTATCTATCTATGATCTATCTATCTATCTATCTATCTATCTAATCTATGTCTCCCTCTCTCTCTCTCTTTCTTTCATCTGTCTATCTGTCTAGTTGTCTACCTGTCTATCCGTCTGTCTATCTATCTATCTATCTATCTATGATCTATCTATCTATCTATCTATCTATCTAATCTATGTCTCCCTCTCTCTCTCTCTTTCTTTCATCTGTCTATCTGTCTAGTTGTCTACCTGTCTATCCGTCTGTCTATCTATCTATCTATCTATCTAATCTATGTCTCCCTCTCTCTCCCTCTCCCTCTCTCTCTCTTTCTTTCATCTGTCTATCTGTCTAGTTGTCTACCTGTCTATCCGTCTGTCTATCTATCTATCTATCTATCTATTTATCTATCTATCTATCTATCTACCTGTCTATCTGTCTACCTGTCTATCTGTCTACCTGTCTATCTGTGGTGCAGTGTCATTTCGTGCAATGTAGTGTAGTGTAATGTAGTGTAGTGTAGTGGAGTGTAGTGGAATGTAGCGTAGTGTAGTGGAATGTAGTGTAGTGTAGTGTAATTTAGTGTAGTGGAGTGTAGTGGAGTGTAGTGGAGTGTGGTTGTGTAGTTGCATTTGTAGTTGTAGTGTAGTGGAATGTAGTGCAATGTAGTGTAGTGGAAGGTAGTGTAGTGTAGTGTAACGTAGTGTAGTGGAGTGTAGTGTAGTGTAATGTAGTGTAGTGGAGTGTAGTGGAGTGTAGTTGTGTAGTTGTAGCTGTAGTGTAGTGGAGTGTCCTGTAGTGTAATGTAGTGAAGTTTAGTGGAAGGTAGTGTAGTGTAGTGTCGTGTAATATAGTGTAGCGTAGTGGAGCGGAGTGTAGTGTAGTGTAATGTAGTGTGGTGTAATGTAATTTAGTGTAGTGGAGTGTAGTGGAGTGTAGTTGTGTAGCTGTAGTTGTAATGTAGTGGAGTGTAGTGTAGTGGAATGTAGTGAAGGTGTAGTTGTAGTTGTAGTGTAGTGTAATGTATTGGACTGTAGTGTGGGTGGTTGTGATTGAAAATGCTACAAAATTTTCACGTTTTGCTCACTTTTGAAGAGGTGCACAACCCCTTGCGCCTGCCACACGAAGCGATATCTGAATCTACAAAAGTGGTCCGAACCCCTGGTGCTTTTAACATGTTGACTTCAAAAAGTGCTTCGCGCCACAACTGCATCCACTTGTTCGACATCCGAAGCTCCAAAAGTGGTCCGAACCCCTGGTGTTTTTAACATTTTGATTTCGACATGTGCTTCGTGCCACAACGGCGTCCACTTTTTCCGATGTCCAAAAGTGGTCCGAGCATGGTGTGCTTTGTACATTTCGACTTCGAAATGTGCTTCGTGCCACAACGGCGTGCACTTTTTCGACATCTCAACGTCCAAAAGTGGTCCGAGCATGGTGTGTTTTGTACATTTTGACTTCGAAATGTGCTTCGCGCCACAGCGGCGTGCTATTTTTCATCTCTCATCTGGCCAGCTGGCTCCGCACCCGCCGCTTTAGCCGCAATACGCAGAACGACGGCGAGCTTTGGCTCGCCTGCTGGGTGGAGTTGAAGGAGCCGCGGTGTCAACAGATCGGCCTCATTGGGAGCGTTTTTCGTTTCATCCTTCTTCAACGCTTGGTGCCAAGTCACCATTGGCATTTTCATATTCTCGTCGAAACAGTACTGACAACAGGAGAAAGTAGTGCCATTCATTTTTTTTTCCATCTGGGCTTTGATTACGGGGGTCAAGGGTCTGACAGTGAGGTTCTCTGAGAACATTCTCAGATAAAGTAGCAGATAAAATGTTAGAACAGCATGTCAGATAGGCTGTCAGAGAAAATGCCAGAAACTATGTCCGATAAAAGGCAAAACTAAATGCAAGATAGAATGCCATCATGTCAGATACAAAATGCCAGATAGAATTCCAGAAAAAAGACAGAATATATGCAAGATAGAATGTCTGTTGGTGTGGATCACTCCAAGAAAGTCATTTCTTTGGGAACTTTCTAGACCTATCCTTCTTGTGGCTCAGTTTCTGGTTGTTCAAACAATGTGCGAGCTCAACATATTTTTCCGCCATCTACCAGGTGAGGGTCCTTAAAGGTGCGATTCCTTCTTCTTCTCCTTGTGCTTCTCCTCCTCCTCCTCCGCGTCTGCCCTCTGCCAGCTCGACGTTGCTTTGGGCAGCACTGGGCCCGGAGCCGCCATGCAGCAAGTGCCAGAAGCTCCTTGCAACCTCCGGATGTAATGGAGATCGCTTGCGCCCGACACATAATTCATAATGCAAGCTCCGGAGGCAGTGGACCACGCCTGGACCCGGCCTTTTCGCGAGCTCCGAACCCTTTCGCAATCTCCGGATGCAGTGGCCGAACACATGCCAAAAAGATTTCAGATAGAATGCCGGAAAACATATACCAGATAGAATATCAATTAAACTGTATGACCAATAAAGTGCAAAATACCAGAATCAGTTGTCATTATAGATTGGGAACTAAAATGCTAGATCGAATGACAACTAAAATGCCACATCGAATGACAGGATATGTATCAGATAAAGCATCAGATAAAATGTCAGAATAGCATGTCAGATAAAATGCAAGAAACTATGTCCGATAAAAGGCAAAACTAAATGCAAGATAGAATGCCAGAATATATCATGTCAGATAAAAATGCGAGATAGAATTCCAGAAAAAAGACAGAATATATGCAAGATAGAATGTCTGTTGGTGTGGATCACTCCAAGAAAGTCATTTCTTTGGGAACTTTCCAGACCTATCCTTCTTGCGGCTAGTTTAATTTAGCAGAAAGCTAAACTTCTGTCTAACAAGCTGCAAAAACATTGTTTCATTTTCATGCGGTGATTTACAGCTGCCCGGCGCTACAGGATCTGTTCGGCGCCCTCTTGGTTGACCACCTATATATACAAGCTGCTGGAAAAATGTGGGCCATCGAAATGTTTGGAAGGCGCGTATCAGTGCTTCCGCGCGTTGGTGATCCAGATTATTGCTACATTTACATTTAGACCGGAAGTATGTGAAATATCATTTTTAAGCTTGCCTGCTTTTTTTTGTGCGGGTGAAAGATGAAAACCGTTATGACTTTTTCGAGTTGAAATTGGGAATGCGCTTGCGTGCACAGACATTGCAGCTTGCAGATTCAGAAAGGGAGGGATGATATTTATAGTTCTGGAGACTATTAAAACGTATGAGGTTTCTTTGGGGGATTCAGCGTGCATACTTGCCTGATTGTGGCTGCACCTTCAGTTTGCATAATCGAAAGGTGTTTTTGTTTGCCACGCACCGACACGGCCCACCGGCCACCGGCCTGGCCACCGGCCTGGCCATCGGCCCGCCCACCGACACAGCCCACCCGACCCAGGCTCGGCCTACGAACTTCCCCGGCCCCACCCGGCCGGTGCACAAACAGTATATGACTTCCTTTGTGTTTGTCGCGCATATCGGCAGAAACCTCTCAGAAGCTCAGGAAATCCGGAGAACACGATTTGCTACCTGCTTTCTCTTCGGATAGAGGTTCTCACATACGCGATACTTTAAAGGAATTTTCTGCCCTTCTGAGCTATTTTCAGACATTGTCAGACTTTTTCAGAAATTATACGTTTTTTCATCTTTTTTCCGCTATTTTCCGTTTTTTTCCAAGTTTGCACCATGTTGCTTCCCGCGAAAGCGGCGAAACCACCATTTCAAACCGGCGGAATCACCATTCCAAAGCGGCGGAATCACCATGCCAAAGCGGCGGAACAAGCTGCGCCAAAGCGGCGGTAGAAAGCAACAAGTCTTGTCATTTCAACATAACATGCCTGCTGTTAGCCCGAGATTCCAGCATACCCTCTGATACTATCTCCATACCTGTCAGCCAGTTATGATCCAGATTTGACCGAGAATGCTCTGATACTAGCATACTTTCTGATACTATCCTCATGCCTCTCAGCCAGTCTTGATCCACATTTTAGCGAGACTGCTGTGATTCTAGCATACCTCCTGATACTATCCCCATACCTCTCAGTCAGTCTTGATCCAGATTTGACCGATGGTGTTGTGATTCTCGCATACCTTCTGACTGAGAGTTCTCCAAACTTGTCAGCCAGTTTTGATCCAGATTTGACCGAGACTGCTGTGATTCTAGCATACCTTCTGCTACTATCCCCATGCCTCTCAGCCAGTTTTGATCCAGATTTGACCGAGACTGCTGTGATTCTAGCATACCTTCTGATCCCCATACCTCTCAGCCAGTCTTGATCCAGATTTGACCGAGACTGCTGTGATGCTAGCATACCTGCTGTGATGCTAGCATACCTTCTGATTCTATCCCCATACCTCTCAGGCAGTTTTGATCCAGATTTGACCGAAGGTGTTGTGATTCTAGCGTGCCTGCTGGTAGTATGCCAATACTTCTCAGCCAGTTTTGATCCAGATTTGACCGAGAGTGCTGTGATTCTAGCCTACCTTCTGATACTAGCCCAATACCTCTCAGCCAGTTTTGATTCAGATTTGACCGACGCTGCTGTGATGCTAGCATACCTTCTCATACTATCCCCATGCCTCTCAGCCAGTTTTGATCCAGATTTGACCGAGACTGCTGTGATTCTCGCATACCTTCTGAAACTATCTCCATACCTGTAAGCCAGTCTTGATCCAGATTTGACCGAAGGTGTTGTGATTCTAGCAGACTTGCTGGTTGTATGCCAATACTTACCCCAGTTTTGATCCAGATTTGACTGAGACTGCTGTGATTCAGGCATGCCTTCTGATACTATCCCCATACCTCTCAGCCAGTCTTGATCCAGATTTGACCGAAGGTGTTGTGATTCTAGCGTACCTGCTGGTAGTATGTGCTAGTACTTCCCAGCCAGTTTTGATCCAGATTTGACCGAAGGGCTTGTGATTCTAGCATACCTGCTGGTAGTATGCCAATACTTACCCCACCCAGCCTTGATCCAGTTGACCGAGATTGCTGTGATTCTAGCATACCTTCTGATATTATTCCCATACCTCTCAGCCAGTCTTGATCCAGATTTGACCAAAGGTCTTGTGATTCCAGTCTTGATCCAGATTTGACCGAGACTTCTGTGATTCTAGCATACCTTCTGATCCCCATACCTCTCAGCCAGTCTTGATCCAGATTTGACCGAGACTGCTGTGTTTCTAGCATACCTTCTTGATACTATCCCCATACTTCTCAGCCAGTTTTGATCCAGATTTGACCGAGACCTGTGATTCCAGCATACCTTCTGATACTATCTCCATACCTCTCAGCCAGTCTTGATCCAGATTTGACCGACACTGCTGTGAAGATAGCATACCTTCTGATACTATCTGCATACTTCTCAGCCAGTCTTGATCCAGATTTGACCGAAGGTGTTGTGATTCTAGCGTGCCTGCTGGTAGTATGTGCTAGTACTGCTCAGCCAGTTTTGATCCAGATTTGACCGAAGGTCTTGTGATTCTAGCATACCTGCTGGTAGTATGCCAATACTTACCCCAGTTTTGATCCAGATTTGACCGAGACTGCTGTGTTTCTAGCATACCTTCTTGATACTATCCCCATACTTCTCAGCCAGTTTTGATCCAGATTTGACCGAGACCTGTGATTCCAGCATACCTTCTGATACTATCTCCATACCTCTCAGCCAGTCTTGATCCAGATTTGACCGACACTGCTGTGAAGATAGCATACCTTCTGATACTATCTGCATACTTCTCAGCCAGTCTTGATCCAGATTTGACCGAAGGTGTTGTGATTCTAGCGTGCCTGCTGGTAGTATGTGCTAGTGCTGCTCAGCCAGTTTTGTTCCAGATTTGACCGAAGGTCTTGTGATTCTAGCATACCTGCTGGTAGTATGCCAATACTTCCCCCAGTTTTGATGCAGATTTGACCGATACTGCTGCGATTCAGGCATACTGTTACTATCCCCATACCTCTCAGCCAGTTTTGATCCAGATTTGACCGAGACTGCTGTGTTTCTAGCATACCTTCTTGATACTATCTCCATACCTCTCAGCCAGTCTTGATCCAGATTTGACCGAGACCGCTGTGATTCTAGCATACCTTACTGCTACTATCCGCATACCTCTCAGCCAGTTTTGATCCAGATTTGACCGAAGTTGTTGTGATTCTAGCAAACCTGCTGGTAGTATGCCAATACTTCCCAGCCAGTTGTGATCCAGATTTGATGGAAGGTGTTGTGATTCTAGCAGCAAAGCTGCTGGTAGTATATGCCAGTGCTTCCCAGCCGGTTTTGATCCAGGTTTGACCGAAGGTCTTGTGATTGTAGCAGACCTACTGGTAGTATGCTACTACTTCCCAGCCAGTCTTGATCCAGATTTGATCGAGACTTCTGTGATTCTAGCATACCTTCTGATCCCCATACCTCTCAGCCAGTCTTGATCCAGATTTGACCGAGACTGCTGTGATTCTAGCACACCTTCTGGTACTATCCCCATACCTCTCATCCAGTCTTGATCCAGATTTGGCCGAAGTTGTTGTGATTCTAGCATACTTGCTTGTAGTATGCCAATACTTCCCAGCCAGTTGTGATCCTGATTTGATGGAAGGTGTTGTGATTCTAGCAGCATACCTGCTGGTAGTATAAGCCAATACTTTCCAGCCAGTTTTGATCCAGATTTGACCGAAGGTCTTGTGATTGTAGCATAGCTACTGGTAGTATGCTACTACTTCCCAGCCAGTCTTGATCCAGATTTGACGGAGACTGTCTTCTGTGATTCTAGCATACCTTCTGATCCCCATACCTCTCAGCCAGTCTTGATCCAGATTTGACAGAAGGTGTTGTGATTCTAGAATACCTGCTGGTAGTATGCCAATACTTCCCAGCCAGTCTTGATCCAGATTTGACTGAGACTGCTGTGATTCTAGCATACCTTCTGATACTATCCTCATGCCTCTCAGCCAGTTTTGATCCAGATTTGACCGAGACTGCTGTGATTCTAGCATACCTTCTGATCCCCATACCTCTCAGCCAGTCTTGATCCAGATTTGACCGACGGTGTTGTGATTCCAGCAGACTTGCTGGTTGTATGCCAATATTCTCCACCCAGTTTTGATCCAGATTTGACCGAGACTGCTGTGATTCCAGCATACCTTCTGATACTATCTCCATACCTCTCAGCCAGTCTTGATCCAGATTTGACCGAGACCGCTGTGATTCTAGCATACCTTACTGCTACTATCCGCATACCTCTCTCAGCCAGTCTTGATCCAGGTTTGACCGAAGGTCTTGTGATTCTAGCATACCTGCTGGTAGCATGCCAATACTTCCCAGCCAGTTTTGGTCCAGATTTCACCGAGACAGCCCAAATCTAGCATACTCGCTGGTAGTATGCCAATACTTGTCACCCAGTCTTGATCCAGATTTGACCGAGACTGCTGTGATTCTAGTATACCGTGTAGTACTACCCCCATACCTCTCATCCAGTCTTGATCCAGATTTGACCGAAGGTCTTGTGATTCTAGCATACCTGCTGGTAGTATGCCAATACTTCCCAGCTAGTTTTGATCCAGATTTGACCGAGACAGCTTAAATCTAGCATACCTTCTGATACTATCCTCATACCTCTCAGCCAGTCTTGATCCAGATTTAACCGAAGGTGTTGTGATTCTAGCATACCTGCTAGTAGTATGCTAATACTTCCCAGCTAGTTTTGATCCAGATTTGACGGAGACTGCTGTGATTCTAGCATACCTTCTGATCCCCATACCTCTCAGCCAGTCTTGATCCAGATTTGACAGAAGGTGTTGTGATTCTAGAATACCTGCTGGTAGTATGCCAATACTTCCCAGCCAGTCTTGATCCAGATTTGACTGAGACTGCTGTGATTCTAGCATACCTTCTGATACTATCCTCATGCCTCTCAGCCAGTTTTGATCCAGATTTGACCGACACTGCTGCGATTCAGGCATACTGTTACTATCCCCATACCTCTCAGCCAGTCTTGATCCAGATTTGACCGACACTGCTGCGATTCATGCATACTGATACTATCCTCATATACCTCTCAGCCAGTGTTGATCCAGATTTGACCGAAGTTGTTGTGATTGTAGCAAACCTGCTGGTAGTATGCCAATACTTCCCAGCCAGTTGTGATCCAGATTTGACCGAGACGGCTGTGATTCTACATAACTTGCTGGTAGTATGCCAATACTTCTCACCCAGTCTTGATCCAGATTTGACCGAGACCGCTGTGATTCTAGCATACCTTACTGCTACTATCCGCATACCTCTCTCAGCCAGTCTTGATCCAGATTTGACCGAAGGTCTTGTGATTCTAGCATACCTGCTGGTAGTATGCCAATACTTCCCAGCCAGTTTTGGTCCAGATTTCACCGAAACAGCCCAAATCTAGCATACTCGCTGGTAGTATGCCAATACTTGTCACCCAGTCTTGATCCAGATTTGACCGAGACTGCTGTGATTCTAGTATACCGTGTAGTACTACCCTCATACCTCTCATCCAGTCTTGATCCAGATTTGACCGAAGGTCTTGTGATTCTAGCATACCTGCTGGTAGTATGCCAATACTTCCCAGCTAGTTTTGATCCAGATGTGACCGAGACAGCTTAAATCTAGCATACCTTCTGATACTATCCTCATACCTCTCAGCCAGTCTTGATCCAGATTTAACCGAAGGTGTTGTGATTCTAGCATACCTGCTAGTAGTATGCTAATACTTCCCAGCTAGTTTTGATCCAGATTTGACCGAGACTGCTGTGATTCTAGCATACTATCTCCATACCTGTGAGCCAGTTTTGATCCAGATTTGACCGACATTGCTGTGTTTCTGGCATACCTTCTGATACTATCCCCATACCTCTTAGCCAGTTTTGATCCACATTTGACCGAGACTTGTGTTATTCAGGCGTACTTTCTGGTACTATCCCCATACCTCTCAGTCAGTCCTGATCCAGATGTGACCGAGACTGCTGTGTGTCTAGCATACCTTAAGATTCTAATACTCTTCCCATACCTTTCAGCCAGTTTTGATCCAGATTTGACCGAGACTGCTGTGATTCAACCCTACTGTCTGATACTACCCCCATACCCCTTAGCAAGTCTTGATCCAGATTTGGCCGATAATGCTGTGATTCTAGCATACCTGCTGGTAGTCTGCTGGTACTTCCCAGCCAGTTTTGATCCAGATTTGACCGATACTTCTGATATGATCATACCTCTCAGCCAGTCTTGATCCAGATTTAACGGCAGGTGCTGTGATTCTATATAGCATACCTGCTGGTAGTATGCCAATACTTCCCAGCCGGATGTGACTGAGACTGCTGTGATTCTAGCATACCCGCTGGTAGTATGCCAATACTTCCTAGCCGGTCTTGAACCAGACTTGACAACGACAGCTGTGATTCTAGCATTCCTGCTGGTAGTATGCCAATACTTCCCAGCCAGTTTTGATCCAGATTTTCTCCGAGACTGCGGTGATTCTAGCATACCTTCTGATACTGTCCCCATACCTCTCAGCCAGTTTCGATCCAGATTTGACCGAGACTGCTGTGATTCTATATAGCATATCTTCTCATCCCCATACCTCTCCCAGTCTTGATCCAGATTTGACCAAAGGTGTTGTGATTCTAGCATGCCTGCTGGTAGTATGCCAATAGTCGCATTTGACCGAGACTGCTGTGATTCTAGCATACCTTCTGATACTATCCCCATACCTCGCAGCCAGTCTTGATCCAGATTTGACCGAGACTGGTGTGATTCCAGCATACCTGCTGGTAGCACGGCCATATTTCTTATCATGTCTTGAGCCAGCTTTGGCGCTGGTGACGTGCCAGGAGTCAGTTGCTACGAGCACTCAGTGTTCGGTGAAGGAGTTGTGCCGAATGCAGGGAGTTGGCTTGTCGGAGTGAGCGAATTGCGACGGCAGGAGACGTGCAGGGAGTAATTTACGCTTCTTCACCTGTCTTGGGCCAGATTTGACCGATCAAGCTGTGATGCTTCATGGTGTGCCGAAAGTCAGAGCGTTATTCGTGCATGGAGCCTTGAAGCCGGTTTGAGTTATACAAAAAGATGTGAGGAGACAGGAAAGGACAGACACCTGGGAACGCCCCGAAGGGAGAACGTGAGATGCGATGAGATGAGGTGATTTTCATCTTCTGTAGTCATGGCATGTCATGTCATGTCATGGTGGCTTGCACGACCACTTAGTAGATGGTTCTGCGTTGGCCCGTGCCATCTGTGCGTCCACTGCCCCCCTGTTTTTTAATGCCTTACCCTTTGGTTCAAGGCTTTGCACACACAGACATAGACACATGCCATGCGCACTCAGCTTTGCGTGAGACTTTGCACGTGGTTGATGGCTAGGGGCCGGAGGCTTTTCCAAATTTATGTATGGCAGAAAGGCTACACAGGCTTGCTGCCTTCACAGCAATCAGTCCGCAGGGACACAGGTGTTATATATATATATATATATATTATTTACAGATAGTTTAACTCATTAATTAATTAATTTATATACGGTTTTCTTGACATGTGTACGTATATATGCATATGACGTTGACAGGGCGCATGGTTTTTCATTACCTTTATCTTTGCAGTGAAAGGCACGGCCACAATCTTTATAATTTGCAATTGCTGATCACTTTGTGATCCGCGCGCTGAAGGACTACTTCGTGGCAACTGTGTTGGAGAGAACCTTGCATTGAGGTGGGAGCTGTTTCAAGTGGGGGGTGAGCATAGCATCCTCTTGTAAGTACGTATACAAGACTTTATGTTTTATATGTAAATGCACATGCAGATGACCCCCTCAAACATGAAGAATGATGTCTAGAATCTCGACAAGAAATCGTCCATTAAGAAAAAACATGACTGATCTATGTTTATCCAGTTGTGCCGTGACGCAGCATCAAAAATAGCGCTGCCAAGGTTTCACCGTCACCAATCGTTGATCTTTCCAGCGCATTTTCGCTGTCTTCATGATCCTGAGGTTCTTCCAAGTCTTCTTGCTGGTTCTTGCAGCTGCTGGAAGGGCCCAGAGATGATGTGATGAAGGCTTTGAGTGGCCGACTAGATTGCCGACAGACGATGCTGGAAAGCATTGATGAAGGGACGATTCCGGAAGCCTCTGGGCCACAATAGAACCGGCATGATGAATGTCAGAAAATGTCTAGCAGTACCATCCGCACATTCGTGTTTCTCTTTCTTCATAAAGCTCTTGTGCTTCTGTGCGCGAAGGGGACTTCAGCCAACATGGTCGTAATAAGACTGTTTCCATGTGATTAAAGGAGCTGTGGGCAGTGGCACCGTCACTAATACTTTCCAAATGCACATTCTGTAGGCCTCACGAAATTTGACTAAGAATTGAGCAGCACCAACCGTAGCTTTTCGAAACACCTTCTGCCGTGGGCGAGTGAATCCAGATCGTTCGAGGGCGATCGTGTTTCCCTGCTCACCCTCAGCCTAACTATGATCATATAGCTAAGGCTGACGAAGACAAGGTGAGTTTCAAACTGAATTTCAAGACCTCCATCCCATACAAGCTCCTCGGCTTCGTGTACCTTCCTGGCAGCAAGCCATTCTCTTCTGCTTCAAGCAATGCAATTCTTGAAATGGAGTGATGTCTCTTCAGTCCTTGCAAATTATAGGCCAAATACCATATAGCCCGAAAGTTGTTTTCTAGTCTGAGAACTGGAAGCCCAGGGCCCCCAAAAGTCTTGATTACAAATGTCAATTCTTTTCGACCAGCATGATTTCACTTGAAAGAACAACATGCTGAGACGACCTTCGCAAAACCTCAGTAAATTTTCAAAAACAATCAGGAGTGCTTTCGAATGGTGCAAGCGAACGCTCCCGGATGACACGCGCTGGAAGGTGCTTGGTTTGATGCAGGGTGGTTGCGCCTTGTCGACAAAAGCACATCTCCAACAAAAAGGAGTCCAATTTCAAAATCTGAGCGTCATTTTATTTTGTTTTGGTCGTGGTGCCAAGTGCCGGCTACTTGGTAGTTACAGGGGGGTAAGAGGGATCGAAACCTTTCGAAGCAAGGATCTGGGCGCATCCCAGGATAATTTTGGTTTTAGTATATTCACATAGAGTCAAAAAATATTCTTCCAAGGAAGCGGAGGACATTTCGAAGTCGAAAGTGCAAAAAAATAGAGGAGTTCGGACCACTCTACGGCATCCGTCAAGTTCACGAATAGACACAGTTTCGCTTAATTGCTGCGTTTTTGATGTTTTGAAGTTAAAAAACTGTGGAAGTCTCGCAGCATAGCTTCGTTTTCCGGCTTGCAGATACACAGATAGATAGCCAGACCGAAAGAGAAATAAAGAGAGAGAAACAGAAATAGATAAGATAACATAAGATAAGATAAGGTAAGAAAGATGGAGAAGAAAGAAAGAAAGATAGATAGATAGATACAATAAGAAAGACAGATAGATAAACACATTGATAGGTAGATAGTTCTATAGAGATTTACAACTACAACTTGTACAACTACCACGGCTCTAGACCAATTTCAATCAACATCAACTACAAATATACTACCCTACATTACAGTACACTACTTTCCCGACAATACACTACGTAGCACCTAATTACACTACCCTACACCAATTACACTTACAACTGCAACAACAGCTACTAGCACAACTACAACTACAGTTACAACTGCACTAGACTACACAACAACAAGTACACTGCAGCACACTACAACTACAAACACAACTACATTACACAACACTACGCTACATAGATTACATTGCATTACACAACAACAGCAGCTGCAGCTGCAGATGCAACTACAACTACCACTGCATCACACAACACAACACTACACGACGTTACAGTAGACTACGAAACACTATACCACACTATACGACACAACAATACACGACATTACGCTGCATTACGCTACTCTATTACACCACAAGACGACTCCAACTGCAATTACTCCTGCGAATACACAAATTATACTACATCTCAGCGACAACTCCACGACACTGCAGCTACAGCTACAAATGCAATTACAACTACAACTGCACTACACCACACTACATGCAGCAGACAACACAACTCCAAGTATCACCACCTGTCGGGGCATCAGTGCTTCGCTCTGCCATCCGTGATTCACAACAACTAACCTCTCCTATAGGTTTTCTATTTTTTACGCTTCCGCGACCGCCTTGTGCGGTGATGCTAGAAAATATCGTAAACATATCAGGCAATAGGTCAATATGCAATGACATGAAATGAGCACATGGGTTTTCCAAAAAAAAGGTCACCATAGTGGGCCCAAGCAGGGGCGGCCTGATGAGAAGCTTAGATTCCTTGCACTTGAAGCTGTCTCAACATCTTGTGATCAACTTATCACCGAGAAAAAATTAGTATTATATGCGCCATGTCGGAGAAATAAAAAAAATAACTGCCATGCTCTGGAATTTTGCCGCTCCATCTTACTTATCCATAAACTAGCTGAGAACATCAACAGAAAACTGATTCTTGATTTGATATCAAAGGTCGATAGAAATCCCGAGACTGAGCACTAAGGCGCTGGAGCAGATGGATGAATCATCTGATTGTGCCAATTTCGCTGAAATGTGACAGCTTCTGGCAACTTATGAACCAACTGGAACTAACAGCTTTGAAGTCCCATTCTAAGCATTCCAAGCCAGATTTTTTTATTGCTGATAAAGAACCGATGACAAAAGGATTCGCATTTGACCACGAGTCTGTCGCCTGTGACATTCACTGATGTGCACTGTGGAAACAGTTCACTGCATTTTTCTCAGAGAGGTCATGTGGCTGGAAGTTCCTTTTTCTGTACATAGAAGGTTTTTGCAGGGCAACACAGATTAGCAGTGAGGGAGAGAGGCAAAATTTCGAATAGCAATAGTCGAAACGGAAATCCATCGAATGAACCCTGTTGTTTTCAACAATCTACAGAATTATTCAAGGTCATAAGTTCCTTATGAAACTGACCATTTGGTTTCTCCATAGCCACTTTCAAACAGAGATTCGGGATAATACAGTATTATGCTAATTTCATAACATGATGCAACTCGGCTAGTTTTAGCCTTGCCTTGCAGGAAACCACGGAAACAACAGAAATAGCTTGTCAGTATGCAACATTTAGCCCCTACCAGCCACCAGCCTTGATAGATTAGTGCAGCCGGGTAGCAGTCTCAAAGCACTACAAAAAGGCACTGAGAGAGCAAAAAAGTGTCTTTTGACGGGGAGGAAAGCAAAGGTCTATCTATTTATCACAAAAACTTCTTGTAACTCACTTGCTTGGACTCCCTTTGTCCAATAACGATCAGCTAAAAATAAAATTTTCCAATCTCAGTCTATCAGCTTCCAAGTTGCTTGATTTCCATCCCAGAAGTTCCTTTTTTTTTGGTGATGCGCAAGCGGCATGCACACATAGCAGATGGCATGAAGTATCATTCCAATTGATACAGGAATCGGATTATGGGTTATTGTAGGAAAAACAAATGCCACAATGATGATATAATTACCATTACCACTACATGAAGCCCCAAAATTGCGCTCGTGCTTGGGAATTACATAGTCAACCAGGTGGGGAATCTTTGCAGAGGTCACCCTGACAAGAGGATACCTCACTTCGAAGCAAGTTGTTCATGCTTAAAAAAAAAAGTTCATGCAAAGAAGAAATATGTAAGTGATTGCATTTTAAAGAAATTTTGGGATATTTCCTGGAATTTTCCGGCGGGGTTTCACCACCACATTGGACTCCACCACATTAACATTCAATTGGTAATAGTCAAAATTACTTTCCTCGAGTGGCCCCGGTCAACTGGCATTCTGGTTGACATATATATATATTTATATATATATATTGAGATTCTATCGGGCATTCTTTCTGGCATTCTATCTGATATTCTATCTGGCATTCTGTCTGAGATTTCATCTGACATATTGCCTGACATTCTATCTGGCATTTTTTATGGGAGTCTATGTGGCATACATTCTGACATCCTATCTGGCATTCTTGCGGGTCTGTGTGTTTCCAGATGCATGTTTCCCAATGTGACTGAACTTGCAAACATTGGCTCTATCTGGTGGTGCCACTTGCCACTGTCAAGATTAGCGGCCCTTGGCTTACCTGTGCTCTCTGAGCCGGGCTGTCGATGGTATCTCGAGCATACAAAAGTACAATCACAAGGATGTATGTTATAACCCGTACTTGGTTAGGCAGTGGGCCGTATGGAAATATAGAGATTTGGTACAGTGGTTCGAACCAAGCCAGTAAGTAGCGACGCAAAGTGTGCTGGTGTATATAATGTCTTGAGCTGTAGATTGCAGATTCTGTTTGTGATTGGGACATCTTGAAGTCAACAGCGAGATGTCAGGAACTCATCTCCCGGCGACAGAAATTCATCATCTGTACCGTTACCACGACTGCCCTATTTGGAGTCTTTTTTTGCAGTTTATCTTCACGCTCATGCCCGAGGCCGGGGTTGAATTTGGTGGAGTGATTGTGTCTTTGCGGGCAGGATTGGCATTCAGAGATAACGTGAACTTTAGAACCTTGATTTCGAATCTTGTTGCTTGTTTCAGATGTTTCCGAAAGATTTCGTTTTGAGTCATGTCAGCTTTAGACGCTGCGCACTTTTCGGCTCAAGAGAATCTCACAGAGTCGGGTCAGTGAAACTTGCTCATTCCTGAGAGCACGCATCCATCGCCGGACCAGCGCGCATCTTGTCAAGCTGTTGTGAAGTTGCCAACTTCTGGTAGTCGCTGGGCTACTGTGGAACTTTGCCAGCACTTGCTTCCACGGCCATGCATGGCTTGGGAATATACCTTTGATTAATGCTGGGGGCTTTAGCTGCTCCCCGATGATTTCAGATCAGCTGTCTCAAGGGCCAGGAAACGATTCAGCTTCGTTCGAAAAGCGCAGAAAAAGCCGGCTGGCTTGGTTGTGGTCTGTGTCATGCTGCATGCTGCCATTACTTCAAAACCACTCACCTGATTTTCGATTTTTTCCCAGTTTTCCAGGTTCGCAGACCGCGCTGCAGCTGTACTGCACCATGGTGTCCTTGTTTGCGTCAAACACCTTCTCATTATTTTCAATTGTTTTTCTCGATTTTCCTGGTTCGCAGTGCTTGCAGCAGCTGTGCTGCATCATGGTTTCCTTGTTTGCATCAAAATTGCCAGTGCCATGTTGACTGTGCCTATTTGCAACTGTCGCTCCCGTTGCGCTCAAGTTTGATCGCCTGAGCTACTGTTGTCCACCTGTGCCGGGAAATTGACTTAAACAAATACATTCGCTTCATTGGCCGCCATGGAAACGCAAGACATAACTGCGGTACTGCCCAGTGGGAAACAGCAGACTGTCACGCTAGCAGTATCAGCCAAGGTTCAGGAACTCAAAGAGATTTTGCAGCGATGCTTCGATCAACAGTTCTTGGTCATCCTGGACGCGCGAGGTGCGGTGTTGCGGGTCGATGGTATGATTCCTTCGGCTGCAAGCGCACACTGCGTTACATGTGTCGCGCGTTTCCCTTGTCTCGCTTCAACCTGGAAAGCCTTTGCTCTGTGGTGTCACAATGACGTGTAGTGACATGGGGGCATCCTGCCTACGGCTCCGACAGCTCTGGTGTGTGCAAGCGCCTGCGCAAAGTGGTGCAGATCGTTGCCAGCGGCCGCGCTTTTGCCGCGGTGACATCATACGGATCTGTTGTTACCTGGGGCTTGCCGAAGATGGTTGCTGACACTGCAATGGTACGGCAGCAGCTCTATGATGTGAGAAGCGTGACTGCAGCTGCCCAGGGCGAGACACAGGTGCCAAAACCCAAAGCTCATTGAGTTTCTTGTGCCCACTTGGAAAGTCACGCACAAGGAATTGGAGCTCATGGAAAAGAACTTGATTTCGAAAGGGGGGCGCAACGGGGTCCCACCTGCCCAGAAATGCTCTTGGTTCAAAGATGTTGTCCAGGATGGTGACGTGCACCCGCATCCAGGGCCATCAGGACGCAGCCAGCAGATGCAGTTCATGTCTATTAATGTTGGTGGGGCCTCCAACTGCTGGGCGGCGGCCCGATGGGCAACTAAACATCGCCCGCCTGTGGTGGTGGTACAAGAAGTTTGCATGAACACGGCTAAGCAAGCTGACTTGGCTGACTTTATGCTCCGAAATGGTTATAGATCTTGGTTTGCTTGCCCTCCGACCCACGGTGGGGTAGGAATTTTTGTAAGGTTTGATAAATCTGCACACCTCCTCAGAACTCACACCCGTGCCGAAGGTCAAGCGGTCATGCTCCAGCTCGACCACGCCATCCTCATAGGTGCCTATTTAGCGCCTAACTCAGCGGCATGCGACATTGCTTCCACTTTGGATGAATGGGTTGGAGCAACTGGTGAACACACCCCTTTGGTTATTGTGGGTGACTTTAACGAGGAACCTTGTTTTGGGGAAAGGTGGAACCACATAAGCGGATTTGGCGGCACTTGTGCGGTTTGCAATCAGAATGGTGTCCCACAGCCCACGCGGTGGTCTGGTACCCGGTGTATTGATTGGATTTGGGCTTCGCACTTGCTAACAATTGACAAGGTGCGATTTGAAGATGTTTGGTTTTTCGACCATAAGCCCGTTTGTTTTTCTCTGCAATATAGCCAAAGCCATGTTTGGTCCTTTAAGGCAGTTCAAACGAGGAAATGGACGGCGCCGCCAAATGTTTCTTTGCAAGAATGGAAAAATGCTTTAAAAACTCCGTGGTCGGAAGTCACGGTCCCTCCAGTTTCTAATACCAACCAAGAATGGAGTGATTTTTGTCACATTGCGGAGAGGGCACACCTCTCTGCCCTGGAAACCTGCGGGGCTACTGTTCCAAGGCCAAGCCGGAGTAGAAACAAAGGTTCAGAGTTTCAAGTTGAAGCAGCGAATGCTCGTACCTTTCGCATCGCCCAGCAAGCGACTTTCAAAGAACTCCGGCTGCGCAAGCTTTTGGGCCGTATTGCTGAAGCCCAAAACCAGCAAAGCCGTGGCCGCCAGCCACCGGCCATCCTGATCCGTCGTATCTTCTCTCATCCTTTTGTTGTCAGAGAAGGCTTGCAAAGCTTAGGTGAAGCCAGGGAATGGGCACAGCAAGAATTGCGTAGCCATGTCCAAAGCACTCAAACAGAGCAGCTCCAAGCTTGGCGCGAGCGTATGAGGTCCAGTTGCAAAGACGCAGGTCGGTGGGTCAAGAAATGCAACACATTGCCTGTCACTTCTGTTTACGATGATGGTTATAAACAAGGAAAAGCAACCTCTTCTGATCATGAATCCTTAAAGGCTGTTCTTTCTTTTTGGCAAAAAATTTGGGAACGGGACCGGCCCGACCCTGAAGAAGCAGTTGATTTCTGGAAACTTGGTGTTCCCCAACCTTCACCCCTAGCTTGGACCCCTCTCACTGCTGAGGAACTCTTCAGCCAAGCCTCTAGGCTGCGTGGCACAGCCGCCGGATGCGATGGGTGGTCAGGTGACGAAATTGCAGCCTGGCCTAAAGAAGCTTGGGTCATCCTGGTTGAGTTGTTGAACAGATGGTTCTCGAGAAGTGAGGTTCCCACGGTTTGGAAAAGTATTCGGCAAATTTTGCTCCAAAAACCAAACGCTAAGTTGCGTGACACGGATCACGCGTTGCCAGCCAAAGATTTGCGGCCAATTGCGATTCAGAGCGTCATCTGGCGCGCCATTGCCTCTGCGTGGACGCGCAGACCGCAGACGCGAGCTTGGGTCACGAGCTGGGTCCACTCCTCAGCCTGTGGCGGCATCCAGGGGAAAAGTGTTGCTCATGCCGTTGATCGGCTGCTTCAAGACTTTGAAAAGAGACAGGGCGGGGTCCTCCTTTCTTTAGATTTTTCTAAATGTTTCGACACCGTTGATCCCCGAATTGGAATTAAATGCCTTGAGTATCTAGGTTGCCCCAAGGAAATCCTCTTTGCTCTTACCTCAGTTTGGAGCCAGGAAAGGTGGTTGTGTTTCAGAAGAGATTGCCTGCCGCAGCCAGTGCAGGTCGACACTTCGATCCCTCAGGGAGACGCCATCAGCCCTTTGACTCTTCTTGCGGTCCTCACTGGCCTCACAGGCCGGGTGTTGCAAGCAAGGCCTGAACCACACACTTTGGTCACCTTTTTGGATGACCGAAACATGGTGGCTAAAACGCCCGAGCTAGCGGCCCGGTTGTGGGACACCTGGAAACAGCTCTCACCGAAGGTGGGTTTGAAAGAGAACGAAGAAAAAATTCAAATCGTGGCTCGGCAAGCTGCCTTTAAGCCCAGATTGATTGCCGCGGGTTTCGACGAAACTCACATTGTGCAAGGTGCTAGAGTTCTAGGGGTTGATTTTACGGCACGGTTAGGAGCTGCGCACAAGCCTTCTCAAGATGCGAGGCTGCAAGATGCCCGCTTGAGGGTCGAAAGAATTGGACTTCTGCCTGTTACAGCCAGTCTTAAAGCTTTCTTGGTCAGTTCTTTGGCAATTACAAAAGCTGCATGGGGGGCTTGGCTCAAACCCCTCTCTGCCAAACCTTTGTCCACTTGCATTCGAAAAACGACTGGTGGCAGCCATATTGCTGCTCTCAGGTCATAGGCTGAACTTAAATTTTGCTGCAGGTTTTGGAGCTTATATTCACTTGGCTCCTATTGTGCGTGAAAACCCACGGCGTTGGCCCAATGCTGCTACCAGAGGTACATGGCTCGGCACGGTCCGTAGCTGGCTCCAAAGTTTGAATTGGCATGAAGAGGCCGCATGGACATGGATTCACCCGGACATTCAATTCCGGCTTGATTGGACACAACCCATTGATGAAAACACCAAACAGAGAGAACACCATGCTTTGCGTGAAGCGTGGCGCAGACAACAGTTTCAACAGTTCTTGTCAAGTGGCCGTCGTGATGCCACTGCTGTACAAGGAAGTGTTTATCAAGAGGCCAGGGCCAAACTCACGCGCCAAACATACCAGTCTTCCAACACTCACTCACGTGCTTGCTTGATTGGTGCCGTTGTTTCAGATGCCCGTTTAGATAGGATTCGAGACCCCAACACCGCACCAGCTCCTTGCAAGTGGTGTGCGTCTGGCAATGTGCCAACATGGGATCACTTGGCCTGGGACTGCCCAGCCTTTGCTGCGACCCGAACGTCGCCCCTGCATGATCTTTTGCAGAGAGTGCTAGGTTGGCCAACAGGCCGGAATGAACAGGTTGATGCTGCGATCTTGACCCACTTGGGCTGTGTCCGAGAGCGTGTGCTGGATCGAAGATATCGCAGCAACTAAGGTTCTTGAATTTCTTGGGTCGCAGTGTCTACTTGGCCTGGTGATGTGCCCACCTGGCATCACCTTGCGTGGGAATGCTCTGCTTTTAGAGACACGCGTGGCGCTGTGCCACAAGATCCTTTGCAAAGAGTACTTGGCTGGCCGTTTGGCCAAGACCACCAGACTGATGCATCCGTTCTTGAACACTTGGGCAACGTTCGGGAGCGAATGCTTGATCGCCGATATCGCGGCAACTAAGGATTCATTCTTCGGGTGATGGTGTCTACTTGGCCCATTACCTTCCAAAACAAGTTTTTCATTTGCCGCCCTTCGTCATGATGGGTCTGTCGTCACCTGGGGTGATCCGTCGTGTGGCGGAGATAGGCCAAACTGAAGGGAGTGACGCAGATTCACAGCACGCATACTGCATTCGCTGCCATTGTGTTGGATGGGTCCGTGGTTGCTTGGGGAGACCCTATAGTAATGGAGGAGACAGCTCGATGGTCCAAGACCGACTTCAAGGCATTGTGAATGTTCAGGGCCTTATGCATTTGCAGCTGTCACGGAGGAAGGGTCGCTTGTCACCTGGGGAAAGGCCACCTTGCGAGGCGATAGTTCTGTGATACGAGAAAGTCCGGCAAGTCACACCCTCTTTGAAAGGGTTCTTTGCCAATGCTGACGGATGTCAAGTTACATGGGTCTGCCAAAGCGTTTGCAGCAGTGCGCTACAATGGATCCATTGTTACATGGGGAGCGCAGGACGGAGGCGGGGACAGCTCCGCAGTGCAATCTGCGTTTGCCACTTTCTAGTTGCAGTGGCCATTAATGTTGCTACTGCAGCTGCGGCAAAATTAGACATCTTCACAAACTTGGACATATGGTATAGACAAACAGGTCTGCGGCACAGCCTGCTATGGTGTAAAAATTTGCGATGGGAAGCTGGGCGCAATGGTAATCTAGTGGTCGAAATGGTCGGGACATCCTCTCAATTCCTCAGATGCACTGTCTGCTGCAGCTGCCCTGCATGCTCAGAGAACCTCATGCTTTTTAACTACAGTGTGGTGTAGCATTTGCTTGTCTGCGCCTATCTTCATCCGTTGGGCTCAAATTTAGGCACGTATTGTCAACCTGTGCTCTCCGAGCCGGGCGATTGACGTAGACATCGTGACATTGAGCTGATATGTAGATGTACGTGTTCATGCTGTGAACAAGATCATCATTGTCATTTACAACCTTGTAGCTCTGCTTTGAAGCCGTGGCCGACGAAGCGCAAGCGACTCGGCGAGCCTTCACCATTCAGGGGCCGCAGGTTGCCTTAGCTATGCTGCGAGGTTCCAAACGTATAGAATCTCGGAAGAGGCGGATGGCATCTGACTGGTACTATTTTCACGTTGGCCGTTAATCAATCAACAGCTTGCCCCCCGAATGTTCGGCCGCCCTGCGCCAGACATGGCCGGATGCGCCAGAGGAAGCTTCTTTGTCCAAAAGTTGCGTGGTTGGGATGGTGTGCCTAGGGAAGGTGATTCACAAAAGCCGAAGTTGGCAAAAGCACCAGCATCAGAAGCCTTGCAGGCCAGCACAAGCCCGCAGAGGGGACCTGACCGTTGCAGTCTTGCCCAACGGCTGGCAGCAGGAAGGACGTTGGAGCTGCTGACAACACTGATGGTAGTGCATTTCCTGAAGATCTGTGCTGCCAAAGTCACACAGTTGCAGCCCAGAGGAGGTCTCTTTGCTTTCCGGGACGATCAGCCGGTGTTCATTCTGAGTGTATGGACAAGCAGAAAAATTACTTTGGCTGATGTGGTTCCATTGAAGCAGGCAACTTTTCAAGGACGAACCGTCCTCAAAGCCAAATACACAGAGACCCGCACATGCAGATGGAGTGAGCTCAAAGATGTCGGCTTACATTTCCAGGTTGCCAACTGTGCGAATGATCGCCGTGGAGCGAGTGGCTTGGCCTCGATGTTTTTTTGTAACATGTTGCCATCCTTTAAAGAGAGACCCGCAACAGATTGTTTTTATGTAGCCTTGCATGCCTAGGCTTGCTGTTCCAGAAGCAACCGGGGGAAACACAAGGAGATCAAGGCAGAGCTTTGCGCGAGAATGCAGCTTTGGCAGCTCTCTGGCAGGCTGGCAATGCAGAGCTAGGTTTGGCCACTTCATGCACAGTTGATCACTCGGTGCGATCCGTTGTGCCACGTTTGCAGGCGCACCTGGCCGAACGAGCTGCTTCAGGTATTACCCATCACGCGGCCCCACGCGCAGATGAGAGCCGTTCCTTTTGGATTCTGGACCTGCCATTGCCAGTGCAAGTGGATGGTCGCCGCCATCGCTGCCATACGTGCGCGCACTTGCGCATCTTCGACAACTGCACCGTGGAGACACATGATGTTGTTGCAGCCTATCCTGACCTGCCCTGCTGGTGCACTACGTGAAGAAGCAAGCCCCTGTTTTGCTGACACGGCGATTCCTGCTCCATTTGGTGCAGCTGTTCTACGACCGCCTCAACTCTAGGGCAACGAGGCGGGCTTTGGTGGAGCAAATCTGTGGCAATGCTCTTTCCCTCAATGTAGCTGGGCGCATGAAAGAATTTTGCAGTGCAGTGCCCAAATCTGTATCCATCCGCTCCATTCTCATGGCAGCATTGGAAGATTACACCAAGGCAGCTTCACGCGAGATGCAGCGGCTCATCAATGTGTACAGTGGTTCAGTGATCAGAGGAGATGGAAACCAGGATGTAGCAAAAAGGATTACAATGTATGATGAAGCAGGTCAGAAAACACACCCATATACGGTGCTCCTAGCTTGGGTCACGGTAGACGGGGCCTTGTTTCAGCCTGTAACAGCAGCTGAAACAGAAGACTGGGTCGACTTGCAACCTGATCTGGATGCTGTGGTAACCAACCTGAAACAGGACAGGCTGGCATCAGGCCTGTCCTTAGCTGAGGCAGCCCCAGTAGCTCACGCCACGGACAGTTTCAGAAAGCAGCGATTGCTGCTTGATGCATTTTACAAAAACAAGTACCCCAAGGAGCAAGAGGTGGAGGCGTGTCTCCAACCATCGTATGCGGAGATCCGCTGCATGACCAGTTGGCGCTACAGCGCAAGGTAAGTGCAGCGAGTCCAGATGCCCCATGCCTCATTGCTGATCACAAAGACATCCTGCAGCGGTTGTCCTTGAAACCAAGGGTGGCAGAAGATGTTCCACCTGTGCTCTCTGAGCCAGTTCTTTTCCTTGAGCTTGAAGAGGTCCATCATCCTCTATTGAAGCCGTATTGCTGCAGCACAGGTAATAAGAAATCGCTTCTTTCTTGCTTTGTTCTTGCTTGGACAGATTTGGACAGATCGGACAAGTTTGTGAAGCACGGCAGAGAAATATTGATCTGCTATGATCTGCTCGTCGGTTCCCCATACCGGATGTCCACTGCTGCACTGCATGATCTGACTGTTGCCAGCTATTCGCCTATATGTGCCTCTGTTGCCTTTGTTTTGGTTGAAAACTCGGGTCGACTGAATTAGTTCTGTCTACCTGTGTTCTCGGAGCCGGGCAATGTCAGGACAGTATATCATTGAGTCATTGAATCTATTAATGCAACACAATCACACACACACAAGCAGCATCAGAGTCACCCTTTTAAAGCCTCTAGCCCTATGTTAATGGCAACGCAGCGCCCTTTCTGCTGACGCCGCAAGATGCCTTCCCCCGGTGATGCTGGGTATGGAATTTGGCTGGGCAATTTTTATTGTGGTGTGCGATCCATGGCTCCGTTTGGTGTATGGCTCCCTTGGCAGGAGGGTGTGACCTTAGCTGCAGCCTTTGGCTTCACAGAGAATGTATGCTTTGAATGTGCTGACACCTGGTTGCAGCTGGATGCTCTGGAATTTGACCCTCCAAGGCGGTCTGGAGATGGCAGCGGCCGGGCAGATGTGCCGCGGATTCGCTTGCTCTACAAGCCTGATTTACACGGAGATGATGGGCTCGTTATAGTTTCCTCTGACGAGGAGGATGTCATCTCCCCGCAGCATGCTCCACCAGACGTATGTACATAGACGCTGGCGTTCAGGTGCATTAGAGCCCCATTGCGGGTGTTGAAGTTGACCTTGCATTGCCGCGGGCGCTGGATGAGCAAAATGTTCGTCTCTTGCTTGTCTACTGGCACCTGTACAGTCAAGTTGATCAAGAACGTCCGCCTGAAAATTTGCCGCCAGACATTCCGCTATGGGCTTGGGAGTTGTTTTCAAAACCAAGATTTCATTGGACTGAGGCTCGGGTTCAAGCGTTGCAAGAATCTTGTTTGCAGACGCTGCAGGCCGCAGACCACAAATTATCCGTACCTGATTAGCGCCGCGCTGGCTTCGTCCACTGCGACCTGTGGGTCTCAATGGCATGGACGATATTGTGCTCTCAATCGCAAGAAACTTCCAGAAAGCAGTCCTTTTGTACACTAGGCCAAGCAGTTTTTGATAATGTCGCGAGGTTTAAAAAATTCGCTGCGCGCTACAGAAGTGTTGAAACTGAGAGATGTGGAGGGCATGTGAACATTTTCACATTGTTCCGGCTGTCCACGCAGCGCAGCATGAGAGCCAGTTTGGTTGCATGGAGTCGATATCACGCTTGGGACTGCAAAGGCAAATCCGACAAATATGACCATGATACCACGCATTGACAAGTGCTCTCCGGTACCCAAGCCGCGCCATCAAGTTCAAGTTGTAGGAGTTAGCTTCCTAGACATGGCCACGTGTGAAGTTTGTGGAGATGGTTTCGCAGACGATGCGGAAAAACACTTGTGCTCCCCGAGCCGAGACTCTTGCTCGCACGTGTGCCACGCGGATTGCTTGCAGCAATACCGATTAAAGCAGGGCTGCCCTATGCATGACTGCCCATTCTGTCTTCAGAATGAAGATTCCCAGGAAGAGGCTGATGATGCCGCTTTGCAAGAGATGGAGATTGAGGCAGCAATGGAAGCAGAGGCTGTGGCTGAGGGGGTAAAAAGAAAGACCAGAGGACAACGCAGCCCAGTGCCGCCCACCCAAAGGTCCCCAAGCCCAGAAAGCCCTCCCTTCACACAGGGTGGAAGTGAAGCAGCCCGCTTGTCCATTCCAAGCTTTGGGATTGACATCTACGACCTGAGTCGGACCAGCAAGGCATCTACCACGGTGAAGGATCCTATGCACGACGCCATGTCGGAGTACTTGGCTTGCAGGGATGAAGCACAAAGCCTTTCGTTGCTTCACACCAAGAGCACATATCAAGGGCTTGGAAGCCCAGAGGCTTCTTATCAAACCGTTCTGAATGCAGCCTTGAAAGACCCCAGGGACCACCACGCTGTGGCATCAGACTTTGCCTTCAGAACTCGAGAAGTGCTGCCCGTGCCTTTCGAAGTCAGCTTGAAAACCATTGCCCGCAAGGAAGGTTGGGAGCCTGAGACATTCATGGCGCCTATCCTCAGCAACATTGGTTGGATGGAGCATCCATGCAGGCACGCGGCTTCGATTGCAGCCTGATGAGGAGCACCGACGTGGCTGCGTAGTCTAGATTGTTTGCGCAGGTGACCCCAGCATGCGCAAGAGTTCTTTGAAGGATTTTACCAGCAAAAAACTTCTTTCCCATGCAGATGTCCCTGCTGTCATCAAGGCAGGTGGCGCCACATGCACGGATGCCACCATCAAGGGTATTCGTGCTTCTATCAAAGAATATGCCCGAGCTGGCATCATTTCGGATGAGATTGCCACAACAATATGCCGTGACATCCGGGAGGGAGACCCGACACACAGGTCTGCATTACGGCAACAAAGAAAAGATGTGCACTTGGCTGAACTGCGAAGATGACAAGACAGTCACTGGAGATGGTGCCACGGCGCTGACTCATTACACCCAAGTGTATGGACTGGTGTCGCTTTGTGAGTATGTGCTCCAGCCGACTGCAAGCATGTTTTCCAAGAGAATCCATGCGACGTGGCAAACAAGGCCAGTGACAAGTGACCCTGATCAGCAGAGCCAGTCCAGCAAAGAGTTCCTGATTGACTTCTTTGGTTGGATGGGGCGCGTGGCAAGCAACCAGGACAAAGACCACTATTTTGACAAGTTCGCCTTGCCCGTGCTCAGGAAGGCTTTGCAGGGAATCTCCGACTTCTTTCACGAGAATCACGAGAATGTAGAAGAACCAATCTAACAGAAGCTACGCTATGCTGACACAGATGTGGCTCGGTACGCTAATGCAGCCATGCGTTGCAGGCAGTATTCTGAGGCCCGCTGCGCGTTGGCCCTTGATAGGATCATAGATGAGTTTGCCGTTGAGATGACCGTCTTCGATTTGTGACATGCCTTGCATATCTGGCGTCGCCAAATGTGCTTGTGGTTTGCCTTCTATCGCTCCAAGCAAGTCCAAGCCTTGGTAGGCCCCAAAGCCGTGCCAGATGTCAAGACCCCAGGACTTGCAGATTTGGATGCCAAGATGAAATTGCAGCGAGTTCATTCTGTCCAATCCTCGATGTGCTGGTCCAACCTCCACTGCGCACATTCGCTCTGTTCTGAAGTACCGCTTTCAGAAGGAGAAAGAGGAAAAACCAGCAAAGTACGTCTTGGCAGCAGTCAAAGACCTCTTGAAAGTTGGCATCTTGCAAGAGGTTGACAAGAAGGAAGTGGAAGAACAGGCGCCCAAACTTAAGGACAAGAAAAGCGCCAAGAGCAAGGAGGCCACGCTAAAGAGCGAGCCACGAGGCCCGCCAGGTGGCCACGCTGTCCTGTACTACCAGACATGTGCCTGGGAAGACCTTTTGACTAATTCGGAAGCTCAAGACATGATTGCCAAGCTGCAACTGAGTGCCAATGATTTCAAGTAGGATTCCAGAAATACGAGGTCTTGCACGGTCCCATGTCTAAACTGTCAGCCCAAAAAAGAGTGACAATGTGCTCCAAAGCACTTGTTGTATATAAGTCTTGTTTCCAAAGATACGCGTCAATAATGGTGCGATTCCCCGAGCGTGTTCCTGACCCTACGAGGTGAATGCTTTCAATCAAGACGGTATGGTGGCTGCAACATATTGTGCGTCAATTTCAATCAACCCACCCATTTTCATGACAAGACATTGTGGTGTGAAGATCTTACATAGTGGTTCATCATCGTGTCCAAAGCCGCATTCAAAACAGTCTGCTTGGCCTTCTAGTGTTCAATCGTGTGCGCTGGTGGCATGAGATTGACAAAGGCCCAATCTACTCTTTTTGAGGCAAAGCGGACAGCCAACACCGCGGCTCCAAAATAGTTTGTGCGGCGCATGTGAAGCCACTGTTCGCTGAACATAGCCGTTCGAGATGTTGAAGCAAGACACATGTTTTATTTTGTTCCTGATCAAGTCCAAGAAAGAATTGAAACTTGCACCTGTTTATTCTGTTTTCTACCATTTCTGTTTTCTACCATCCTTTCCGACTGCGATATAATTCCCCACCTGCCAGGTGAGGGTTGTTAGATTTTATGTCAGTTGCCTCCTCGTCCTCCTCCTCCTCCTTCTCCTCCTTCTCCTCCTCCTCCTCCTCCGCCTCTTCTCCTCCTCCTCCTCGTCGTCCTCGTCGTCCTCGTCGTCCTTGCTCAACTGCGACCCGCGATCCACAGTGTTCTCTGCCGGACCTCAACCACGACCATCCACGCCCAGTGTTCCCTGCCGGACCTCAACCACGACCATCCACGCCCAGTGTTCCCTGCCGGACCTCAACCACGACCATCCACGCCCAGTGTTCCCTGCCGGACCTCAACCGCGACCATCCACGCCCAGTGTTCCCTGCCGGACCTCAACCGCGAGTATCCACGCCCAGTGTTCCCTGCCGTACCTCATGTAGGAAGATAAAATGTCAATAGAGTGCCAGAAGATTTGCCAGGTAGAATGCCAGAAAATATGCCAGAAGATATGCCAGATAGAATGCCAGAATTCCAGAAGATATGCCAGATAGAATGCCAGATAGAATGCCAGATAAGATATGCCAGAAGATATGCCAGATAGAATGCCAGAAGATATGTCAGAATATATGCCAGAAAGATATGCCAGATAGAATGCCAGAAGATATGTCAGATGCCAGAAGATATGCCAGAAGATATGCCAGATAGAATGATAGAATGCAGAAGATATGTCAGATAGAATTAGAATGTCAGAAGATATGTCAGATAGAATGCCAGAAGATATGCCAGAAGATATGCCAGATAGAATGCCAAATAGAATGTCAGAAGATATGTCAGATAGAATGCCAGAAGATATGCCAGAAGATATGCCAGATAGAATGCCAAATAGAATGTCAGAAGATATGTCAGATAGAATGCCAGAAGATGTACCAGTAAGAACATGTATAAATGTCATGGTGGGGATCACACGAAGTAAAGTAATTTTTCTGCTGCATGGGGGAATTAAAGAAGACTCACGGGAGTCCTGTCCACACCGATCATGTCGCTGACTCCTGCGTCTGCAGGTGCCGATGCTAAGTGGCACCAGGACAATGGCTTCTACCTTAGGGATTCAGCAGATGCTGATGCCAGCATGCGTGATGTTGGTGCGCAATCAAATAGAGATGGCACAATAGTCCACTCCTCACTGTGACCATCGGGTCTGTGGTCCCGCGGGGCACGTGCACTGCGCGTCGGTGCGCATTGCTGGAATGGCTGGAGGTTGCTTCCGGTGATGCTTGATGCTTAATATCTTAATGTCACATTGGTGTCATGTAATGTTCAACGCAATTTTTCTAGGACATGTTTAAACATAGTCGATCTTTGTTTGGTCTCATACAGACCTTGTACAAAAGGATCTTGCACAGCAGCGCCTAGAAAGAACCTGTCAAGGAGATCTTGCACACGTCTTCTACAAAGGGAACTTGCAGAATCCAATCTGGTATTGTTGCAACGGTGTTTGGAGTCGCCACTTAATCCCCGTCGCCGCCGCTCCACTCGCCCCACTCGCCCCACTCGCCCCACTCGCCCACTCGCCCCACTCGCACTCGCCCCACTCGCCCCACTCGCCCCACTCGCCCCACTCGCCCCACTCGCCCCACTCGCCCCACTCGCCCCACACGCCCCACTCGCCCAAACATTCCATTCACGTTACCACCTCTATTCCTTTTTCATACTGCTGTGTGGTGAAACCAAAGCAAGCAGGGCAAGCGGGGCAAGCGGGGCAAGCGGGGCAAGCGGGGCAAGCGGGGCAAGCGGGGCAAGCGGGAAGAACCACCGATCTTCCCTCGGTTTGCAAGTAGGGCAAGCGGGGCAAGCAGGGCAAGCGGGGCAAGGAGGAAGATTCACTTATTTTCCCTAGAAGCGGAGCAAGCGGGGCAAGCGGGGCAAGCGGCAGAAATCACTTAGCGGCCCCGCGGGGCACCCACACTGCCACGGTTTGAACATTTGTCGAATTGAGCCAGTGATTTGTGATATTTGTGGATTGCAATATTGGTTCATCCACCGTTTGAATATGTGTTGATTCAGTGATTTTTGATATTTGTTGATTGCAATATTGGTTCATCCACCCATTGAGAATTTTTCAGCCTATGATTTTTGCTTATATACAGCATGTTCGTTGAGTCGGTGCTTGTTTATTCCACAATGGTCAATCGACCATTTTGGGGAATCTGCTGGTAACAACATGTAACAACCATATTTCAGTGGGGCCCTTTCAGCAAATACCACCAGGAACTGCAAGAAGGCATGGTTTTCACCCTGAGCAACGAGCAGTGCAATGTAGGTTATGCAGGGCAGATCACATCAGACATGCTTTGTGCCCAAGGAACTTCTTCTGGAGGCATAGTTGATGCATGTCAAGGAGATAGTGGAGGACCTTTGGTTTGTGCTGGAGCAGATGGTCGATACGTCTTGCATGGTGCGACATCATGGGGGTATGGCTGTGCAGCGGCGCAATATCCTGGAGTTTGGGCACGTATTTCCCAGGTGTTGCCGTGGGTGACCCAGCACACTGGGGTTCAGCCAGGAGTTGGGTCTGGCAACATTACCTACAACATCAGCAGTCAATCCATTCCAAGCTCCGCAACGCATCTCTTGGTGTACACGGCTATGAATGGTGTGGAAATGACCACCGGCATCAGCATTCCTCTGGTGGATTTTGCTCCAGTGCAAGCAGTGCCAGCATCAATTAGCTTCACTGACACCGACGCATCCCCTGGAGAGTTGGGTGGTACCATCACCCTGGGTCGAGCAGCAGATGAGTCGCAGGTCGTTGGTTATGCCGTCTACTGGGGCACTGCCTCGGAGATTTTGGAGCTCGTCTCGGTGGTGCCCAAGGGTTCCGGTGGTGACGTGGTGCTCCAGCTGCCGGCGAACACACCAAGGCCCAGCGCGGCAACCCATCTGCTGGGCTTTGTGACCTCCAGCAGCGGCACCGGGGCCAGCTATGTGTCCGTGCTGATTGTGGATCTGGATTCGGCGTCAGTGTCTGGTGGCTTGACTTTTCAGGACACAGATCCAGCTGCCATGCAGATTGGCGGTACTGTGACGGTGCAGCGGGCAGCAGCCACCACGGGAATCACCGCCTATAACTTGTACTTCAGCAGTGGCAGTTCCTGTGATGTGGTGGGCAGTCAGATCACCAGCTTGCCGGTATCTCCAGGAGGTGGGGGACCTTTGTGCATTCAAGGTGACACTTGTTCGTCCATCACCATCTCTGAAGAGACTCCTGGAACATATGCGATCTCACGAGGCATGAGTGGCTATCAGAATTTTGAACATGCCATCATCGAATTGCAAGGGCCGGGCACAGTCCAGTTCACTCGATTTGACACGGAAGTTGGCTATGACACGCTGCGAGTGGATGAAGCAAGCTTTTCTGGTTCAAACTTGCCACCTACACAGGTGCTTGGTGCAGGCTTGAAGGTCATTGAATGGTCTTCAGATTTGAGCGTCACACAGCAGGGGTGGGCTCTGACCTGGCAACCTGAAAACACCTTTGGAGACATCATCTACAATCTACCGAGTGGAACTGCCATCCCTTCAGGAGCCAGCAGCATGATCGTCTTGTCGCAGACGACAACTGGAGAGAACACTGCTGCATGTGCTTCAACGGAGCTGGTGGATTTTGCACCTCCATCTGTTGGTGCACAGGCCTTGTGGTTTACAGATGAGAATCCTTCTGCTGGCCTTGTTGCAGGGCTACTAACCATTTTGCAGGCACGTAGTCACGATGGAGTCTTGGAATACCGCGTTTACTGGGGCATGAACTCCACTACTCCCATGGCAGGCAGTAGCGTGCTCTTTGCTGTGCCCGCCACTGTGGCGGGCACCAACTTGACAGTGACCCTGACTGCCACCAGCCTTCCAGGCAACGCTTCGCACCTGCTGGTGTTTGCCGCCTCGAGCCAAGGCGAATCAGCCTCAGCAGCAAGCACGGAAGTGATGGATTACGCCCCGGCTCAGGAAGGTGCCCAAGGTGTCAGCTTCACTGATGTGGACCCCAGAGTAGAATATGTGAGTGGAACTGCTTACCTCACCAGGGCACTGGACGAATCCACCATAGAGTACTACAATTTGTACTTCTCAAGTGGACAAAGCAGGATCAGTTTCATTGGTTTCATGCAGGCTGACTCCATGACTGCCAGACCTTCTTGCAATGGCCAGTCTTGTGGACAGATCTCTATCACCGAGGTGGCTGGAAAGTATGAGGTCTCGCGCGGCACGTCGATGTATGAGAACAATGAGTATGCAAGCATTGTAGTAACGGGACCCGGGCTGGTGCAGTTCAACTTTTTCAACACTGAGAATCGTTACGACACTCTGACCATTCTGGGGACAGACTACTCTGGAACGGATGTGCCGGAAGAGATCAGCATGCCAACAGGGAGTCATGAGATCATTTGGCGTTCAGATGTTTCTGTCACCGGGGCTGGTTGGAAATTTATGTACGAGTCCTTGCGATTGGTCAATGTCGGAATCGAGGTGCTTCCAAGCGTCTTGCCAGCTGGAGCCACTGATTTGCTGGTCGTTTCGAACTCATCAGGTGGAGAGATGGCGTCAGGAGTCACCACGCCGCTGGTGGATTACAATCCGCCAGCTGTGGTGCCCGAATCGGTGCGATGCCAAGACAACGACAACAGCATTGGCCTCATTCAAGGAACTTGTGCTGTGCGACGTGCTGCGGATGAGACAGGTGTGTCTGCCTATGAGATCTTCTGGGGCAATGCCACACATCCCTTGTCGGCAAGTTTGGGCAGGTTGGCACTGGCTGATGTGACAGGATCACCCATTGAACTCACGATTCCGTTTGTTCAGTTCATGGCCGATCCCGCTGCTTCGCATCTCTTGGCCGTGGCGGTTGGCAGTGGTGGTGCAGCTGTAACTGGGGCGTCAACACTTCTGGTGGACAATGTGGGCTTGACACTTTCACCCGTTTCCGTGGATGCCGTGGGAGTCCAAAATTCCACCTCCACCCAGACCATCACCTTGACCAGCGCAGGCTCCAACCCCGTGACTCTGAATATCCAGCTGTTGATGGAAGATGGTTCTGCTAACAGTGTGGGGTCTGATGCAACCAGCGCCTCAGGTGCCAGCACAAGCTCAGCGAGCTCGACGTCCCACATCCCAATGGTGTGCCTTGAAGGGGCCTCGCATGTCACGAAGAGTCGCCTGATCTTCAAGATGAAAGGCAGCACTGCAGTCACCGGGAGACGCTTGCAGGCTCATGCACGCAAGTTGGAAAGTAGGCATGGAGCGAAAGTCAAGAGCTTCCCACGACTTGGTGGCCTGGGTGTTGCTGAGATCAAAAATGCCTCTGTTGAGAGCTATTGCCGGCTGTTCACTGAGTTGGATCACGATCCACTTGTTGACTTCGTGGAAGAGGACCAGACATGGCATGCAATTGGCAACAGCATTCAGGTTCAGCCGGAATATGATTTGTTCCCACCAGGTGGAAAAGTGCCAGCTGAAACCAGGAGAGGTCACATGCACAGGCGAGCGCCACAATGTCATTTGGGCGGTTGCCAGGGAGGAAGGGCCACTCATCCGAACGATGATTCCTACGACGAGTTGTGGGGCATGCATCAAGAAAGTGACATTGACATCGATGCACCTGAAGCCTGGAATATTCACAAAGGCCTTTCTGGTCAAGTGATTGTTGCAGTGATCGATACAGGAGTGGACTACAATCATGAAGACTTGAGGAATCAGATGTGGAGAAATCCTGGAGAGATTCCTGGCGATGGTATTGACAACGATGGCAATGGCTTTGTGGATGATGTTTATGGCTATGACTTCTATGGAAATGATGGTGATCCCATGGATACCAACGGCCATGGAACTCACTGTGCTGGTACCATCGGTGCTGAAGGTGGCAACTCTATTGGTGTGGTGGGTGTGGCTTGGAAGCCCCAAATCATGGCCCTCAGATTCCTGGGCCCCAACGGTGGAAGTACCACAGGTGCCATTCAGGCCATCAACTATGCAGTGGAAATGGGCGCTCACCTCACTTCCAATTCCTGGGGTGGAGGTGGCTACTCTCAGGCACTCGTCTCTGCCATTGAAGCTGCAGGCGCGGCAAATCAGGTCTTCATCGTCGCAGCTGGAAATGATGGACGAGACAACGAGATCACTTCCACGTATCCCTGCAACTACAACTTGCCCAACATGATTTGCGTGGCGTCGACAGACCGTCAGAATGACATCTCGAGCTTTTCCAATTGGGGAGTCAATGTTGTACACATTGCAGCACCAGGCAGTAGAATTCACAGCACCTACCTCAACAATGGGTACAGTTCACTTTCCGGAACATCAATGGCAACACCTCACGTTGCTGGTGTGGCAGCACTGGTTCTGGACTATGTGGGAACCAGCCTGCCCTACCATCAGCTTCGGACTTTGATTCTGGATTCGGGCGTGAGATTCTCCAAGTTCGCGGCAAAGGTGTCCACTGGTGCCCTGTTGAATGCGCATGCTGCCCTTGTGATGGCCAGCCCATTTGCTTGGATCCGCCTGAGCGGAAGTGCCATCAGTGCTGGAACCATTACCATTCCTCCGCAGAGCTCTACCATGATCTCCTTGGAGATGGGAGGAAATGGCTTGGAGCAAGGGGAATATCGGGCACGACTGCAGCTGTGGGGAACCTTCAATGGCGTGCTCTATTCACAGATCATTCCAATTGTGTATACCATCCACAGCTTCGCGGAAGGTCCTTCCTTCACAGCCGCTGGCCTTCAATTTCAGGACTTGGATGAAAGGCGTGGCATGATCTCGGGTGCACTGACGGTCACCCGAGCGGCTCCGGAGGAGGAAGCCAGCTTCTCGCAATATCACATTTTCTGGGCCGGAAGCGCACAGAGCAGACTTTCCGAGGAGCCCCTTGCAGCGTTGGACACTGGTAATGTTCTTCATGACAACTTTGCAACCTTTGACCCGACCTTCTGGTCGGGACCCAACGGTGATGCAGATGTTTCACAAGGAAATTGGTCAGTGTCTGATGGAGCAGCAGTCTTCTCTAACCAGTATCCCTATGCGCATTTGACTCTGGCAAGGCGCTTCGCACCTCCTTTTACAGTGAGGACAAAAGTGAGGAAAGCAACTGGTGCCTTTGCGCACATGGTGGTGCAGATTGGTGGTTCCAGTGTGGGTTTGTTTGATGCAGTTGGCATTCGAGCGATATTCTTCGGGACTCAAAAGGTTTTGGTCACACCTGATGGGAAACATGAGACAGTACCCTGCATCCTCGGAACTTGGTTTGAAGTGACTATTCAGGTTCTGCAAAATTCTGTGACTTTCGCAGACAACCAGGGATGCGACACCATTGTGAAAACGCTCCCAAGTATCCAGGGGACCAAGACCATTCGCATCGGTGCTGATTGTTCTGGGCAATGTGCTGACAGCGGAGGAAGCGTTTGGGATTATTTCGAGGCCAGTGGAGGTTTGTATGCGACTTTCAATGTGCCAGATGGCACAGTCATTCCAACCGGTGCCACTGGATTTGTTGCACACGGATGGAACGTTTTGGGCATGAGCCCAACTGGACTGTACCAGGCACTTTCAGACCATCGAGTTGCCAATCGCGCATCGCAGCCAACGGATGTGCAAGGAAGCTCAGCTACTACTAGCAGCCTCACAGTGTCCTGGACACGTGGAGGTCTGAACGATTGCACGGGTTTCTTCATGCGCTATGAGGTCGTTACTCAAAGTGCCACTTCTGCCACTTGGTTTGAAGCAACTGGTTGTCAGGCTTTAGTGAGCCAGACAGCAGAAAGCTGTGTTGCAACTGGCTTGAGCAGTGACACTCCGTACCAGTTCAGGGTCCGAGTTCTCTGCAGTTTGGAAGAAACGCAGAGTTTGTGGAGTGAGATTTCAGCCGCTGCTGTCACGCTTCCACTTCCTGCCGTCGCCCCAACACAGCTGCGAGTGCGGCTTCCGGGATCGAGCACGTCCTGAACTCAGTTCCGGGATCAATCGAACAGTCAGGGACATTTGGCAAACATTGGCAATGACATGCAATGACACTGATCAGACTGATGTCATCAATGTGTATGTTGGACCTTCCCTGCTCAAGTTGCAAGGCATGTTTTCCAACTCTTATTTTTTTATGCACCTGATTTTTTACTTTAATATGTGATTTTTCGTTTCTTGCCGAGGGTGCATTGATGTGCATTGAACAATTGATACACTTGCACAACCAACTTTGAGGACTCGATTGGGTTGCGACCAAATTGTGCCTGTTGCCCGAACTTGTTTATTTCTTCAGTCCTGACATACTGCTGAAGAGCCATGAATTCGCCTTGTTGCGTAGATTTAACCCCACTCCATTCATTTGGCATCGCATATATCAATTTGCTACTGAACATTATCGAACTATGACACGCAAGTACTACTAGCACATCCTAGAACAACCGCAACAACGTAGCACAACCTAGCACATCCTGGCACATCCGTCCGAGCACCACACTTGCCCTTTTGATCCCTTTTGGTGAGTCCACCAATACAAAGCCATGTGTTCTGCCGGAACGTTGGCAATCGCTTCAACCAAGCCGATGCAAGAAAGCCATTGCCCGTGAGCGCTGTTTGCCGTTTTTTTTGGCACGCTAGAATATTGTACAGCTAAAAATGCCAGCATATAAAGCGGAGAGCAACCAAGAATGGATTGGATCCAAGGGACATTGAAATCAGCATAGGATTATTGAGGTTGAAACCAAGAGGAGACAAAGCCAACAATTGTGCATACATATGCTTCATGCTTCATTGGATCATCTCCCATAAATGCACATAAATGTCAGCTGAGTTGCAATTTTACCTTACCAAGGTTGCTGGTCTCTTGGCAATCAGGACTTCTGAATGACTGCGAGTTTGTGGAATCGCTTGTGGAAGGTCAGCAAGTTGGGCAGGCCACCTGGTTTCAACCGCAAGGCTGCACCGGTTTGACGCTGCTCAACGCCTATCATTGCACCGCAGAAGCTTTGACAGCAGGCACTCAGTACGTGTTCCGTGTGAAGACGAGCTGTGCAGATCCTCAATCCTCAAGCCCTTGGAGTGTCTCCAGCATTCCCGAATCGACTTTGGCAACTGTCCAGGCATGGGAATCCAATCAGCGGAGACTCCTAGCAATTGACATCGTTTCAGATGTGGATTACAACGATGTGGTCTCCAATGCAGAGGCTTTCAAATCCAGCATTGCTAGCCAAACGGCAACCGCCCTTGGTGTCGATGTTTCCAAGGTGAAAGTAGAAATTATGGCTGGTGAGGCGGCCTCTGGCCGTAGACTGGCAGCCATCTCTACGGTTTTCACCGTCACAGTCGAAGGAGCCACCGATGAGAGCGAAACGTCCAACCAAGTCGTAGCTGGCGTGGCCAGCACCGTTGCAGCCGAAACGGGTACAACGACTACCCTGTCGGTATCTGGTACATCAACCTTGGCTCCGGCCATTGCTCCTGAGAAAATCACCTGGAGTGACATGGGTGATGGACGCTTGCGGCTGCACTGGAACCCTCGGCCCTTGGGTGATTGCTCATTCCTGGCGTGGCACGTGCTTGTGAATGTTGGAGGCTTGTCAACTCCCTTGTCTGGATGCACAAACCTCATGAACCTCTCGCATACGGACTGCGTGGCATCTGGAATGGATATGCTGCATAGCAACACATTTACAGTTGGTGTTCTCTGTGCAAATCCAAATGCAAACAGTGACCTCTCCCTAGCAAGTGATGCATGGGAAGCCTCCGCAGTGTCGACATCGCCGGAGACGCCCTCTCCAACGACGCCTCTGCCAGTGACCACGCCTTCCTTGGTGACCACGCCGTCCTTGGTGACCACGCCTTCCTTGGCGACCACGCCATTGCCGGTGACGACGCCGTCACAGACGACTCCAGTTTCTTGTGGGTCTGTCCCCGTGGAGGTGATCTCTCCTTGGACAAGCTTACAGCTTATCTCACAGCAGGCTGGAATGTGGTGTTACACTGTTAACACCATGGTGAAACAGCCTTGCCATCCAAATTGAGGTTGGGATTGGCATTCAAAATCTATGTTTTTTTTATTGATTTTCCCATATGATGAGCAGATGAACATACACAACAACCCGTTTTGTGGGTATGAGAACCAAGAGTTTTGAACCATACCCATATCTGCACTGGCGAGGCCACAAGCTTGACGGTGCCCATCGTGGCACAAGTTGGCAGTGCTGGTGCTGGGTGTGAGGCGATGTAATCTCCAACAGTTGCAAACATTTCTGATGATTTTTGGTAATTGACGATTTGATGATTTGATGATTTGAGGATGATTTGATGATAATATAATATACATATATAATATAATAGTTATATGTATATATATATATACAAATATTATGTGTATATGTATACACATACTTTTATAATGACGAATAGATAGCTGTTTGCCATGCAGGCGTTCTTTTTTGTAGAAACACAGGTCCCCAGCTCCGCCATGTTCGCGTGGGTGGTGGCCAAGCAGGTCTGGCGCTCAGCTGGGCTGGGCAGGAGATGGCTAAGGGACCCATTGCTGTAGATAAACTATACAGAATATATAGTTGTATATATGGAGTTATATATATATATATGCAGAACTATATAACATCATATGAATTATTCAACCTAAAATCAAAATGATCATACTATACAATTTTTTCTATATAAATATACATATGCGTATTAAACAAACATAATCAAAAATAAACCATCCGGTTTTTGGGCCTCAAACCATAGCCACATTGGAGAGGGCTGTCTTGGTTGGTACGGTGAGAGTTGCTTCACTTTCAGGCCAATGGTCAGATCCTGAAGGTCATTGACACCCAGGTTTCCTTCCCGAGCATCTTGGCCTAGCTGAGTCACCATCGAATCTGGATGGATTTCTCGAAAGTTTCTGCGTTTTTTTCTATGGCAGGATATTTTCTCATAGTTGTCTTGACAGCTGCAGCCAATAGTTGGGCAATTTTTTGAAGCAGATCGGCTGTGTGGGTGTCGTGGCCAGGCCCCGGGGTGGCTTCTGTGAGAACGTCTTCCTTCGACGGAAGCAGCCTTTCATCTTCAACGAACTATGTCTATGCTTTGTTGCGTACGGCCCTCAGGAAGTCCGCTTGTTTTGCGCCGGGTCTTCCACGCGCTCCATAAGTTCCATGTTCGACTTGAAGCCTGAAAAAATGGGGAGGGGGTTGAACATATCCCCATTCCAAAATGGATTTAGAAGGACTGAAGATGACCTATCTCGAAGGGTCGGTACAGTACTCCAATGGCTTGACCCATAGCGAAGCTTGGGTACCAGGCTTCAGCACCGCTTGAAGATCCTCCCATACTGAGGATCCCTAGAATTGGAATTGCCACTTTTCCTGACATAAATGACAACTTATTGATCATACAATGTCAACTCATATTTATGATAAATAAACATGTAATTAACTATATATATATTATATATAATAAGAAAAAATAATATATATAGGCTCTACCGCCTACAGCTGGGATGGTGTTGCGTGCGCTTAAATGGTGTCTGAAAAGTAGGGAACCCAAGATTCCATGGTTTATCATGTTTCCCAATGTTTCCCAATGTTTCCCAATGTTTCCCAATGTTTCCCATTAACATGGCCACTTTTCATAAATCTTCAACTTTCAGACACAGAGAAAACTTGTATTCCATTTTATATTTCTTTATCCACATCACATCTCCCATTGGTTCTCAATCCCCAGTGGCCCCAGTTGCTGTTGATGACATCTGTGGGTTTGTGCTACTCTCAGGTGCTGAGAATGCTGAGACGCTGGCGGCCGGAAGCAGTGCCGACACCTTGGAAGCTGCGGCCACTCTGGGCATCAGCGTTTCCAGGTTGGAGAACTGCGGCTGTTGGGCGCCGTTGATGGCAGATTATATCAAGATTTATGTGAAACTACTAAATTGATCGTGATTATAATTTCCATGTTTGGATGATTTTGGGATATTTGGATGGGGTGAAATCATATTGAAACCAATGGCAACCAGTCACATTTCAACTTCGTGAAGAGTCTGTTTGATTCGGTCGAAATGCCTCAGAACGATGGCCTGCTTGACGAAATCCGCAGATTGCACAGGTCACTTCCGTTCCTTGTGGACGCTGCGCCATCTCCGGGACAAGTGCAGATCCTTCCATTGCAAGGCGAGGCTCTGAAGACGAGCTTCTCCTTCGGCACCAACGGCTGGTCCGACGAGGATGACTGTGGGTTGCCGGGTTGCAGGCTGCTGGTGCATAGCAGGTCTCAAATTCACAAGGTCTCAAAACGTCGGAAGCTATGCTTGGAGCCTTCGGATTCCTTGGAGCTTTTATGAGCTTTTGATGTGGCGGTTGAACGTTTGAATCAGAGGACACTAGTTCGTTGCAGTTTGCGTTCTTCGTTTTCCCGCTGGGCGACGGCTACACCGTCAGCGTGGGTCGGTTGCTCAGTGCAAGGGCATAGCCTCGCTGACTTAGTCTTGTGTTTGATCATCCAGGTGCCAATGGACTGGAGTCAAGCCCGGCCTTCCAGCAACATCCCCAGCCTTTGGAGTGACCAAGCTTTCTTCTGTTTCAGGTGCATCAGACAAGTACAGCATTGATGAGCTACCTTCGTGGAATTGCTTGTCCATATCTGACATAACATCAGAAGGCTGAGATAATATGATAAAACCACATAAAATCATGACAAAAACCGTGACATTGAGAGCTTTCTGCCACAGAGGCCTCCGGAGATCGATTGGAACGACGCCACAAGCGCCAGGCGAGATCCCATTTGCCATCCCATGAGTTTCGGATCGAGCTGGGACTGCAGGTTCTGGGGCAAGATGGATGCCCTGATGATTCGCTCCTTTGGGACCTCACCCAATGTGATCAGCAAACTCTCCAGTGGCTCCAGCAGCTCCTCCTATGCCTTCTTCACGGTGGTTCGCGGCTTGGCCGGCTTGGCGTTGAGGTGGACATCAATTTTGGGTCGAAAACAGGACCTTGGGATATCAAAAAAAAATATTAAAAAATGCAATTTTACGAGGGAAATTGACGATTAATGACGATTAATCATCGAATTTGTGGGCGTGCTATTTTCAGACAGCCCCATCTCATGGTTTCAATGGATATCCCGGGGTGAACGAACACCTAAAGGGATGAAAGGGCATGATCAGTGTGTTCAACGTGCCAAGGAGCCAGAGATGCTTCTGGGGGAGTGGCTGAAACAACGGTCCTGGGACCAGTGGTGACCCCTCCAGCAGATGTGTCTCAAGAGGACTTGACTAATGCCTTGGCTTCTCAGACGCACCAGAAAAACAAGATCTCCTGCATCAGCCTTGGATGTCTATACGGATGTCCAGCCGGCTAAAAACGTGCAGGGGGTCTGAGGTTGGCCAAGGTCAGTGTTGATTTCCTAAGTTTTTGCAAAGTAGATGTGCATTTAGGCTTCTGTTCTGGACTCTAATGATCTCTCAGGAGGCTTCAAAGACCTAGGAAGACTTAGGAAGGAATCAGGTGTCTCAACAGGCCAGCTAGTCCCATCAGAACGTGGCCAATGTATTGACACATGTATTAGTCCCATTTTCTATGCGCTGATCAGCTATCAACAGGGAAGCAAGATGAAGCAAGCAAGATTCACATGGGTTTATGTGGATGGACGTGCCTCTTTGTCTCCCTGAGGCAGAGTCCCAGAACTCCGGGGATCCGAGCCAAGTTCTGGCCTCCGTTCAGGTAGTGATGAGCTTGTCAGGCGCGATGCGCACTCGTAGGATCAGTTTTCCTATGGTTTTTCTCCAAAGTCCTTCGGTTTGAGGATCCCAAATGGTGCTGGCTGCTACAAGTATATACTGTAAATCTATCGAATCTATCGTATTTGTTTACCTGTTTTTTTCTTGCCTCTGGAGGTCAGGTTGGTGAAGGCAATTCCGAATCTGTGACCACTGCTGCCTTGGATGCTTTGGTGAGTGTTACCCAGATGGTGCCACCCTCAGACGTCTTGTTGAACGCGTTGAACACGTTGAATACGTTGGAACGCCTGGCTCACTAAAAAGCCCCTTGGGCGTTTTCTAACCATTTCAGTCTAAGGATAGTGCTGATGACGAGACCCTGCAACAGCTGGGAGCAAGAGTCACTCAGGCTCAGCAACTTGTGAATCCTTGCAACCTATGGATAGAGCCCGCGATTTTTGAGCGATGCAGGTTGTTGCCACTGGGACTACCAATGCAGAGTCCTTGTCAAAGGCTGGAAACATTCTGCAATCTTGTTTGAGCCTCAGATGCCCCTCCCAAGACTTGATCGCGCTCTTTTAATGGGAATGGGTCAATTTGTCAATCCCTATGGGAACTTCAAACTGGGGAGATGCACAGCCCGATGTTGTGTGAAAACCACAACAACTCCAAGGCCTTGACCTGGCCACGAGCCTTGGGCAGCAGACAGTTGAAGATGCAACAATGCAGCCATCTGCCTCTGTTTACATGCAATGCATCTTGTGTTTATGTGATGTGTATACTCTATACACAGAAAAAACTCTATGTATAGAGGTATCTTCAGACATCTCAGGACTTCTGAGGGTGGCTTGTCAGCGGCAGTGGGAACTTCCGTTCTCGAGGGTATTGCCACCATTGGTGAGACTTCAACCTCACTGGATGCTGGCGAGGCCCCCTTGGCCATTCTTTCGGGAAAGTCAGATGAAGTTTACCCGATCCTGCGACAGGTGAAGTCGGTGTCTGCACAGATGGTGTCCTTGATTTCCAATCTGGGAGCAGCTACACTGATTTCCCTGCAAACGGGTGCAACGCAGGACATTTGAGCAGTGTTCAAAACAGATGTTGGTTGATGATTGATAGATATCGATAGTCTTATACATTTTTATATTATCCCGAATTATCCCTATATTGGGGATGATCATCCATGGACTCAAAAGCCGGTTCTTAGCAAATCAGGCCGTTTGGGTTTGTCTGCAGGAGATCAACTCGCTGGATGAGAGTGGTGAGGGCATTAAGATGGCTGTGTCAAAGCCATCCACTTCAGAGGTGCAGAACTCAACGGCCATGGCTGTGTCTGGAAATGGGGAATTTAGCTCATTTACCTGAAAAACATGGTCATTTAGTAGGAAGACTATGGAAAAACATGGCAGTTTTCATGGGAATGACCGTGTACATTATGGAAAACCATGGGCTTTTGGGGGTGCCCCATTTTCAGACAAAAGCCCATATGCAAACAACCCAGCTTAGAGGACAAATTCCAATCAACATCCGTGGATGGGAGGTTGCCACATCTGGTCTGCAGTTGCAACTTGGCATGCTCTTGGGCTGTCTCTATCGCAGGATAGAACAAATCCATAAACATCCTATCATTGCCTCTTGGTTTGTAGCTGTTGAAGGTGTCCCAGAACAGATCCCAACGTCCTTGTTGCGCCTCTTTTCCACAAACAAAGTCTAGAGGTCCTTACTCTACTTGGGTTTGTCCAAGAACGGGGCAAACCATGGAGTAACCATGGCATACCTATACCCCCCAAAAATAGTTTTGAGTGGAGACATGAAGAGAATCGATTGTATTGCACTCACAATGGCCACCATTTTCAGACATGGATGGATGTTGCTATAAGAGTGGAGTGATCATTGGCTCACAGCCCGATGGCCATCCTAGTCCTGTTGCGTTTTCCGTGCGTTCAATCTCGAACGTTTTCCATGAAAGCAACAAAAATCAGGTCCTTCCTGTTTGATTTTGATATCTTTTGATGTACTGCAAACCTAACTGCATTCGGGAAAGCCCGACCCATGATCTCCGCATCCGGATCTCCACTGAGGAAGCAGTTGTCCATTGCTGCAGCGGCGTTCTCGGGCCGAAGATTGGATTTTTGCAACGCTTTGGCCGTCCGAGTGACGGAGTGGCTGTGACTTGGATGATCTTAGAGATGGCCTGGTGACTGGTGCGCAGAAAAGATCTATTGATGGCTTTAGGATGTGAGAAGTGCTATCTGAGATGATTTTTCTGAAAATTATCCATCCAAAATGATGAAAGTAGCTGAGGAAGAGCAACCCGTATAGCTACACGCAGAGCGTGCAGGGAAGCAATGGTATAGTCAGCTCCAAAGCAGAAACTTGGTGGAAAATTGGGGCAGGTCGGCCACAGCTGGCGGGGAACCGGGGGTTGTGGCTGATTTCT